CCCTCAGTTAACCATTTCTCGCGCGATCTAATAATACTACCTTTTAACCTTGCACTTCTCATCTCAACTAACTGTTGTTTTTTCCTTTCTAATTCTAGTTGAAGACGGGCATCACACTTTTCATAATCTTCTGTTAATTGTTCTATTTCTTTCATAAGCCCTTTTTCTACCTCTTGTAATTTTTTCTTTTTAAAACATGCATACGAAATAGTCGTTCCTCTTAAACGTAAAAGCAAAAGTTCTAGAAACATCTGATCATTCACCATAAACTGCAATTCCTGGTCAGGAATGTTGTCAACATTTTCAAGATTGTATATAGGAATGCAATATTCTTTTTTAAAATCTCGTATGGATTCATTAATTTTTTCGACATAGGTCATGTCGTATAGAAGGGAATTATTAAATTTCCAGAGTCCTCTTCCTCGCTTAAAACTGTCAAATTTTACTTGAAGTTTAATTGGTGAGTGATCTGATCTATAACTAAGTAGGGTGCTAACTGAGACCAAATTTGGAACTAAATTATCTGAGGTGAGAAAGAAATCCAGCCTGGCTTGTTTAACTGGATTTCTTTTGCGCCAAGTGAAATTAGACACATTCCCATATAGTTCTCTAAATGGGTCTAAATAGCCGTTTTCTTTTATCATATTTAAAACACTTAATCTTGCCTTGGGGTTATTTATCCGTGAATAATTATAGTAATCAGTATCTGGATTCAAAACCAGGTTAAAATCTCCACAAATTATTTGAAATTCGCTGTCCTCTTTTTTCCTATCTTTCTCTTCTTTTTAGCGTTATAGGACATTCCAAAAAGGTTCACTTATAGTTCATACGTAATCCAGTCATTTTTTAATACCTTCTGATCAACCAAAAAGTGTTCAAAACTCACTTTTACCGGAGAGGTTTTGACCCTTGTGTGTGCTTGTCTCGGCCTCGTTTTCGATATTATATATTGTTGTCAAATAAATCGATCTCTGTGCTAACAATAAAGAAGAATTTAGCACATAGGGTCCCTTCTTTAAAAAGCGGTTGGGAACGGTCCCGCTAATGGCCCACAGACAGTCCTGCAGGGCCCCGTATCTCGAAAGCATTGCTTATTGAGAATAGCTATATATATAAAGCACATAGAGGCTACAATATATTATATGGGGCGAGTATGGGCGAGTTATTGGATCGAAAGACGGAACTTCGAAAACGAGGCCACTGAGAGGGAGACTGTTGGTTACATTTCGATACGAGCGTTCAATTGCAAGCTATGGTTTGTTCTTTGCTTCTATGAAAGTGGGTGAAAACAGTGAGTTTATTTGATATTTTGCTGAAATCGCTTGTGAACATAGATAAAATAAAAGGTGAAAATAGGCTGTAAAAGTAGCCAGCCCATCGGGCTGGTAATTTGCAAATCTTACCCGCCCGGCCTGAAAGTTACCAAACTCGGGCTGGCAGGCAGGCGGCCATTTCATACACTGCTAATAGTAATGTAAAATGTTCTTTAAAGATTCTGATATGAATTTTTTAATCAATCCACATATCATTCTTCACATTTCAACAGGGCAATTTAGAACCCATCTCAATGGGATATGACCTTTAGGGTATGCAGATTAAAAAGTTTATAAACAAATTATTATAGTTGCTAAATATGAAACTTACACATCCCCACAGGCCAGAAGAAGGACATATCTGGAAGGAATATGATCTGGTGGGTAGACAGTTTTAGCATACTGCACTGCCATCATTCTCGCCTGGTGTTCATCCTACGTTATTAAAAAAATTTTTTAATTAAATAATAGAGCAATAAATCAAAAATATCACTGACATCATGTCCTTAAAAATACACAATGTCATATTACGTAGTTTTAAGCAAATGATATAACACAAAGTGGTTCTTCCATACAGGAATTCAGTACATGGATTAACCAATAAGTTTTACAGATTTTTTTTACCTTTTCCACATTTTGCATGATGAGAGCTTCCATGATCTTCAAGTTAGGTCCTTCCATTCCTTTGAAGGCCTCAGACATCATGGACAAGCTTGCCTGAATGGCTAGCTTAGTTTCTGAGTCCTCCTGAAATCCAATTCAGTTATATATCACTGAAAACACATAGCTTAGTTTTCTAGTGTTCCCATGATTAAATTAATCTGTCACTGGGTAGCACCCAGGATGCATCAGTTATCATGGCAGAATCCCGTCCTCACCTGTACAGCCAACTGTTTCCTATAAACCTTCCCATATAGATAATGACCAAACACGACATATTAAGAGAAGTGTGACATTTAAATAATCTTTTATGAATAATCACCTTTAAACTTCTCAAGATCTGCCATTGCCAGCCCTTCATATAAGCCTACCTTACACATGGCATCAAAGAATTTCTGCACCAGAGCGATGTCCTTGGTGACCAGTTGAGGAAGTCTCCTGGCAATCTTTCCTATAGCAAGGTAAGCCTGGCCACGGAGACTTGCATCCTGGATAATTGAAATGCCAGTGAATATAGCTTAGATTTTACTTCCAAGTCAGTAATACAGATACAGGAAGCAACACAGATATACTGAGCGAATTTGGACATTTTTTTAAAATGTACAATCATCATGAGCCATGGATTATGATATAAAATGCAGTTTTTGATACAGCCTAATAGTCCTGTATAAAAGAAGTCACAATACAAAAGGTTAGATATTAATATAATAATTATAATAAATAATAATAATAATTCTTACCTCTTTGGTTTCATCTATAACTTTTACCATCCCTGACATTATCACAGAGCCAATGGGATTGAACTTGGCATCAGAGCAACTGAAAGTTAATGAACAAAACATCTTTTTTTAAAGTTAACAATCTGATAACTGTGTTTTTATCTGATTATGGGTTGTAACCTAACATTTTACATCTTTTTTTATTACATATGCAAATTTTACTAAGTGTAATATTTGGAAAATACATATACAAATATTTACATGTGTTATATTAATTAAGACAAGATAATAATTTACTTTGTTGTATCATTTAAAACTACCATTCAGAGACAACTTACTTGAGACAAACATGGTGAACAAATTGCACTGCCATGACTTTGAGTTTCTGATTAGTTGTGGAACCAAACAAACAGGCAAATATAACCTGAAAAGAAATTCTAACAATGACACACTGCTTACAAATACCTTCACTATTTTTTTTAATAAATCACAGCTTACTACATACATGTGTGTTGCATAAAAGCACAAGATTAAAGTTTTCAAAGAGCTGGACAAGAAAAGACAAACATGGCATGGGCCATTCCACAAAGAAGTATTTCTCTGGGCCATGTGGTTGACAAGCATTTTGTGAAACATATGCATTACTATTTTATCTCACTTTCCAATTACTGTCAATTTCTCTTCATACTGGAATGTACTATGATGGTATAAAATAGTAAAAATAACAGGGCAAGTCAGAATTATGCAAATATAACATAAATGTGGACGTCAGTGACATGACTCACAAAAGGTGTATTTTTTGTGGAACACACCACATCATTCATTGAGATGTACCTGAATACAGGCTGGAAATTGGTCAGCAGCCTCCCTTGATTTCAGCAGCAGTGGAAACACTTTCATTCTGACTCTGGTGGCAGCAGGCTGGCGTCTCTGCTCTGGTTTCACTGTAGCCTGTGAGAGAGAAATCCATGTGTGAGAGGAGTATTTAAAAATCTGTATTTCAGCAAGGTACATAAACAGTAGCATGATAATGGTTTATGACACACTTTGGATAAAGGGCTTAAATGTTTCAAATTATGCAGTCTCCTTCAAGTTATGAAGTTGACTAGATACACTACCTTCCCTTTCATGACCACCGTCCCTCTGAATATATCATACAGTTTGGAGATAATGACAGAGTCGTTCCAGTCAATACTCCTGAAATGTGGAGAGGAAAGTCATGAAAACAAGGGTTTTACTTACTAAACTATCTAATTGTGGTGGTTTAATCTGGATATCTAATGTTTTTATGATGAAGTGTTATAATGAGATTCAATGTAAAAAAGTATCTAGTGCAAAAATGTTCTGCTGAGGTTCTTCCTTGGTGTAAATACTTTTAAGTTTGTGCTCTTCTCGAATAATTTCTGACAATTTTGAATGGTAAAAAATACAACTTTACTATAATTACTTGACAACACTTTTTATCTTATGAAATACATTACAAACCTTACCCAGTTATTTTTTTCAGTTCCAAATCAGCAGATGTGGCAACACTAAAAAAAAAAAGGAAACATTTATCATGAAACACCAGGATTCAACTCGGATAGATATCTATATATTATTTGAAATATAACTGCTTGTGCATATTGGCTGAAAACTATAGTATAAATAAAATCAAGTATGTACACAGGATAAGAAGTGAACCACTTACCTGTGCCTTGTATCTGAGGATGCCACTACATAATGGACCACCACTTTGTCCTCTGGTAACAAGTCAGCTCCCAGAAAACTTATAATGCCACATTTTATCTGCAATCAAAACATGAGAAACCTGTACATTTTCAATCAGTTTTTTAAATATTTAGCTTATATGTTTCATTTTAATAGAATATAGATAATGCTGCCTATTTGAAAGCAAAAGATGTCAACGTCTTAGCCATACCTTCTCCAGTTCCTCTGCTTTATACGGTGGCTCCCCCATGGCTCTCTTGTAAGCATGCTCACTTAGTCCTGGTGGTGGCCCAGTGCTGCCCTCTGCTGGTGTGTCACTCTGGGTGGCTCCCTGGGGTCTGGTAGACTGACCACTGCTGGGTCTGAGGGGGACTAGGCTGAAATAAGTGGTAAGTTACTTATACATCACATAATGTTTATTTCCTCTTTATCTGTCTTGTAAAATCACAGTGAGCAATGTATGTTGTCACAAAACAAAAAATAAAGAAAATTGCATGTTAAGTTGTGCAATGTCTACATGCACTACATAACTTGAACTATTCACTTACTTGTATGGCAGCAGCAAAACATCCAACATGTAGTCTAGTAAGATCTGGTAGACTTCTGGTTTATCTGACAATGCAAACTTTTCCTTTCTTGCTTCCATGTCAGAGGGCATAGTTATGTGAGCCAGGGCTGGCATCATCAGCTGCATCAGGCTGGGAAGATGAAAATCACGTGACAATAATAAACGTAAACAATGGCCATTCGATAACATGTCACCACTGTAAAGATAACATGACAAATGACAGATAAAAAACAGAAGGCACTGCCCATCCTTTAACATTGTTACAATGAGTCCTAAAGTATATGTATTGTTTAAGAGCTAATTTGTTTATCAAAAGTTACCCTTTTGAGGTTTCTATAACCTCAGTTAATAAGTGACTGGCTGTTTTCATCAAAACACAAGTAAAATATCTTATTAATTTTACCTGTCTTGATGAGTTTCTGGTCTCCCTGGCAGACAGTTGACCAACACTGGGATCAGTTCTGCTTGCTTTGTTTTCTCTAGTCTAGGGAAACCCATTTTGATGTATATCATTGTAAAGTTCTGAAATAAATAAATAAATAAATAAATAAATAAATAAATAAATAAATAAATAAATAAATCAAGCAGCATTGTACAAATAGCCGTGTTATATTGTAGTCTGAATTGAAATTCTTCTTCTTATGAAAATAATTGTATTCACAAGAGAATATGTATCTGTATTAATTCTGCTACTTAAAACACATCAAACCCTGCTATAGACTCACCAAAACAAAGGGTGTGGTCTCAGAGTCCTGGTACTGTAATAACAAGTCTTGCACAGGAAGCTGTACCTGGGGTCTGCTCTTTGTTCTTTTGTTGATATGGACCAACAACTCCATTACCTATATATACACACAAACTTTTGTCTCAACATATGAAAACAGGGACAAAATATGAAAGTGTGCAATTTCATTTATTTTTCAATTAAATTAATATATATTTTTTTTTTGTAAGTAAAAAACTGACCACGGACATAAACTTGAATTAATCCAACATTAAATTGTCATACAGACTATCCCATTCATACATTTAATTTTATTTTGCAATCCCACAAAACTCCCATAATTAGTTCAAGTAAAATTGTTAAATCTCAGTAGGATTTGGTATAAATAAAAGCAGCTTTAAGTGATGTCAAACACCCCATATATTGCATTTGGCATTTGTTCTTGCTAATGAACCTTATACTTCTCAGGCTTGATGAAAGTTAAATGGTATTTAAACACAGCTGCTATATGATATTTCAGAAAATGTCTTCAGATGACTTAAATCAGTAATTTCCAAACGGTCTTGTAAAGCCACAATAAGCACAGTTCCTGACCTTTTTCCTGACTCCTTCCTGGCTTGATAGCTTCAGCAGGACAGGCGTGAGGAACTTGCTGAGGGCATTCTCTAGTTGTTCATCTGTCTCTGCTGATCCAATACGTAGAAATACTCGCTCCAGAAGGGCTTAAGTAGAAACATTAGCATTATTAGAATTTTACTTGTTACATGAGATGCTATTATATTGTAAAATGCCTACCTACTGCCCTATGGCTCTAACAACATTGGTCACTGCATACTAGCCACAGAAATCTACACAAAAGCCTAAGGGTGAAATATTTAAGTCTGAAGTTCATGAAACGATATCTAAAACAAGTACTTGGTTTTCAACGAACGTTAGTCAAAGTCTCAAAATAAAATGTCTAATTTTAAGTGTGGATATTTTTATAAAATTGTGAAAATGTCTCAGAGTGTATATGTGCCGACAGCATTCACATCCGAATGCATCCCATCCACAACGTACTTTAACTTTCAGTCGCAGTGACTGTGCAAATCAGTAGCCGGTTCCTGAAGACAAATATATTTTGAAGTGGCGCACACCCATATTTATCCTCAAAACACAACCAGATCAAAAGAAACTAAATACACACAGATTTCTCTTTTTGTTTTATTTCACAAGAAGTTCAGTCACGGAAATTCAAACATTTAGAGAAAAACTTACCGAGCTCTTCTTTTTCTTCAGTGCCCATCTTGACTTGAAGTTGTCCACTGACATGTGCTTAGTTTCAGTAAATTGAAAAGCATTTTGGCGAAGAGAAAAACATGAATCACGGCATGTGATGAGCATGATAAATATTTCTAAATAATTATAAATGCGCATTTGTCTTCTTATTGCCTTTATAAGGTACTTGTATTGTTGAAATATGATACAATCTATGGATTCCCCTCTTAGCTAAAAGGTCAAGGTCACACGAATGGCAAATTGGGTCAAAACAGGAGAGCACAGGCAAGCGAGAGAGAGGGCCATGACGGACTTCGCTTCTGATGGATCTGAGCATTCTCATGGTCCCAGGCCTCCTTGGTTCTTCAGTGGTGCTATAAATGGTAAGATTTCAATACAGTTACATCATTAATAGTGTTATAACCCGTTGAGTGGTTTTAGACTTCCGCGTTGATAGTTGATGGTGGACCGTTGTCGGCTGACAGTTGGCAAAACGAATTAATTTAATATCACCAGTAACATTGCCCTACCATATTATTTGTTTAATAGCAACCATTTTACAAACATCCAAATAACACTTAACTGCAAATACAGAAGCATTTTGAGACCACCTTTTTTTTCGATTTGCTCTGAAAAAAAATCCTTATTACCATATGTGTCCCTTTTCCATTTTATTAATTGTAAACATTCTGTTGGCATTAAAATGTATTTGGAGTTAGTTAATTAATGTAATAGGTTGTATCTGTATAATTAATATCTGTAATAGGTTATATCTGTATAATTAATAGAAAATTGGAAAGTGTTAAAAACTGTTCAAAAGATAAAGTTAACTGGCTATATACAGTAGTGTATGAACAGTGGACTTCCTGGATTGATCTGGAGTGTTATACAATGTATATATTACTTTCAGTTTCACTTCACATAATTGAACTTGGCTCAGAGAAGTTTAGTGAAATAAGAAGTCTAACTGTGAATCAAAAGTCAAAGAAAAACATTTAAGAAACTGAGCAGATTTACATTTAAAAACATATTGTTGAAATATTAAAGATATTAGGTTTAAATAAATAAATGGTCAAAATACTCCATAAAATAGATGTTGATCTTCGAAAGTTATTGATCTTTGCCTCTGTTTACAGACATAACATACAGTTATTGACATTGGCAGAGTCCAATATGTTGCTTTACTGTTTTGCTGTGCCTTGGTCAATATCACTTTTCTAAAGTTAGCAAAACAACATATTGACTGAAAGCCAAAGATTGTTTTATTAAATAATTTCACACAGTGTCATTTTGTATGAATTGGCATATGTTCCATATCAATTTACATTTTTTGTGACTAAAAGTTGAATTTCCCTCCCTGACCCTGGCCATGTATACTTTTGTTCTGTTTCCACCAAGACTCCGACCATGCCGGCTGCCCAGCGGAAGGTTGTCCTCCTAACCAAGAGACTCCTGACTGTGGCGGGACAGACGAGACCTGCAAGAGAACCTTCTACACACCACACATGGAAGACACCCTGAGAAGACGCCTCAAGTATCACTTCATGACCCCTTGCCAGAAATGGACGGCCAAGAGAAGATTTCCATGGAAAATGATAGTGCAATTGCTCAAGATTATTATGGTGACAGTACAGGTAATGTAAATTGTAATCTCCCACCTGGGTACATATGTTGTAGCATAATATGTTGCTTAGGACATGTGCATTCTTCATTTTTGACTTATGGCCCCACAAGCTATTATTACAACAGTATCAAAATATTATTTGTTTAATAGTTTAATTCTGACTCTTTGGCTTACCTATATTTTTTTGCTGAGTTATTATATGAAGGCAAACTTAAGTTGTGCTTAAATACATCTACCAGATTGTTATAATTTCAGCTTGTATTATTTGGAGTTGACCGCAGTGCTCATGTAACATTCCTGGAGAAGTCAGACATAGCATTCAAGCACCTGTTCCTTCAGGGGTGGGATCCAGCCTATGAGACAGTCCCCTACCCTGCCCCCCTGGGAAAGTTTGCTGTTTACAAGCACAGTGATTTCTACGCAAAGCTAAACTTTGCATGGAAAATGGTAATGCACAATTTTGATCATGAAGCTCTTGTGTAGGATATTTACAAAAAATATTGTACCTGTATAACTGTGTATGCTTTTCAAAGAGGTTTATAATAACTCAAGTATTTATTTATTGTAGTCATATGTTGTGCTGCTGACATTAAATCCTATGTAAATTTATTTTATTGGAGCACTTGTTTCAGAAATCTGGGTAACTAGTTCTCAAAACAATTTCATCTCCTTCATGTTGAATTATGACCTTGGTGCATTTTCTGATATAAATTGGGTTGAACTTAAAATTCAGCAAAGAGTGGTAACAAGACTTGTGACATGGAAGATGGGTATTATATATTAACATTCCCTCTTTTTAAAGATTTCCATGTTACACCAATCACAATGTATATAGTTTTCCTTCCCTCCCTCCAGTACCATGAGGCGTGGCCAGATGCTATTGGTGTGTATGACGCACCCCGAGTGAACAGTACTGTAGATGAACCCATGGTGCTGTGCAAGACATATTTTGAAGTTGGTGATGTTGATCCAGCCAGTGGAAGTTATAACTTTGATCTGGATCCAGTCTCATGTTAGTAAAAATGCCATTTTTTGTTTTTTTTAAATCAATGATAAAGTTCTCTCTCTCTTTCTCTTTCTCTTTCTCTCTCTCTCTCTCTCCTCTCCTTTCCTTTCCATAATTTGATATTGGAGACATTTTATTTGTAATGTTAAACATATGAAGTCTTGAAGTTTCTACACTTTCAGCTTGTTTTCAACTGCAGAGAACCATGACGCATTTCAACACAACTACCAATAAAACAGAATACACATATGATATTGAGAAGTACCTTGCCTCCATTAATGAAAGCATTAATTTTGACACGTGAGTTGACTATTTTATTTTCTGATTCTTGGGAACCTGTAACTATAAAAGAATTCTCTGCAGTAATGGTATAAGCCATGCAGTGACTTGTAGATGATATACGTTTGGTTTTCTTTAGATTTCATGTCAAACTATCGTCAAGATTGAATGTATGTTACACTGTACAGTGTATTTGAGTTACTACTTTAACGTTTCAGGTTAATGAAAGTAGAAGCCAAGTTCTCTCTACGCTCCATCCATCTGAAGAACTTTGATCTAAGAAAGAATGAAGCAGAATGTTTTCAGTTTGACATCGATGTGAGTATTTAAATTATTGACTCTTGTTAATTGTTCATTGTAAAAGCCAAAGTAATAATTTTTCCTATATTGTTTCTTGTATTTATTTCAGATTCTGTTTGACAACACAGGTTACAATGGGCAAGTACCAGTAAAGTTGTTGTCTACACCAAACACATTTGCCTGCCGTGGCAAGATTAATAATCACGGAGAAGTCTGTAAGTCCAGATATTGATGTCTCAAACATTTTGATATTTTAAGAATTGAGTCTTGTAATTGATTAATTGAACTTGCATCTTTGACTGTAATACAAAGCAACCAGATTTAAAAGGGAAACGTTAACTTTAACTTCTCCTTAATATCTAGCTAGTCATGTATTCCTAACATTTTGCTACATGCCTTTCAGCTCATGTGGTGAGGAATCTTATCATTTTCTTTGATGGCCTGGTCATCCTAATTTCAACAATTTCTGGGTGCTTATGTATCCGCTCCCTCTACAGATCTCAGAAACTAAGAAAAGTAAGTATAATATTGAAATAAATGGTTATTCGAATTAATGAAAAGTGTGATTAATTACATTCATATTGGATTTCCGTTGCCATATTCATGGATATTCACAAATTTTCACCATTGTTTAATACAAGTTTAGCTTACATGTTTTAATTGAAATGTGAGGATTAAAATTGTATATTAAGTCTCTATCATCATTATTTGTATCATGGCCCTTGTGAGCTCCAGCTGGTTATTTCTGCTCATTTCTTGATAAACTTTTCCCAACTTTGATAAAAAGTCTTTAAGTTTTTTCTCAGTTTATCTACATTGATATGATAAATTAACCCTATATTAATATAGTGTGTATTCTTTCCTTTGTCCTGTTGGGGTACATATATATTTCTTCAGACATGTTCTCTTAGACTCCGTTCACATGAAAAATCTTTTTTCTAAAAAATCTGTTTTCTATACGCAGTATCTTGTGATCACTCCGAGCGCAGCCGAGAATTAATTATGGCTTTGGAAGTAACTGGCACGCGCTGCCAGTAATTACGCCGCGGGGTATTCAGGGCAAAGACTGTGATCACAAGATACCGCGAATAGAAAATAGATTTTTAGAAAATAGATTTTTCATGTGAACGAGGCCTTAGTCATCTTATGCTACCAGTGAGTGGATTTTTTTTTTATGTAGATAACTGCAGTATTTTTCAAGAAACAGAGACAGGTAACCCTAACATGGGAAGACCATCTGGAATTTCTCAACTTTTGGTACCTACTGATTATAGTGAATGATGTCATCACCATCATAGGGTCAGGCTGTAAAATTATGGTGGAAGCCGAGGTGAGAACTGAAGGATGAATCACTTAAAATCTGTCACTTTTATCAATTTAAGTGTAGTGTTTACAGTTTGTTTGATGTCTGTTTGTTTTTGTGATGTTACCTCATTATTTTATTGCCAGACTTCCCTTCTATTTGACAAATATGCTGGATTATAGTTTTTGTGGTATATGCTGTTTTGTCTTATGAGTTTGTTAATATGTTATATGTTGCATAGAGATACAGTCAGAGTGCAGGTGTCCAAATCTCGACTACTATTTTTGTAAGTTTTTTTTTTTTTCTATTATCTTAAGCTTACAAACATGCTTGTTTTATCCTTTTTAGCTACAGCCACAGGTTTCATTTAAAAAAAATCAGAAAAATTCTTTATTAATGATAGCAACCCTGAGATAGATATTGCTATTCCTAATACTTATGTTTCGCATGGAAAAATACACCCCAATCTGCAGAAATAATTGCTTAAAACTTAGTGCTTAATTTGACAATTTTTCCACCTGTCTAGCTTGCTGACGAGTGAATGTTTTCAGGATTATGCCTGGTTTCAGGATTTACTGTCTTTGTTTTGAGCTTTTTTGTTCAGTCTAAACAGGACTTGAAATTGCAAGCTGTTTTTAGCCTTTTCAATTTTTACAACTTTGATCCATGTGATAAGCATGTTAATACAGTTAGACCAAATACTATTATACCCCATTCACACTACAGTTGCGAAAATGCGCATTTCTATAATCCGAATTTTTCGTGAGGAATTCGATTCGGTATTGCGTTCACACACGCTAAGCGAAACCGAATTACACGTTGAAAATTTCAGGTTTAACTTCCTGTTTTGAACACTCGCGCATGCGCCGCACAGGAAATCTTAAAATACCAACAAAAATTTGTGACAACAAATGCAACTCTAAAGACATTCCAGCGTTCTTGAGAAGTATAAGATGGCAAAATAAGTTTGTTTCCTCATGTTGTAGTAAGTGGTGACCTCCAAATACGTTTGGTGCAATCGCTAAAGTAATAAACAAGCGTTCATAGATACCCTCACTTATCTGCACACATGCGCAGTAAGATCTGTACAGGTGTCGATTCCGGTAAGTTATCCGGATCGCGCTTAGAAATCCACCACGCTTGCAGGATTTTGAAAATGCGCATTACAAAAATCCTCTTGCGTTCACACTACTGCATTTATTCGAATTGTGACCTAATTCGCAATTTATCCGGATAACTGAGCGTAGTGTGAACGGGGTGTTAGTCTTCATGCCAGTGACTACTGGCCCCACATAAGTGACCAGTAGCTGTTCTTAACACATGTCACATTACTGTATAAAGGGACAGATTTCAGATAGACATGGGCATAGTTGATGTATTAGGCCAACATTTTGCTTCACTCAGTCTTTTTAGTTGAGCAATCTCAATTGAGGGCATATGTTGTTTAATTTAACTAGGGTATTTTGTTTTACGTCCACCATTTTTGGATTGAATGTTATGAATGTTTTTCCAGAACATAGACTACTATGAGATCTGTGGGCTGACTCTGGGCACTGGGAGTCTGTTTGCATGGTTTGGTATCTTGAGGTATCTCAGCTTCTTTGAGAAGTACAATGTAAGTTCTCCTTTCTAGTTAACAGGAAAGAAAATATTAACATGTGAATAAAGATTGAAATTTGTGTAATGTTAAATTCATAAAAGGGTAAAAATGAATTTTGTGTAATTTTAAATTCATAAAAGGATAAAAAGTTTTTGGAAAAATGAACAACATGTAAGCTGCATAACTAAAGGTATAACTAAAGAAAAAACTATATCTCAGTGAAGATATTATCATATGCTGATATTAAAGGCTCTTCATTACATAATTTAAGCTATTTACTAAAAATATACCCATTTTTTTCCCTCCAGATCCTAATCCTGACAATGAAGAAATCTTTTCCGGAAGTGATCCGTTATCTTATCTGTGCTCTCATGTTTTTCTTTGGGTTTGTGTTCTGTGGTTGGGTGGTACTAGGTCCCTATCATGTCAAGGTGAGGGCTATCATACACAGTTATTGGATATATATGTGTAAAGTTTGTCTACTGGTTTTAGATTTAGACTGTATGATTACCAGGCTTGGTTTTATGTGCTAATGATATTTAGAATTTAAAAAAAAGAAGAAGGTACACCGATCTGCAAAGTAAAAGATGGCAAGCAGACTAGTGAATCTTGACCTTAAAGAACATACCTGCACAGTAAATCACAACTGCACTGTGCAGTTATATTTTTGGAAATGTCCTTCATTTGATTTTTTTTCACAATTTGTTCCAGTTCCGTTCAGTCAGCACTGCCTCAGAGTGTTTGTTTGCTCTGATGAATGGAGATGACATCTTTGAAACATTTGCCATCATTGATCCAAAGCTCGTCAACAGCAATATCTGGTTCTTCAGCCGTGTCTACCTCTACGTCTTCAACAGCTTGTTCATCTATGTGGTGCTAAATGTTTTTATTGCATTACTGACAAATGCATATGAGTGTATAAAGGTAGGTGTGCCCTGGGCAACTGGTGATAATGTGTTTTACAAGAATTCCATTTTCATACTGAGATACGTTAATGACTTGATTTTTTCAACGGGGAAAAATTATCAATCTTTCAGATACATAATATTGGAATCATTAAAAATTTTGTTCTCTGTAGCATTTTCGTATGCTTTTACTGATTAGAATAAAACTAGAGTTTGTTAAAATTTTAAGGTTTATAACTTTAAAAAGTACAGTATCTGTAAAATCCACAATTTTTCCCATTCATCAGATCAGGTACTTACAGTACTTCTGTATTTTACTGTTATCTTTTCTTCCACTGTTGCAAGGACTATATTTAACCTTCTTCGAGGAATAAGATTGTTTACGTATTTCTTTTATTGTCATTCATACAATTTCATTCTCTGTAATGAGAAATATTTATAAATCTAAATCAAATTCTGGAACTTAGATTTAGAAACTTACTAACCTGACCTTTCACACGATAATTAGTTTGTGATGGCAATGCCGGGGAGTGGCTAAATGTCAGGTCCAGAATTTGATTTATACATATTTCTCATTCCTATTTTACTGGATGGCTAAAACATTCTCCCATTATTCTCTATACTTTATAAAAAAAGACATAAAATCAATAGATATAATTAAGTAGTAAGTCATATTCTTTGTTGTTCCTTCCTAGAAATCTGATAGGTATGCATGTATGATTAGCCATCTGTGTTAACTAACACACTCAGGTGAGTTAACAGTGTCCTGTCCCTAAGATTTATTTTGATTCTACAAAATCACTGCAAGTGATTATGGTCACAGTGGAGGATGATTTGAGGGGAATTATATAAATCCATTGCACACCATGTTTAAAATTTGTAAAGACATTGATTTACAGACGTGGTAATTTCATGCAGTTGGCAAATTTTTAGTGAAATAAAGAAAGATCATACTGATGTATATGGAATCATAACCTTTACAATCATAATTTTGGTGCTAGTATCTGTAATTTGATGAAATTGATCAATTATGGAGTTAAAATCCCAATTGGCTTTACATACCTTATTTATTAAGCAATGGTATCATATGATCACCATCTCATAACACAGGTTTATGTAATGAGGCAAGCCCATTTCTTTTTTTCCCCCGATAAATTACTACTGCACCTGAGCTGCCCCTTTACACACTGTTAGAGCAGGATAGGAGGATAAAATTTAATAAATGACATCTAATTCAAATATGTGCCATTTATTTAACTCTGGTGGCTTGATAACACCCATTCATTTGATGATAATCAGTTTATTGTTGTGCTTTGGTTTTACAATTTGCTCTGATAGCAGCAATGTTTATAACCAGATAACAGATTGAGTCATAATATTTAATAACAGAGTCATAATATTTAGTCATATACTGCAAACTTTGATCATTGACACATGAAAATTATAATTCTTTTATGTTTGTATGGTTGTGATGTGTAATAATTCTTTAAGCTTCAAATTTGTTTAAACTTATGCCTGTTTTATGCAATGTGACATTTTGCATGTATCATTCTAAAAGATTTCTCTGATTATATATTCATCATGATTTAACTTGACGTCAAACTTTTTATGAATGTTCAGACATCTCAACTTCCTATTTACAATATTTGAAATATTTTCCTAAACATTATAATGCGATTTTTTTGATTGGTTCACAATTGAAAGTTTTGTAACCCATACTTCCAGGAATCGTACAGCGAAGGTGGTTTTCAGCCCCATGGTGATCTGATGTCGTTTATAGCAGAGACAGATGAGGACCATACCTCTCCACACTACAGGGCAGAAGACGACAGGAGGGCCTGCAATCTATTTGATTGCCTCCCCTGCTGCAAGAGGTAGGCCTAACCTTTTTTTTCTGAGAATTCAGACAGTTTTTGTACCTGTCAGCTTTTGTTGTGATTTAATAAAAATCAGTGCTTTCTGTCAAGTGTGGATGAAATGGGGTGTGGTACAAAAAGATTGACAGCTGTCAATCTTGGTAAGAATTTCATGATTATCCTTTGATGATATTATTAGTTTGATACCTGGGGTTTGATTTAACTCTCAGATTTCAATATCAAGTGTCATTTTCATTTCAGGCATGATGTCGATGAACCAAATGAGAGGACCAGCCTATTGAACAGAAATGTGGAAACGTGAAGAATAAAGGACATTACAGGGCAGTGAAGGTCACCAGAACCATGTGATATTAACTGAGATTGTAAAGGGCATTTTCAGGAGGCAAACGTTTTTCATATTTTTGTTCATTTCATTCCTAGTATCAAATTCCCTTAGCAGTATAAAAAGTTTGCAGCCATATTGCAACAACGAGTTTGCAGGAGTTATCAAGAAAAAATTTATTGCTGCTTATTTGCAGCCAGAATGCAATAATCCAGCAAATTTGCTGCAAATTCACTGCAAATTTGTAGCAGGCCTGATATTTTGGTAAGGAAAATGTTCTCTAAGGTACTTGTGTCCTGAGAGTCATATTTTATGAGTTCAAGTTTCTCTGAATCAAATACTTCATCTTACATTTTCATTGGCCAGTGTTGCCGAGATACAATTGGAATGTTACATTGTAACAGGCATTGTGGCCAATATCAAAACTAAAGGGAAATAAAAGATGTTGTTAAGCACACACTATTGTTAAGTGGTCAATAGCTCGTTAAAATTTTGCCCTGCCATTAAGAATTGGTAGGCATGAGACTGTTCAAGGGGTTTTCTTTTCCAAATAAACATGTCAAGGTGACCAGTTCTACACATTTATTTATGATCTACATGTTGTTAACTGTGTACTACCATGTTTTTTGGATGTTTTTTTTTTTTTGTCACTGATAATACAATAAACACCCACTGCATGTGTGTTGGCAGCCCTGAGTATTTTGTGAAGACTATTGGAAACTAGTGAGAGTATGGTTCTGCAAAATAAGTTGATGGTAACATATAATTTGTCAGATGTTATGGATGAGGTAGTATACATACAGTATGTTGATAATGTTTTCTGTTTATTGTCTTCCTGCATTATTGTCTTCCTGCATATGAGTTTTATCATGTTATATTGGTCACATCCGATGTTTGACATTTCTCTGTAATTGTGAAAGCAGAGTAATATTTATAAATATGATTACATGTTAAATTTATAAGGCCAAGCATTGCATGTACAGTTGTTTAGAAAAGATCACTTTCTCCTTTGAAGGGTACTTTTTTAGGGCTGCAGTCGGACATTCAGAGTGTGGGTATGAGGTCATATATTACATTGTAAATGTCTTGTGAAGTAGGCTAATCATGAGGTTCCAAAAGGCTCACAAAATCCAGGTCTGCTTTTATCATAAGATGAATTCATTGTCATAGCTATAGATATTGAGAGTAGTGGGACATAAATTTCCCTATTTCAGAAATGTGTATAGGGAATAAAGTTTTCTTTTTATTACCTGTCTCTACAGCAATATTCACCCACTTTTGTTCAGTCATTTTAAACTCTTTGACAATCTTTAATTAAATTTTAGCTAACCAGTGCAAAAAATAGAGGTATATCTCAGGTAATGAATATGGTGTAAATTAAGTTAATTGCACATTCATAGCTGAAAGTTTAAAACTTGGTGGCAGTTGATAACATTTGCAATCCAGACACAAATGGCATTTTTCTCAGAAATAAAATGTTAAGACTTTGTTTAGTTTTGACACATTATAGGTTTCATTATTGTATTTTAAGGAACATTTTTCCTATTTTTTCACTAAAAACCAGGTAGTACTTTACCATTGCCAAATAAAAACCATGTTTCTTAGATCATAATCATCCACATCATATCAGTGGCATTAATTAGAAAATAAAGCTGCATTTTTGTAGGAAGGAATTTTGTTATTTTTGTAATTCTTTTAGGATATTTCAAAAAGAACTTTCACATTATTACTTGAATTTTGTGAATCCTGTCATTTTGATGGAGACATTCACAGTAGATACTGATACATGTTGGTACATGTATTATCAATTGACACACTTACAGTTTGCTTACAGTTTGCTTTTCACTTGTAGGAGGCTGGTAACAACTAGCATTGAAAGTTTTCCACATGTGTGAATATTGGGTATTGTATTTATGCCTCCTGACCCCCCACCCACCCCTATACAGAGATATACACCAGCCAGTCACAGGAAGGACATACAACATAACAATTAATTAGCAGACACATACTGAACTTGGTAGAAAAATTGACCTAATAACATTGTCATGGATGATTAAGTGAATGTCAGACTTGTTAAGCAAATACTGCTTTAGGCAGACTCCACAAAAGAAAAAAAAAAGTCACAGGTACCACAGATACGTTTCTGATCCTCTAAAGGGACACTGAACCAGCGTCCCTTCTCCACTGTCTATACAATACAGCTTTACAATATTGAGACACACGCATTGGATCCCTTCTTTACAGTTCAATAAGTCAATTTCCCCATTATTTGTATTGGCCTGCTTACATGGCTTTTATTGTTTCTGACAGATGAAGAACTGCAGATTTTCTGAGGAGACCCAGGGAGATGTCAGTTATTGTGTGCAAAAGACACATGGTATAAATGTCTGATATATAACTGAGGCTTAGATCATATAATACAACAGTATATACATGATGCAAGTGCTATCAATTATCTATACAAATGGTCCCATGCAATGCATATGATGTTATCAATACAAATGAATTGACAGTTAATCACAATGCTTTGCCTTCATGGACTAGTCTTGATCATCTGATGGATTAAAACCAAACTTTCCATCATGAAATGATAACAGCTCTCAGTTAATCTGTTAACAGTGTGTGCTGACACACATTAAATGTTGTTTTATTTTTTTGGCTACTAAACAGCTAAAATGTCTCATAGATCGGGTAATAAGGAGCTCCAGTTTATCAGCAGTTTTGGTATGCTGGTGGATGGTAAGTTTAAATTATAAAAAAGTAAATCCAGATGAATTTCCATATTTATTATCTGTGCTTTAATCTTTATTTTAAGCTACTGGTACATGTATGTCAATACTCTGTGCTTTTTGGGGAGTCTGGTAATGCATGTGAAGGGTTCAGATATACTGATTATGGAGCAATGATTAATTTAAGCGGACATATTGAGTCATATGGTTTAGGGTTATAAGGAAAGAGGAAGAAGTGGTCTTGTAACCAGTGGTATGGGGGCATTTAAGATAGAAAACAAATGTACAGTTTCCTAATTAAATTGGTCATAAGTAATGTCTGTATAAATATGATTCTGATAATCTCTGCTTTTTCACTTTAAATTATTCTAATGTGCATTAAAATGAGGTTCTTTGAGTAGGACAATTGTGATGATTTTGTTACTATAATAGCTAGGATAATGCATTAATTTTGGACACAAAAACAAACAGAGGAAAGTGGAGTTGTTCAGACAACAGAAGTCTCATTAGATTCTCTTTTTTTAGATTGTCTTTGAATATTCAAGGTTAGATAAACTGTAGAACAGAGATGTGCTGCTCTTCCCAGTTTAGGAAAATAAAATAATTATTAAAGTTTTGTTTTGCAATCAGTTTCAGAGTCTCCATCTGATGAAAACCTAGAAAACCTTTGCAACAGGGAATCATCACGTCATAGCCATGGAAGTCATAGGACAACACACAGCCAAGGGCGCCAAAGGTCAACACACAGTTATGAGCGCCAAAGGCCGTCCTTCATACGTGGATCTTCTTTTTACACCCCTCACATGGAGGACACATTGAGAAGAAAACTGAAATTTCACTTTATGACACCATGTCAAAAGTGGACCACTAAGAGAAGGTTTCCATGGAAAATGATTATACAGCTTCTTAAAATAGTACTAGTCACTGGACAGGTATATTATGTGGGGTTTCATAGAAAAATTTACAGTAAAAATGATAAAATATGTTTGAATCTTTGGAAATGTGTTTGCAACTTTTTACAGCAATTTTTTAGTGTGCAACTATGCTAGATATCATTCAGAGCATACAAATTCTGTGAGATGACAATTTTTGATTCAGAAAGATTAAATGGACCAATTAAGCATTTTAAATGGTATCACCTACATCTTTTTTTTTAACTTTATCATTGAAACTTTGTTGCAAATAATTATTCTTTTTGAGAGTGAAAATGTAATTTTAAGGACTTGTTCCCACTGAAGCTATCAGCCTATGTAGATCGATCCAACTCCATGGGGACACTCACTGCATGCAATCAGTTTAACAGGCATTGAGAAGAAAAGTTGTTTATTATATAAGTACATTAGAAACAAGAGGAGGGTTGTAAATGCGCAATTAAGAAAGAATCCCTATGGAGTTAGATTGATCTGTGTAGACCAAAAGCTTCATTGGTTTCAAAGCTCTTAAATTGATAAAAAACAATTTTAATTTTAGGTAGAGAAAATAGAATTTGCTGTTTAATTGTAGTTTTCATTTGTTCTTTTATACTATAGTTGGTGTGGTTTGGGTATGACCGCTCTTCCCATGTTAACTTTTTGATCAAGTCAACTGTGTCATTCAAGCACCTGTTTCTACAAGGCTGGGATCCTGCTTATGAAACTCTGCCCTATCCTGCTCCTCTGGGGATTTTTGCTATCTACACCATTGACGACTTTTATCTGAAGCTTAATCATGCATGGAAAATGGTAAGAAAAAACAACATTCTGGTCAAAGTGTTCAGGACTTAGATAAGAAATTGTAAAAAAAAAAAAGAGCAACAATGGGAATCATCTAAGATCACCCAAAGTCTTGCGACTAAGCATAAAAGTGAGATTTTGGAAGATTTGGAGGAGAGTGGGATCAGGAATAATGGAGACTGGCAAGTTAGTGTGGCAGTGAATAACAAGCTCACAGAATTTATCCAGGGATATTATTCTGGTTAAATTCTGTCAACTTTAGTCAATTGGCACAATGCTTCAATTTCACCATGTTTCATATGTCATTTTTGTATTGCTCTCTTAGATGGCACAGAGTTAAACTTTTGGACTGGTTTCCATATTATTTGTGAAATTTTAAAATTGTATCTTGCAGTCTGAATCATCTGTCTGCTCTTCAGATTTTATTATTGCAAATCAGTTTACATTTTCACTTTTACATTTCAGTATAATGAAGTATGGCCAAACTCCATAGGGTCATTCACACCCAATGCTAAGAACCACACATTTCCTCCCATGTATTTGTGTAAGACATTCTTTAGAGATGGCTGGGTAAATCCTAGGAATGGATCCTACAGCTTGCATAATCAGCCAGTAGAAGGTGAGTGGGCTCAGATAAATGGGGACTACGTACTTTTGTTTTTTTATGATGGAAACATGAAAAGATTTCCTCAGGTATCTTAAACTTTTTTTCTCTGTGATTGGTCTGAACATACGTATGTTATTGCTAAGCTCATGCAGGCCCGTAGCCAGCAATTTCAAAAGGGGGGTTCGTTTTCTGGAAAAGTGGACCTTTTTCCATAAAAACATCATGTACCTAGATCAAATTTTACCCAGAGTGGACCTTTTCCCAGCAAAAGGGGCGGTTCTTTCGAACCCCCCGAACCCCCCCTGGCTACAGGCCTGTCATGACTTTCACTGCATGGATGGATCATTAAGGTGATGAGATGTACACATATAAACATTTTTTTTTCAGAATGTATAGCTTTAACAAAGAGTGACTGTGAATTCTGGAACAACACAACCAACTCCACAGAATATTCCTATGATATAAAAGAATACTTGCAAAAAATAAACAAGACAATTGATTTCGATAGGTTGGTATGAGGCCCTTCTGGGATTCCATAATATATACAGGGTGGTCCATAAAAAACAACCTGTTTTACTTTTCATCTCAATTTTGAAATATATGAGATTAAGAGCGCATTCTCAACGAATTAAGCCAGGCTTTACAAAGCCGGTGACCTAAAAATGGCGGACGTACATGAAAGAAAAACCGCCTAATCTTTTAATAGTCTCTCCGCCTCTCACACGCCTCCCCACACGTCGTCCCTGCGGGGTACAGTAATTAAATCTCGGCTCCGAACATTAATATTTCCGTGAATATCTCTGGTGATATTATCTCCGTAGATAGTCGATTCATTGCTGCTCTACGGGCCAAATTATTCCTTTTTCGTCTCTGTTTTCAAAGATAATAGAACAGAAGAGCTTTTTTCCTTCGATCGCCTTCAGCCACCATACTTTCTTCACCACGAATCTAACTGATGAGCATGCGCACTTAATATTTCTCAGGTAGCTTCCGCATGGCGAACGGAGACGCGACTGTACCCCGCAGGGACGACGTGTGGGGAGGCGGAGAGACTATTAAAAGATTAGGCGGTTTTTCTTTCATGTACGTCCGCCATTTTTAGGTCACCGGCTTTGTAAAGCCTGGCTTAATTCGTTGAGAATGCGCTCTAAGATATTTCAAACTTTCTTCCATCAAATTGTTCAATAAGGATGACCATTTTATCCTTGCAAATTCTGTAGAAATTGGAAACCTTTAAGGTAGAGAAATTTCAATAATTGACAATGTGCTCTATCCTCATTCCTTGCTGTTGAATAACGGCGACCACACGAACATTGAAATTGGCAGTGACTCTTGCAATCATATCAGCTGGACTGTTCCATAATACTTTTCTACAGATGCTGGTCTTCAAAGTGTAAGGTACCCCCAAAGATAGAAATTAATTATATAGGTGGTAAATATAGATGGGAAACTTAAGTTAACAGCAATTAATGGCCCCAAAAACAAATCCACCAACCTTGTGTGTATGTAACAATAGCATGCACCGTAACAGCATCTGGCAAATGTAAGGTTCTCATTACCTATTCATCACCTGGACCAAGATGGCCAGGAATTACCACCGAGGTGAAAATTCTATAAAATAAAACTTGAATGAAAATAGAAAAAGTTAATATGATACTAACAGAGTGCAGTACGTCCTTATGGAACAGTTTGGTGAAAGAAAGTTGGAAATATCTTAATTATATCAAAATCGAGATGGAAAGTAAAATAGGTTTTTTTTTATGGACCACCCTGTAAATTTGTAATTGTTTATGTGTACTCATACAGAAGGATTTCCCTGAAAAGATGTCCTGATGATTACACTTTCTGATTAAAAAATGTTGTTTATGCATGCTTATATAGGTGATGGGCTGGGAGTTGCATTGCCATTCATTATTTTATGAAATCAGTCACTGCTTTATATCCCTTATTATAGTAACAGTTTTGACTTACTTTTTTTCCATTCAACTGATACTGTACATGCTATTAACTTAAAGATATTTCAAGTCATAAAAAACATTCTTTGAAATTATTTGTAGTTCTTAACACTTAAATTTTGATTTTTAGTTTGGTCAAAATGGAGTTCAAGTTTTCTGTGAGAAGTGTTCATCTGAAAAATTTTGATCTTGGAAGAAATGAAGCAGAGTGCTTTGATTTCAACATAACTGTATGTATACAGCCTTCAATTAAATCAATGCCAGTTTTCAAAAAAGCATTACTATATACAGTACTTCTTGTTGGATTCTAGGGCTCTGACTGGTCAATTACAATGTGACTTACTGCTGTTCACTATAACTATTCATTTTTGAGTAGCCTTGCACTAACATTTACATGTACTCTGATAATATAAAGACAATTAACTACAAGCAACTAAGCTGGCCAACATGTAGTGAATGCGTGAGAATTTCATAAATTCACAATATGACAGCACTGGCATATAAACTCAGGACTGGCTCTATTTATTCAGTAAGTTATAAGATATGCCAGTGTTTTTAAGTAGGTGACTGCATAATACACCAATATATGTATATATATATATATATATATTTGATAATTTCATTTTAAATACATTTTCCTTTTAATTCAATTCAATTCAATCTTATAAATAACTTCGTGATTATACTTCATGATTTTGAAATCAATAATATCTGCTTACCAATTGAGAGCATTTTTTTCTTTAGATTTTGCTAGACAACAGTGCCTACAGTGGACAGATGCCTGTCACTCTGGATGCTGATGCAAATCCATTTATATGTTATGAAGAAGATGAAATAGATGATACAGGTAAGTTGAAAAAGATAATATAGGTAAGTTGTTATTATAAGAATAATGAGATTGAAATCTTAAATGTTCACCAGTAAGATTTTTTCAAGTAACCAAACAAACTGATTAATATCAGATAAGACTAACAGTGGCAAAAGTTTCTTGCTGTTATAAGTGAAACTAAATAAATTGAATACATGTAGTTTGTGATCTTACTATTTTTCAGAGGATGATATCAGTTTGGCATTCATTGTGTATGACATTATAGTCATTATATTCTCTGTGACTTCCACAATATTATGCTCTCGGTCACTCTACAGGGCACAAAGGTTGCGTTCAGTAAGTATGATTCTCTCTCTCTCTCAATCTCTTTCTTCAAATTTTAGATTCTCTTTGGTGTAGAGTGCTTGATGCATAATAATAATATGCATAATATTTGTTGATCTACAGAAAATGTTTGCATAAGAGGGCATATCTGGTATGAGCCAGGGACATACCATAATATATATCATAATATGTTTGTTAAATTTTGTTAAAACTTAGTTGTTAATCTTTAAGATTACAAAGCCCAAGTTCCAAATGAAAAAAAATTGATTGCTTTCAGGATACTGTCATGTTTTTCAAAAAGCAGCGTGGCATAGAAATGACTCTAGATGACAGGATGCAGTTTCTGAACCTGTGGTTTATAATGATCATCATCAATGACATCATTACAGTTATAGGATCCATTTTCAAGATAGTACTGGCATTAATTGTGAGTGTTTCAGATCTTAAAGTGTTCAGAAGTATATCTTTGTTGGTAAATATGTCTTCATTTTCAAAGGAAAAGGCACATTTGGCATGTCTGTTGTTGTAGTACTTGTAGTTATGCAATATCAAAATTCATAATTGTTGACATTATTTCTTTGCATTCTCTAAATTCACACTAAAAACATTTTGTTTAAATGTTTCATGTATTTTGATTTTAAGGCTGGTAGCTTTATTTACATACCATCTGTAAGTTTGACATTTGGATATCTTATTTTCATTCAAATTCACCCAATATGCCAGTGTCCTCTGCTCAAAATATTTAGCTTTTATAATGCTAGCATGGAAAATTCTCATTTACTTTATGGCTTCTTCTTCTTTCCCATAACACAATGATTTAGAGTTATATATGGATTAAATATATACAGATACAGTGCATATACATGTACATATATTTTCCTTTTTTTTTTTTGGTGATAAAATTGCTCAATATTTTCTCATGCCCTCCAACATACACTGCTAGGAATGTCCTCTGCAATTCCTACAACTTCTTTCTTAGTTCCTACAACTTGCATACTTTTGCCACAAATTTTAAAAATAAAAAATTTGGATCCCTTTTGACAAAGTGTTTTCTTACCAGAGTAGATTTTTATTTACAGTCTGTACTTGATGATCATATATATTTATATTATTCCACTTTATGCTAACATTGATCAGTTACCTGTTGCTTGGAGCATGCATAATTAATATCTGTTAATACAAAACTTCTCCTTATATTATTGATTTTGTCATGATTTGATGTAATTTGATATACAAACAATAATGATGAATATCAATTTACATGTATAATTGGTGGAAATCATACCAGTAAGTTGGTGAATTTTGTGTTAACTGTCATTTCTCATTTACAAGCAAATTGCAAGGTACATGTTTAAAGAATCTAAGAATACTACATTCAAGTCTCAGTTAATAAAGTTTTCAAATATGTCTTACATGTTTGTGCTTGTGTTTCAGACGGTGGACCTGTATGAAATGTGTGGCCTCACTCTGGGCACAGGAAGTCTCCTGGTCTGGTTTGGAGTTCTCAGATACCTCAATTTCTTTGAAAAATATAATGTAAGTTATGTATTAAAATGTCCTCAGATGTCCTACAAACCACTTTTAAACGATTCAACTGAGGTGGGTTCGATCTACATGCCAAATGATAAACCACTGATTAATCACTTAGTCAGCTGTTTTTTCTGAAGTATGAGACATGCCCTTTAATGATCTTTAACTGGTATTTCTTTTGCTAGTAGTCACATTATAAGTTTTTAAAATCACTTATATCTTATGACATTTTGTTGGGTATGATTTGGCTTCATGTGTAACTTCATTTAAACAAGTAAAACAGAATGACAGCCAAGTAAGATTTCCCTTTTTTCATTTGTCAGATTCTGATCATAACTATGAAGAGGTCTTTCCCAGATGTGCTGCGGTACCTGATATGTGCTCTCATAATTTATGCTGGGTTCACCTTTTGTGGCTGGGTGGTACTGGGACCTTATCACGTCAAGGTAAGCACCTACAGACAATGAGCCTCAGAGAATCGGTGATAATTTTTTACCAACTTTAAATATGTAGATATTGTTCAATGATGAACTTAGTCATTTTTAAAATGGATGTACATGCATCTGCCTATACATGAATAATCTACATAAAAACTCTTGAATACCTGGACTTTTGTTGATAAAATCAACTGAAAAATATATATTATTTTTCACTTTTATAATTTATTTATTTCTTTTTGATAAAATTTCAGTTTCGTACCATAAGTGCAGCCTCGGAGTGTCTGTTTTCCCTGGTCAATGGTGATGACATGTTTGTCACCTTCTCTGTCATCACTGGTAATGACAATGTCTACATCTGGTACTACAGCCGTGCATTCCTCTACATTTTTATCAGTCTCTTCATCTACATCATCCTCAGTCTGTTCATTGCTGTCATCACCAATGTTTATGATATAGTTAAAGTAAGTTTTTATAGTGTCTCTTGTAATTTTTACACAATCTTGTATCTATCATGTTCAGACTGAAATTATATTTATTTTCTCATGATAAATACTAACATTTAAAATTTGAGTTTTTTTGTAAGATATAGTACCCACAGGATGGTAATTAAAATTTTTAACTTAATTATATAATAATTTTTTGTAAACCTACATTAACCATCTTGTTTCTTGCCTTACTTTAGCATTACTACCAGCATGGAGGTTTTCCAGAGACTGATCTTTCTAAGTTTATAAATGAGACAGACGAGGATCACACCTCCCCTCAGTTCAGAATAGAAGACAATGGTGGCTGTGATCTGTCTCGGCTGTTTAAATGTTGTTGTAGAAGGTAGGGATCTTAGGACACCATAGTACAGCTATTGGGTTATTATCATTGCTGTAAAAGGTATTTAAGGCTCTTGGAACTTCATAGTACAGTAAATTATGTATTTTATATCCATTAATCATCAGGAAATAATTACATTTCTACACAACATATTTACCACAATTTTTCTACTTTCAGACAAAATCCAGATGATCCAGATGAGTATAGCAGTTTAGTGAAAAGTCGCACAACAAATTGAACTTGTATTTGGTCTGAAAAGATGTGTTGCTGCCTGAATCAGTATTGCTTGTGCTAGTCTGGCTAGTCAACCAAAGATGGACAGACGTATATTTCTTTGTCTTGGTCATTCACAAAAAGGTCCATCCAGCAGAAACAATGAAACTCTGTGGGCACTTTCACTGAATGCAAATAGAAAAACTAAATGACTACCTCCTCTTGTTTCCAACTTACTAGTGAGTTTCCATGGAGATGGATCAATCTGCATAGAGTGCAAACCTCCGCCAAGGCAGCAAAGTCTCCATCTAATGCTGTTTCACCCCTAAATTTGCGATATTTTTTATTATTGATTATTGATTGATTATTGATCCGGATCACCACCAAAAACTAATCATCTGTTCCTTGGCCCACTTCTTACAGTTCCTGAAAATTTCATCAAAATAGGTCCATAACTTAGTTTTTTTATTTTTGATTATTGATTGATTATTGATCTTGATCACCACCAAAAACTAATTACTTCTAAGTTAACCCATTTCTGACCTACCCTGAAAATTCCATCGAAATTCATCCATAACTTTTTGACAAACAAACAAACAAACAAACAAACAAACAGGGGTGAAAACATAACCTCCTTGGTGGAGATAATAATTTCAATGGGAATGAGCCCATAGATTAATATGGACGAATTTGTTTTACAGTAATTAATGTGCTAAATATGTAGCACCTGGTCTCAATGAGGCCTACGTACAATACTGTTTACAATGTAAATGAATACACTAAGCTTTTTCATTTAATAGTACGGTAATGGACTTGATCTTTTTAATGGGGACATTTAATTTTACAGATTTTATATTTTTTTACAGTCATAATTCTTAAAATTAAAACATTCCTATTGAGTGGTAGCAACAAAATTGAAAAGCAGCCTACCCTTTTGTTCTATTCTATACAGTAAATTAATGCAACAAAAATACAATATATGATATAATTTTTAATGATTCCCAAATTATGTTTCTGAAAAATTGATAATTTTTCTGCATGGAAAAGATCGAGTCCATACCATTTTCATTCAATTTTTGGCCACCTTATGCCCATGAAATCAGTATTTCTCAGGTTCTGAAAATGGTATTATACCTGTACTAGTATGTGCATGATATCTTCACAATTGAAGGTTGACCAATCTGTTTGAGTTGAATTTACTAAGATATATGCATATGTATATAGCATTTTTGTACAATTTGAAAACACATAGTTTAGTATAAATCCATACCTTTTGTGTATTATGAGATCTTTCAAAAAAGTATTTCAGTAATACTTTTGTTTAAGAAACGAAAGCAGTATTTTTGTAATAAAAAAAAACTCAGTCAGTTTGGGACCATTGCCAAAAGAAAACCATTCTTGATATGTCATTCACTATTGTCTTATCATATTGTCAGTATGAGAAAATAAATTAAAGAAAAACTGATGAAAAGTTGTACTTTTTTCTTACTCATTATATTTATTTCTGTACAGATATTTTGAAAGAAAGTTTTTTGTTTAGATTTGAAATTAAATTTCTACATTTAGATTTGAAATTAAATTCTGTTTAGGTATGAAATTTTATCAATCTCTGGTGAAAGTTCATGACCTTGAGTTGCCTGTTAAAGTAATTTTGTTTCTCATAATCACACATGCCACTCATAAGTAGGTCAAACAGTTCTACCTCACTGCAAATTCTATAGGGCAGATAACGCATATACACAATGAGATGTCATGTGCTGGCAAAGGTCAAGAAAGTCTGAGTTAAGGAAACTTAAACAGGTCTATACTGAGGGTCAGTTTTGATGACACTAGCACTGATAACTTGTGTGTGTGATATGCTTTCACAGTGGTGCAGCTAAGGCAGGGTAAACTAGTCTTAATATTTTTATCTAGAAAACTTTCTTTATCTTGTTGATGAGACCAGAAGACTTTACTTATCTATGGAAAGCATATTGTGATCCAGAACTTACCATGGTGGAATGGGAACTAAGCTGTGATACTGTAACAGCTCTGGTATGGATTCTCTGAGGCGACCCAGGGAGATGTCAGTAATTGACAGATCACAGCGCCAGACTGGGCAAGGACAACAACAAGGTACATTTACTAGTTTACATGGTATGAATATATATTATATAACTAAGGCTAAGATCATTTAAGATAAAAGGGAGCTAAGGATGATACAAATGCTTTCATTTGGTTATTTTGATATAATAATTTTTAATTAAAATTTGTATGAACAGCACACTAAGCCAAATAGGCAGTGTCAGTCACCTGATGTACTTAAGCCAAACTTAATTTCCTGGTTGAAATGCTGACAAACCTCCCCTATAATCTGTTATCAGTCTGTGCTGGCTGACATATATGTAGTATGGTAACAACTTGGTCTAATAGAAAAAAAGATCGATCTTTTAGATACATAATTTTAGAATCATTAAAAAATATTTTTTGCAGCATCTATGGTGCTTGAGGTGTATAGAATAGAAATATATATTATATAAGTATAGTAGTCAGCTTTTCAGTATCTTTTTTCTATCACTCAGTAGGAATGTTCCAATTTTATGAATTTATGACGTAAAAAAAAACCGTATCTGTAAAATTCACAATTTTCCCCATTGATAAATCGAGTCATTATTGTAGGCTTGCATTCATTTCACAAATTAGACGGTATCTTAGTAAGGAATTCCAGTTTGTCAGTTTCAGACGCAAAAAGGAAATATATATTTTTATTAATTGAGTCTGTGCTTTAATCTTTTAAAACGCATGTAGGTCAATACACAGTATACCACTTGAGAAGGCAGATTGCATACCTGTTTATTTACACAATAAATTATCTTTAAAGATTTGGACCTTTTAAATAAAGATAAAGATTTTAGATGGATTGCTCTTGGACCAAAGATTATGACTTTAGTGTTTATATGATGACAGTTTTCTCTAAAAGAAACCATCTTTAGGATTTTTCTAGTTATGTTGCAATGGAAAAGTAAATTCTAGTTCTTGTCAGCTGTCTTTGTCTCGAGTCAGATGCATGGAAGTAAATTTTGTTGGTTTAAAAGAATGTAACATGCCTTTTAGACAAAGAAGAACAGTCAATAATAGAGAAAAGTTGATGTTTTAAGGCAGCAAAAAGCCCCCCCCCCCCAAAAAAAAAAAAAAAAAAAAAATCAATGATATTTTCAATCCTAGTTGAGTTTAAGGTTAAATGATGTTGAGCTAGATACTGTTTGAAATGCCTTATTCTACTGTGCATAATTTTTTAAAATTATTTTTCCATCTAAACAAAATTCCAACTTTTCTATATTAGTTTTGAAATCAGTTTCAGAACCTCCTTCAGATGAAAATCAAGAAAACCTTTCCAACAGAGAATCATGGAGACACTCTCATGGGAGGCCAAGACCATTCAAACGTGTCGCTTCCTTTTACACCCCTCACATGGAGGACACATTGAGAAGAAAACTGAAATTTCACTTTATGACACCATGTCAGAAGTGGACCACAAAGAGACGGTTTCCATGGAAAATGATTATACAGCTCCTTAAAATAGTGCTAGTCACTGGACAGGTATGTTTTTTTTTTTTTTTTTTTATAGCAGATATTCTTATAGCAATTTGAATGTGGTGTTAAATGTACAATTAAAAATGGTCTAATTGTTTATAGTCCTTGAAATTAACTGCTGCAAGACTTCACTGTGGTTCGTTTTTGTGATAAACAGATATGTAATACCTTCTGGAGCAAGAAAATCAATGAGAGGCAAGTTTTGAATAGTTTTAATTTTGAAAAGATACTGTAAAATTTTAAAAACAGTCATTGCCTTAATTCATGAATTTGATATTCTTTAATGAAATTACATTTGGCATAGAAATGAAAAAAAATCTTTATTTTGAAAGCACTTAGGGAGGGTTGAGATAAACCAATTCCAATAGATTCTCCCTAACTGTAATCACTGTTATTAGCTTAAATTTCGGACATGCCTCCTAGAGCTGCTTGGGGTAATTAAGCAGAACGCACCCAAAAGTTAATTACCCCCTATCCATCAAGGAGGTGTGTCAGACAATTAAGCTGATAACACTGAATGCAATTAAGTGAGAATCCCCTGCAGAGTTGGGTTGACCCTGCTGGTATGTTGTTCAGATTGGTGAAATAAATTGGAATTGAGGAATTAACCACTATAATTTTTGTTTTATACTACAGTTGGTGTGGTTTGGGTACGACCGCTCTTCCCATGTTAACTTCTTGATCAAGTCAACTGTGTCATTCAAGCACCTGTTTCTACAAGGCTGGGATCCTGCCTATGAAACTCTGCCTTATCCTGCTCCTCTGGGGATTTTTGCTGTCTACACCATTGATGACTTTTATCTGAAACTAAATCATGCATGGAAAATGGTAAGAAAAAATGTTCTAGTCCAAGTGATCAGGACTTGGATAAGAAATTTAATGTGTAAAGAAGACATCAATTATTTGTACTTTTAATTTTATCACTTGTACTCCGAATCAGCTGTCTGCTGTTCAGATTTTATTATTGCAAATCAGTTTATACTTTCACTTTCATATTTCAGTATAATGAAGTGTGGCCAAACTCCATAGGGTCATTCACACCCAATTCTAAGAACCACACATTGCCTCCCATGTACCTGTGTAAGACATTCTTTAGAGATGGCTGGGTAAATCCTAGGAATGGATCCTACAGCTTTCATAAGCAGCCAGTAGAAGGTGAGTGGGCTCAGATAAATGGGGAGTACATCCTTGGGTGGAATTGCTTAGTGAAATTTTGGGTACTTATAGAGAAGTCATACACTTATTTTTCTCTGCATACAGTACATATTTCCTTCATTCAAATTTGGGTTGGATTCAAGGAAGTAAAGTTGAGATAAACCTGAAATGAAATTCATTACAGTGAGATTCTCCTTTTTGATTTTCCAGAAAATGTGTTTACTCTCAGTTCATAACACATATTTACTTATAATTCAGATAAGATGTATGTCATTTCTCTTTAGAATGTATAGCTTTAACAAACAGTGACTGTGAATTCTGGAACAACACAACCAACTCCACAGAATATTCCTATGATGTTCAAGAGTACTTGCAAAAAATAAACAAGACAATAGAATTTGATAGGTTGGTATGGATCTCAATCTGTGAACAAAATAAATTGTCACTAAGGGTCCAGGATTTCACTAAAAAGATGTCCTGGATTAAATTATATTTTGCCACAAACAAGCTACATTTATATAATAATGCCTTCAATAGAAAATAGTCTGTGAATGCTACGGTAAAGTGCCATGAATTTCGAACGGCTCTTGAATTTCGAACGATCTTAAAATCGGCCGTCTGGAGTTTTTTCTGGACCATGAATTTCGGCCAGTAAGCAATCTTGCGCGATCTTCATTTCGTGAATTTCGTACACCTTAAAATCGGCCACCGGGCTATTCTNTAGTGATGATGATGAGGTAGAAGCATTGCTATGTTTAAACCTGAATGTTTTAAACCTGATTTTGTTTTTTCATACAATTTATGTTCAAATGCATTTTTAATCAAGAAAACATTCTTTAAGAATAAGTGCATTTATTCCATGCTTTTATTTGAATTTAAGATTGGTCAAAGTGGAATTCAAGTTTTCTTTGAGAGCTGTTCATGTAAAAAATTTTGATCTTGGAAGAGATGAAGTGGAGTGCTTTGATGTCAATGTAACCGTACGTAAACAATTTTGCAAGTATTGAAAATATCTGATCCAAATCATTTATCTAGGTTAATATTTTAAATAAGCTATACATATATTGATGATTTTATCACAGGTCATTTATCAAGTGTACTTTGTGATTGTTAAGTCAATTAATTAAATGACTGGTTTGTTTACCTTGATACTGGACCAACTTAGAGGATTTTCATGAAATTTTTCTGTAGATTTTGCTAGACAACAGTGCTTACAGTGGTCAGATACCTGTCACTCTTAAAGCTGCTGCAGAGCAATTTATCTGCACTGATGATAACAAGACAGGAAACACAGGTGAGTATCTCACAAAGATAAAATAATTGAAATATAAGCATTATTATATGTTTTGCTTTTTGTCAACCAAAACAAATTATTATCAATTAATTTAGATTAACAATGGATGGTAAAAAAAATTTCCTGCTGTCATAAGTTGAATTATTGAAATGATTTGTACTATATTTTTTTAATTTTCAGAAGATGGTATCAGTTTGGTATTTATTGTGTATGACATAATAGTCATTATTATCTCGGTGACCTCCACAATACTGTGTGCTCGGTCACTGTACAGGGCACAAAGGTTGCGTTCAGTAAGTATTAATAAGTAAAATTCTTGATTGTTACAGTAGAAGATATTTGCATTATCCCGTATCTATAAAGTCTAGTTCCAAAAGTCCCCTATTTTGCATCAAAATTTCACAACTATAATAGTGGATTACCTTTGGCACCAAAATTTAATAATTTGATAGTTTAATTTGTTAGTTTCCTTAACATCCAGGGATTGAAAAAAAAATGGCAGAATTCTATCATTTGTTGCCTCGTGGATTTTTTACTCTATTACAATTTGACATTACGTGTTCTAGGAAATGCAGAAAAGTAAACATTGAAATGTATTTTAATTTTTATGCCTTGTATGATTTTTTTACATCCCAAATCCAAATGAAATTAATGCCATTTACTTTCAGAAAACTGTGAAGTTTTTCAAAAGGCAGCGTGGTATAGAAATGACTCTAGATGACAGGATGCAGTTTCTGAACCTGTGGTTTATTATGATCATTGTCAATGATGTCATTACAGTTATAGGGTCCGTTTTGAAGATAATGATGTCATTAAGTGTGAGTGATGTTTTGGAAAGTGTTCAGAGCTTTATTTAAGTCAGTATATATAATTTATTTCATCATTTCCAAAGGGACCGACACATTTGACTTGGATGTTGTTGCATTAGGTATTTTATACACATCATCGTTAATCAAAAGTATTCCTCTCCAATTACATTATCCTCAACAATTTCTTTCAATTTGTATTTTGAATAAAATTTTATTTTTATGTTTTCTCCTTTTAATTTCAATTTTTTACATGAGCATAGAGATTGCCAGGTGCAAAAATTGTCTGGTCTGATTAAGTATTACAATTAAGCTTTTGTTTGGATATGTCCTATGTGTTTGTTCTTGTGTTTCAGACTGTGGACCTGTATGAAATGTGTGGCCTCACTCTGGGCACAGGAAGTCTCCTGGTCTGGTTTGGGGTTCTGAGATACCTCAATTTCTTTGAAAAATATAATGTAAGTTACAATGTTAAATGTCACCAAACGTATTGACAAAGAGTATTTGAAAAAATGTTACGAATACAAATTAAACTGGTAAGACAGAAGACCATCAATTTGAAAGTAAGATTTCTCTTTTTCCATTTGTCAGATTCTGATCATAACTATGAAGAGGTCCTTCCCAGATGTGCTGCGGTACCTGATATGTGCTCTCATGTTCTATGCTGGGTTCACATTTTGTGGCTGGGTGGTACTGGGACCTTATCACGTCAAGGTAAGCACCCACAGACAATAAGCCTCAGAGAATCAGTGATAATTTTTTTACCAACTTTAAAAAATATGTAGATATTGTTCAATGATGAACATAGTCATTTTTATAATGGATGTACATGCATCTGCCTATACATGAATAATCTACATAATAACTCTTGAATGCTTCGAATTTTGTTGATAAAAGCAACTGAAAAATATATATTATTTTTCACTTTTATAATTTATTTATTTCTTTTTGATAAAATTTCAGTTTCGTACCATAAGTGCAGCCTCAGAGTGTCTGTTTTCCCTGGTCAATGGTGATGACATGTTTGTCACCTTCTCTGTCATCACTGGTAATGACAATGTCTACATCTGGTACTACAGCCGTGCATTCCTCTACATCTTTATCAGTCTCTTCATCTACATCATCCTCAGTCTGTTCATTGCTGTCATTACCAATGTTTATGATGTAGTTAGGGTAAGTATTTATTAAGCTGGTGTTCCATACACAAAATTTTGAGGCTCATATTTTGTTCACATATGAGTTTTTAGTTATATATGCTGCAGACCAGAATGAAACCCAGCCAGATTTTAAACAGCCCTAGGCAAAATCAGAATTCATTCAGATTTTAATTTGGCCTAGGTTTAATTCGCCAAAATCCTAGATAAAAGTCCATGGTGAAAATAATACATATTGAAAATAATCTTATTTGTTTGAGGTGGGTATGACATTGTTATGATTTATTGAATGAATTTCAAGGGATGATTAGGGTAATTTTTTTCTGTTAAATGTTGGTAATAGCTTTTATTGCCCTTCACTCATTCTCATACTTTAGAGTGAGCTAAACACCAAAGTTTGTTTTAAAATACAATTTATAACTACCTTTACATAATGAAAGGGATTTGTCTGTTGGCAGTATATGGCATTTCCTTTTATCAAAAGTTAAAAACTTGTAGGCCCATTTGCTTAATGGATTTTATTTTGGCTTGCGACACATATACAAGATATTTATTTACACAAGATACTTACAGTTTGAGCATTTTTTGCATTATTTTATCAGCATATACAGGGATGGTAAATTTTTGTATAGCTTTTTTGTACAATCTATATATTTCCCATTACATTTCTTGTTCTAACTTTAGGATTACTACCGTCATGGGGGGTTTCCAGAGACAGATCTTACCAAGTTTATAAATGAGACAGATGAGGATCATACCTCCCCTCACTACAGACTAGAAGACAATGGTGGCTGTGATCTGTCTCGGCTGTTTAGATGTTGCTGTAGAAGGTAGGGATCTTAGGACAATATAGTTCTGATTTGGGGTCACATATGGCTGTAGCAAAAATGTGGCTAAGGAAAAACAAGCCTGGTGTTTAATTTACTAATGTGACCTTAATGGTGAGGAGCCTCCCCCCTACCTCCCCCCTCCCCCACCAAGAAGGGACTGAATGTTTTGTCACCTTTCAACCTCTGATGGTGGCCCTACACACCATCTGATCCTTTTCAGGATGTTTTATTTATTTTTTTATTTTGTCCATTTATTAACTTCTGATATAAAATCATGAGCCTGGTATTGAATATACAGTGATATTCTGAGATTGTGCCAAGTATTTTAATAATTTAAGGTATACAGCATTCTGTTTTTGCAATCATTAATGGAAATAATTTGCATTATTTTTTAGTTTGCAAAACGTATTCATCATATTTTTCTTGCTTTCAGGCGCAATCCAGATGAACCAGATGAATATAGCAGTTTACTGACATGTCACAGGACAAACTGAACCTGTTTGGTTTGATGCCTGAAAAAGCAACAAAACTATTTAATGTGCCAACTATGAATTAATTGTAAATTGTAACTGACCACTGATGAGGATTTCTTGAATTCTTTATTGAATACATGCCCAAGTGGCTAAGACCTTGCAATAAGGGCATGAATATACTGCTGACTGAACTGTGCAGTATTGTATGACGATCTTGCTAAAGAGGGACAGACATGCTCTTTATCTTGATCTTTGACAGTATTAATTTTAAGTGTATGAACAGCAAAAGTTCAGCGTTTTAAGAGCTTTGTGTATAAGTGGTCTCAGAATTTGATAGAAATGTTTTGAGATAGATGGTTTGATGTAAGGATTATCGTTAACCATGCCTAATGATGCCTTCCAACTTTATGAGTTGTTACCAAGGTTGCGATCATTCTCGTAAACCAAGAGGATATATCCCAAGTTGCCACATTTAACATGAGTTAAAACAATCCAATAAAGTTAACTGGATGCAGAAAAGTTCCTTACAGGGTTCCTTACAGTAAAGAAACCTAGGAAATATTATACATTTCTAAAATGAGAATAAATATTTGATCATTTTTGATTAGATGTCTTTTCTTTTGATTTGACCGGAGAGAGCTTAAAATATTCAGAAAAAATTATAAAACAAATAGCCATTTAAACTGGTTAGTGTCAGGAGAGAAGTTACATCAACACCAATGCACCATGTCACAAATTACATAAACGTCGACAAAGATGTGTCTAAAAGACATTTATTAAATTAGATACATTAATTATAAGTTACACTTTACACTTTGTTATGAAAGCATGTGAAAACAACACTTGTGTCTTAGTGTAGAACAGTTTCATTAGCTATGTTATTGTAATAGACTGGTGATAGGGTGATACATTGTCACATCTATCACAACCTCATTCCCTGATCAAGTCTGACTGCAAGCAGACTAAATATTGGCTGGTAAGACCAGACATATATAGGTAGCTAAAGACAAAAGAATCTTCACAAGTCTAATACCAGCATCTTTTCTCATTTTACATGTGATAAACAAATATCAAACAGAGCCGCTACAGTGCTTTTATCTTCAAGAAAACAAAACCTTGAAAACAATAAAGTTAACTTACATAAATCTGAGTTTTCAGAAAAATATCAATACAAAGGATGATAAAAATTACAAAATGTCCAGTTTTTATGAGTCACTTTCTTTACAGAAAGCAAATATGCATATGATGAGTTTTTAATGATTAATTTCATTATTATGAAGATAAAAATCGGAGGGTGATATTACAAAGCTATATTGTAACACAGTCCAAGGGACTATCACGAGTGGTAGTGAATTACCACAGCAAACTGTAACATGGCTCATTTTAAATTAACATATGTTGGTGAAGTAGTCACTCCACAGTTGTTGTCCTTCTGAGCCATGAGAACATAGCCATCATTTCCCCAGTATGTGGACCAGGAGTTCTTGATCAGCCAGTACCTCTGTCCGTTCATGGTGCCATACCCCACAGCCAGCACTGCATGGTCCAGGTCATCAGGCTTGTTACCTGACAATATAATATTTTTGTTAAAAAATTTTAATTTAAGTTATCAAACTATAACAATGTTAAATATTATTAATGATGTGTGAAAAAGAAATATCTAAAAATATTAATTTTGCAAATATCTTAAAATATTTACTTAAGAGCTCGCATATATAAAAACTGCAGAATGCACCAAAGATCAAAAAGAAATCATATGGTAAATAAAATTATTTAGTGTAATCATGTAAGTTAAATAGTCACTCAACCTCATTAATTTTGAACAGCATTGACCCTGTTCATTAAAAGAGAAGCTGGATTGATTAATTTAAACACTTGTTTTAATGAAACATATTTATCTAACAATCGGCATTATAATTTCTATCACTTGAATCCTCTCATTAATGAAACATATTTATCTAACAATCCGCATTATAATTTCTATCACTTGAATCCTCTCATCAATTTTTTCATTCTTTCTGAAACATAGATTTATGTCATATCCTAGCAACCATTCCTTTTATAATGCTAAAAATATCTTAAGAGGTATTCTACCTACCACATTTGGGTTCATAGTAAACACCATTTGCATAGAATGAGAGAGAGAGGTGGGCAGCATCGATAGCCACGGAGACGGGGCCATTGTTAAAGATGGCCATCTCCAAGGCTTCAGCATCTCCAGAGGTCACATTGACATAGCTTTTAATGACGGCTACAGGGGTGACATTCTTATAGTGACACATACCATCCTGGAATATTAATTAATCAATTTCCTACATCTTTTATCTCACAATGAAGTGCATTATCATGCAACAGTTTTAACAAACTTGGGAGTTGTAGAAGTACCAGTATAACAAAAGTTTATTGTAAATATGCATTTCAGTATGGTTCACAGGTGTCAACACTTACACAAATTCTCGGTATAATTTTCTAAAGACTCCCATTGTTTACAAATGTCATCCTACTGTTAATAGGATGTAAGACAATTAATATACAGTTTTTAAGCACTGCCACGTTTTCAACTCTGAAAATGAATAAACTCAGGTTAATATCTCACCACCGCCAGGTATGGGCCATACATCTCCTCGGTGGTCAGTCCGCCATGTTTCATGATCCACTGGTACGACCTGAAGTCCTCACCTCCATCACAGCCATTGTTCCCTTCACCCCAAGAACAGTCCATCAGCTCCTGCTGGGACAGACGCACAAGATTTCCAGTCTGAAAGGGGAAGCACAGTTTTATCACCCATGTATTGATGTAAACAAAGCTTACCTGAACAAAATACCTCTGAAGTTTATTGATATGAACTTTTTACCTTGCACTCACTATAAATTGTAAAATGCAATGTACATGTATTAGCTAGGAACAAAATTATAAATACACATGATATTGATTAAAATATCCTTAGGCTAAAAAACCAACAAATGTTATTAGTTTCATTTATAATCTAAATACCGCACTTTCTTCAATTATAGCGTCTGTGCTTGAAAAGTTCTCTTAAAACAAGATCACTAAATCAGTTAGCATTCTATATAGCCACCTTGAGGAAGTAAGCGCCCTCTATAGTCCCTGCAGTGCCGAAGCTCCAACATGACCCACACACTGCCTGGTCTTTGACAGGGGTCACAGCACCTACAGATAATATGAACTGCCATTAACACATGTCACACTACACACACATATATATATATATATATATACAATTCTTCAAATACATGCATTGTTATTTAAAGATGATGTGTACAGTTGTGTGATTTTGTGAGATGAAAGCTCACCAGAAATACAGTGTACAGACTGCCTTATATTTAACTTGATGGTCATATTGTTTAATTTTATTTATCTATTTTAAATCGGATAAAATATAATGTTATATATGCACAGTATGTGAAACTATCATGTGATATATTGTATGTATCAAAACCATATATAGGTATAATTATAACCTGTACATGTAAACTTATTATTGAAATATTACTATAATTATTAAACTCATATAAATGTTGATACAACTTATAATCATTAAACATCTCATCCCCACCTTTCAGCCTCCAGTTCATTTGATCTGGTCTGACTTGGTTTTTATACAGAGCCTTGTTAAATGCCAGTCCTCCATTGTAGACGTTCGAGTGTCTGTAACCTCTCATTATTTTCAATTCTTTTTCACTCTTGTCTGCCAAATGATTCACAGCCAGACTATACCCAAGGCCAGCTCTGTTTTTGGAGTGAATGAACCTAATAAAATATAGAAAAATGGCATCTTGGATGACTGGTAATATATCAAGGTATCTTTAATCATGTTGACTTTGTTTATCAATTTTCAAATTGTACTCATGTGACACTAATGATTCTTGATGTAAACACCATATGGACAGACAGTATGAAAGGCTGGAAGATGGTTATCAACCAAGAGATTTCATTTTCATATTAAGTGCTACATACCTCACATTTTTCCTGAAGTACATTTTCCTTGTCTCATGTTCATGGATGGTCTTGTAATCTTTCTTGTGTGTTGTTTTGAAATGTTCAAACATTTCACGGATATGGTTATCATCATTGTTGATGTACTCTGCCATAGGGTTCATGATGGCCCTGCCCTCTGCAGCACCAGGGCCTGGAAAACCTGTGCATGCCATGCCTGGAATACAATCAAAATACTTGCAGATCATTGCTGGAAAACCTGTGCATGCCATGCCTGGAATACAATCAAAATACTTGCAGATCATTGCTGGAAAACCTGTGCATCGCATGCCTGGAATATGATAAAAATACCTGCAGATCATTGCTGGAAAACTTGTGCATGTCATGCCTGGAATATCATCAAAATACTTGCAGATCATTGCTGGAAAACTTGTGCATGTCATGCCTGGAATATGATCAAAATACCTGCAGATCACTGCTGTGACATTGTGATAGATGTGATATCTATATCCATTCGAAATGTAAAACAATTGTAGAAAAATTAAACAAAACTGAACAATGGGTGGTGGGGCTAATGTTAAACAAAACTAATGGTTTGAAGATGAAAATCAATAACAACTATACCTCATCTGTTATATATATATATATATATATATATATATATATATATATATATATATATATATATATATATATATATATATATATATATATAATTGTAAGTAATTTCAACAAATAATCAAATGATGTCATGCTCACTAACCTTGTGGTGGGTCAAACTTTTTTGGATCAATGGGGTCCTTGTTGTTGAAGTTCATATAATCAACATAGTATTTGTCATAGTGGGAGCCCAGCAGGGAATCATAACCACGCATCTCATATCTAACTGGTGCTGGATTAGACCCAGTAGTTACCATGAAGGTGTAGGTGTTCTTCTTCTGTCCTCTCACTGTGACATTCTGCCAAACATCCACAGTCTGCCCATTATATGACATACCTTGTGTGATCAGCTGGAAAATGTCATGGAAATCTCTTTTAATATCATTTTTTTCTTTTTTCTGTGAGGGAGGGGGGGATAGGATAATTCTCCATTTATACCTCTAGAAACATCCATGCTCTCATTTCAATTATTATTCATTTCTAATGTATAGATTTCTTTCTATTTCTCCAGCTTACTGGAGCACATACATGTGTATATTGTTTACTGGCTCATTTCAACTTGAAAACTGAAAAGACAAGCAACATGCATCAGCCAATTAAAATCATTACTAAAATATTTCATCAATTCCAAAGGATAGAGGTCTTAATCCACTTGGACATTATTCTATAATTAACAGCACTTTGCACTGCAAACAGCCATCAATAGAGTACAGGGACCTTTAGCTTATCTTGTGACACTTGTTCACAAGTCACTTGACTTCAGCACTGTCAGCTGAGCCATCAGTTTAGAGCAAATCAACAAACAATAACAGGGGCTGGTCTAGGGCAAGTTAGCAAATGTGTTATCAGTTAGTAAACATGTTGTCATCTATGTTAATGCCAGATGTAAGTGGGCGTATATTAATCAATCATTAATTTGGCAAAGTTGGCCTCCACAGACTGCAACAGTTTTTTTTTCATTTATGTGTAAAAAAATAAATTTATTATCAATCATTTATTATAGATCTTAATATGAATAAATGATTGATAATTGGTTATGGGCAATTCAAGGATATATATTTTTGAATGCATTATTTTTATTATATTATCATGCTACACATTATCTGTTTATAACTAGAGTGTTGTTTTAAAAGCATAACATAAGTATATTTTAAAACAGAGAAATATCAAGATGACATTGTTTCCCACCTACCTGGAATCCAGTAAGATCAGGGAGGATAGACTGGGACTTCACTGGTGAATCTGAGGTCCCATTGACTTGGAAACATGACTTCTTGTTCATCACAGTGTCGGTGGTCATGTAAGCGATCTTGAAGCTGCTGCCATAGGGTCCTACATCACCCCTCATGATGGACACAGTCAATCCTTGAGAAAAAAAAATTAAATTTTCTAAGGCAAAACATTCAATAAATTTCAATTAGATTAAATGCAACTTTGCTGGCTATGCATCCAAATCAGTTTACAACATACTGGTAAATGTTGACTTTTAACATGAGAACGGAAGACTAAATATCATTAGCTTTTATATTAGGCGTTTCTGTGGCAAATATAAGCTTAAATATCCACAAACATTCACAATACATGAATAGTAAAATATGTGGACAAGGTGAAATGGTCATCCAGTTGAAGCATTGTATCAGCCTACCATTGTACATTTCAATCTTGCTCTTTGTTGCAGCTGCATCAAAATACACAAAGAAAGGCTCCTCCAGCTCTGCATAGGGAAGACTTAGAGTTCCTGCCACTGTGTAAGATTTACCAAATGATGGTGGTGTGGCCTTCTTCTGTGGAGCAGCCAGCACTCCTGAAGATGAAAGAGATATAAAGAAATATGAGAAGACCAAACTAGGCACCTTTGATTAATAATAATAATAATAATAATAATAATAATAATAATAATAATTATTATTATTATTATTATTATTATTATTATTATTATTATCATTATTATTATTATAACAACAACAACAACAATTACAACAATAATAGCTGTTGTTATTACCTCTCCTTTGTTTTTTGCCTTTGTTCAAAATGTTATGGGTGGATTTTGATAAAATTTAGAATAGATTAGATTTTGGTGGCAATCCACTGATTACATGTAGTTGATCAATTAGTGATAATAATGATAATGAGAAATGAGCTGCATTGACATGTCCATATATAAAAACGTATATAACAGTGCTATCTAGCAAATTACTGAGCACAAAATGCCTCTTCACAAAACATTTAATGCAAAAAACAAAGTGTTCAACATGTAGACAAAAAACTTCACCAGCACTTCAAACAATTGATTCTGTTGTCTGACGGGACTATTTAGCTAAATAAAAGCTCATGTCAGGAACTGGCGACCGAATAGTGTTATTAAGTAGGATAGCGCTTGTGCTATGTATTCTTATTTTAATATTAAAGCTGTTGCAAGTGTTGGTGTGTTAAAAATGTTAAAACAACCTCGTCTCTTTAAATTGCATAAAATGTGTACATGTGTGCAACGCAAAATTTGTCATATACCACAAACACGCACAGACTTGATTATGTGCATCTGCTTGTTAAATAAGTTCAATAGAGTCTTAAAATCAAGATTACAACAACTTTTACCTGTGAGGCAGATTAACAACACAACCGCTCGCACCGTCATCTTGGAAGTCATGTGCAGGTTTCTCAAAGTCACATGACATACACGGGAAGGGTGCAGTTGACATTTAACGTTATTTAATGTTTTTACAGGCTGTTCATCTTTAATTTTGAATCATGCTTGAATTTGTTTTTAAATAAGTCACACAAGCTAGTTTTTTACATTCTCAGAAAACAAATTATAAGAAAAAAATATTGAAAAAGATTATATCAAACACTAGCGCCATCTTCAGGGACATTGTTAGTACCCAGGCACAGCAAGCACCTGTTATCACTTACGACATAAGAAGTATAAAACATAGAGAAAACAGTAAAATTTATCAAAATTGTCAGTATAACTTCATTTTATATATAAATCAAATCCTAAATGTAGGAAATGATTATTTTCGTTTTCACAATAAAATATTCTCTGTACTTGTTGACGGCAAGTCGTTACACGGTGGTTAGGGTAAACAACATGGCAGACCGTGAGAAGAAAACGAAAGGTGAGTTTACAATAATGTCAGTTTTTATAATTCTTCCTACAAATCAATTTTAACGGCGTGGTGGGACGTTAATCATCCTCTTGGTTAAAGAAGATTTTGAATGATCGGGTTTTTCACAAACTACTGGGTCATTATCCATTTAAATTATATTATCTTCAGAGAGGAAAGAACGGTTAGTATCAGCTGCACAGAAAGGAGATGCTGACACAATAAAAAGAGTTCTTGAGAACACCACAATCAATCCAGATATAAAAGTGAAACATGAGAAAAGAAGCCCCCTCCATTTGGCTGCCGGGTATGGGCAGGTTTCAGCCGTAGAGGAGCTATTGAAGGTAACAGGCAATATTTACCTGTAATTTGTTCAGCATTCATCTTACTACATGTATTATTTGCATGGTATTATTTCGCAAGAAATGAATGGAAATAGCATTTTATATATACAGCATTAGTAACAGTGAAAACCTTGTTTAATTGTAGTAATTCATAATTTTTTTCATGCTGTTTATTCACATTACATTATAAAACATCACTAGCACATGTATATTTAGCTTAAATTCATTGAAGACTTTCATCAGCTGTGTAATGTGCTCAAAGATTGCAATAAACGAAAGCTAGAAATAAGAGTTATTGTTACTCTGTTATTGCAATATCTCACAAGCAGGGCTTATCCCAGGATTGGGGTACAGGCTGTCCAAATCTATCACCTGTTATTTCCCACAAAATTTCAGGGAATCTAAGCAATCATTTTTCAAAAAATTCATAAGGCGTCCAGCAGTCTTTGAAAGATTGGCCATCCAAATGGTGGCTGTCCAAATGATCATGGCTGGATGATTCATTGGGAAAAGTCTTTCTCACAAGATACCTTCATCAGGGAATGAGGGCAGTATTATTATCTTTAAAGTAATCACATATTTTTCTTTGTCACAGGCTGGAGCAGATCCATCACAAACAACAAGTATTGGAAGAACACCTTTGCATGAGGCTACATTAGGGGGTCACTATGATGTGATCAGAGTACTCTTGGACTACGTAGAAGATATCAATGCTCAAGACAAAGATGGGCACAGTGCAGTCCATTTGGCAGCCTATCATGGAGAAGAAAAATGCCTTGAAGTCTTATCAAACAGAGGTAAAAACATCCTTTACATCATAAAAAATTAAAGGATTATTTATCCTCATGTTGTTCAAACATACATAAAAAAACAAATACAGTCTGTGCCAAAACTTACAAGCCAACTTGGTCAAAGAATCAAGGCTCAAAGTACAAATAATGGCCAGAAACTGAACACATTTACTAAATACTTCCAGCCAAGCTTCAATCTTACTCATACTTGGCCTATGGGCAGTGTTGTTATTTGCAGACTAAAAGCGTATTGAAAAAAAAAATTCAGTAGTTTATTCTGCTGCATCATATCTTCCTTTTGTCCCAGGTGCTAGCCTTTCAATTGAGGACCAATGGGGACGCCATCCTGCTCATCTAGCTGCAATCCGTAACCATCCCAAGATACTGGAACTTCTGTTTGGGAAAGGGGTAGACCTAGAGTGCACCTGTGACCTTGGAAAGCTTCCTCTGCATTATGCAGCTCAGTACGGAGGTAAGTTAATTTGAAAAGATTAATTCATCAGAATTTCCAGCCACCCAGGAATTGGCTGATCCATGACATTGTGGAGGAGGGGTTGGAACAAAAAAGTTGGCTACCCAGTTTTTTGCCTCCCATCCCACCAATAACAACTAAATAGTATGCAAACTTACATTGTGGGCACCATTGTGTCTTTGTTCTCCATTTTTGGGAAGATATATTTTTTCAGTTTCAGCCTCTCTGCTCTGGCATGTAAGTACTTAAAATTATCTGTATTTAAGATTACTCCAACATAATTTATTTAAAAAGGGCTGTCAGGCAATTCTTAAATAAAAAGAGATTTTTGGATAAAAAAAATATGGTACCTTTTTAATTTCTTATAAATTTTATTTATTTTGTCACCTTTTCAGGTCTGGAAAGTTTGATCTGCCTGATAGAGCGTGATTGTGATATCACAATTGGTGACAACAATGGCAATGTCCCTGCCCACATGGCTGCCTGGCATGACCACCTGGACTGTCTCAGGTTCCTGGTTAAACAGGGATCAGCAATGGATGTGGCCCAGGGAGAGGGAAAGACTCCTGCTCATGTGGTGAGATAGGATGCCTTACAGTTTCCCGGGTTCACTAAAAATTTTGGTTTTTAGGGGTGTGTGAATATTTTAATCCACTCCCCCTATCCTACCAAAAATTGCATTTATTGTTGTTCTTGATATAAACACACAAATGTAGGTCATTGATTTTATCTCATAATTACTTTCATTATAACTTGACATTTCAGGCTGCATTGCATGGCTCCGTCAATTGCCTTCACTGGCTTTTTGAGAAAAAACTCACACCAAATTATCAAGATGGTAAGTTTATTTCATAATTATCTGAAAAAAGGTCCACAACGACAGGAAATTTTCTGTCTAAAATAATTAAATGTATGGGAACTCAAATTGGCTATTATGAGGAAATGCTTGTCAGTATGCAGAAAAATACTTGTTAATATGCAAAAATATTTTTTAATATCAAAAAATGTAAAATAGACTTCTGAAATAATAATCAAATGTTACTGATATTCTTACTTGACCAGCATTTGCCCACATTGAACCTCCTAGTATGTCTTACGTAAAACCAAAATAAGATCCCACTTTCTGTCTTTTAACCTGCAGGCTATGGCAACACCCCAGGGCATTATGCAGCTGAAGGTGCACATCCCAAATGTTTTAACTGTTATCTGCAACATGAGGGAAGTTTGGACATTGTAAATGACCGCATGGAAACTCCCCTGGATACTGCCCGGCGGTTTGGACATCCATTGCTGATGGAAAGTGCAGGTAAATTGAGATAATTTTGTTTGTCAAGGAAATTATCAGTTTGGACTGAGACTTAAATGGTTATTCTGGGTAAGTTATTCAGAACTTGAAATTCACTAAGGCAATTCCAGTTGAGGGTAAATTTTAAAATGAAAGTGACAGTGAAATTTTAACAGCATATTTTCCTTTTATTTCTTTTTGATAGTCATTCACCCTGTGATTCCTAAACTAGTTTTTGGCTCATTTTGTGTTTATTAGTAAAAAATGAGCTTCTATGTCCCCTCTGCGAGGCAAAATGGGAGAGACTGGAGTGGGAAAAGGAACATGCCCCAGCACCAGTGGAAAGAAGCATCATCAGAACTGGTCAAGTGGCTTACACATGCCCTGTTCCACCAAAAGCAAGGTAAGGCTGCATTCACAACAGCTGGCTAACTAGCCCATGGATCAAATATGGCCAACCCACTTGAATGCTTGTTGCATCTACTCAGCAACTAATCGGAAATTAGGCAGCAAGTTTTGTAGTAGATCGCCATATTTGATATGCAGATCTGCTAGTCTGCTGTTCTGAATGTGGCCTAAAAGTAGCAAAAAAATAAAGGTGGGCATGGGAAGGGGAACAGGGGCTTAGCCTTCCTATACATATTTTAATTTTTTTTTGTACCACTATGCCCCATTGCAAACCCATATTGTAAAATCCTGATTTTGCTAAATAAATAATATGAACAAGCATATTTTAATTAACATCTTAATTATATATATATATATATAATGGGTATTTTCAAAGTTTTCTAAATAACCATGGTCTTATTTCTGTGTCCTTTTGATAGGCATAAACCCCAAGAGGAAGAAGCTAGCAATGAGAAGACGGATGGTAAAAAACAACCAGCACCAAAAAAAGAGATTAAAGCTAAAGTGTTAACAGGTTCATACTTGCAGAAAGAAAAGAAAAAACTTCCACCAAGAGACCTTACCACAAGATATTTTGGAAATCACATCCAAAGCTCAGATCTCTTCAAGTTTGATTTTTGAAAGACTTAAAATCATATGCAAAAATGTGCAGAGCATTGGGTTTTGGTATTTGGATAGGAAAACAAAAATAAAAAATGTAACACGACCAAGAAAACACATTTTAATGTTAAGAACTCTAGAACACCCCTGGCTTCCCCAGTAGTCTTATTATTCAATTAGTTCTCACAAGCCATGTATAATTTGTTAATTAATAGAATCAGTGTCAAGTTCAGACTCACACAAACCCCTCATAGCATTCATATCACAATGTACTGAGTGTTACTGGGCTTTATTTTCAGGAAATAATGCAAATAATTGCTCTTCCATTGTTATGTGTATCAGTCAGTGTAACAATTTACAAATATCAACTCCAACTACTCCCAACTAGTTTATAATCATTGTCTACATCAATCTAGCATATTGTAAAATTTTATACATAACATCACAAAGTTTTCTAGATAAAAAAAATATATTATTAAGTGCAATCATAGGTATTTTCTTGTACAAAATCCTCCATGCAGATATAAGGGGCAACATGTTGGCGGGAAATACTTATGCCATAGATTTTGATCACACTGTCCATACTTTTCTCATAAACGCTGAAGCCTAACTTAACCCTTTCAACCATCCAATACACTGCACCAAATGCTGATGTCTTTTTTTTTACAACAAATAAAGTAGAAACACTTTAAACATGATGAATCTGAGTCTTAATAAGTTTATTAATCAGAAAACTTGCCTTAATTTGGACCCAACATATGTCCCCCTTTTGCATCACATCTTTGACTGTCAGTTAACTTGCAAAACTACTTCTTCTCATAATGCCAAGTAATTTTGAATTAAAATTATCTCAAAATTAAGTAGGATAATCTTTTTTAAATAAAAATCCAACACATCTTGTTCTTGTCTATTGAAAATTATCTTGCAAAACTACATCTATTTAAAACGCCAAGTAATTTTGAATTATAATGATCTCAAAATAAAATAGGATAATCTTTTTGAAATAAAAATAATCCAATACATTTCGTTGTCTATTGAAAATTATTTTCCTCCATTGGTTTTTATTATAAGTGATATATATATATATCCTCCTACAAAATCAAAAAAATCAAAGCAGGAGCACAACAGACCTTTTAATCTACAAGGGACAACTCTTGTAAAAAAATCTTGATGCTGGGAAATATCTAATATATATCATGATATAAAAACCAAGCTGTGTTTTTTCAAGCAGAAGTTCATCATATCAGATGCAGGCATGCCGTCTTCCAGTGACAATTCATGTCACAGTTTGTCAAAGGCATCCAGTGCATGCTGACAGGTCCTGAACTGTTCTTGTGCTTTTAACGACATTTGTGAAATAGAGTCTAACCTATTGTGGATACCCTGTATTTTTCCTTTTAAATTCTGTTCTTTCTTTTGTAGTTGGTCGATCTCCTGAAGTTTTCTTTGAATTTGCTGGGATGCTTCTTGCTGTTGTTCTATGGTAGCTGCTAAGCTGTTTGTTAATTCTAAAAAGAAGATATCATTAACATAATTCAGAGCCTGGACAAAATCAAGAAAATGCCAACCAGCTAGAAATCTTTCTTTAAAAAAAGAAGGGCATTTCTTATAAGTGCTTACTTTTCTTTTCAATGTCCATATCATGAAGCTCTCTTTGGTGAATGTCCCTGTCCCTCTCCATGGCTTTCCTGAACACGCTCCTGGCCTCTGAGGTGCTATATTTAAAGTAACTCAAAATATTCTGTTCGTTAGCTGTAAAAAATGAGAACAAAAAGGCATAATTGTACATATAAGTCACTGTTAACCTTTAAATACACCAATTATGCAAGCAAATGGAAGCAGTTATAAGAAGCAACTACATCAAGTTTGTACTAAGTTATGCTAAATTCAAAACAAGTTGTGTGTGTGCACATGCATGGTGTGCGTAAGTACATAATTATGCATGTGCATGTATTTGGAAATATTCACAAGTACAATACCACTTACATGTTACAGTCCCTTTTCCTGCAGCTGTAGTTACCGTAGTTGTTGCAGCGCTTTTTGCTGTTGTTGGCAGAGCAGTTTTTGCATTTATGGTTAAAGAACTGTAAAACAAATTCAAATTTCTCTTCATAAACAGTCCTCGAAAACTAATTTCTCTTACACTTACCAAACAGATATGATAAGACTTAAGTCTACAAGTTATAACAAGACAAAAGGAAATGTTTCTTTCTCTTACTTTCTTTCTTCAGGTGGCTGAGCTGCAATGTTCACTTTCCACAGCAATGTTGTGCTAGTCTTGGCTTTCTTGGGGTCTGGCTCAAGAGAACTGGAGTTGGGTTCTACAGGGCTGAAAAGGTTAAAAACATTGCCTTATACTGCACAGGATAATGGTGTATATGTTTGTGGTAATTTGGGATGGAGGAGACAAAAAACCCTTGCTCTGCATTTAAGCTTTTGACTCTCCTTTTATTAACATAATAAGTTTTTAAATAAGGGAAAATATTTATATACATATTTTCAGTTCAAGATAACATGCTTATAAGCACACTTGCAATTTCTTGATATAAAGTCAAATATTACCACTTAATGCTGGATCCAACATCCGTCTCTGCTGGCATAACTGCTCTCTTCTCTGATGTCATTTTAGGCGACTCTCGGATTTTTCTTGATGATTGACGTGGTGTACTTGGGGAGTAGAGACCTCCAGAGTTTGATTGCTAAAACAGATTTGAATGTCAGATTGAGTATTTAAACATTTTTATATAAGAATTTTTACTAAAAGTTGATACATTTTTATTCATATTGTTTTACATCATGACTCAGAAAAAAAACCTTTGGGAGACACTTTTTTTTGCAACTGCATTAAAAAAGTTGAAAATAATTCATTTAAAAACATATAACTTGGGCTAAATTAGGTGGTCTTGCTGAGAATATAATTTGTACTTCCACAACTCTTGTAAATGTTGCCTACCATTCCTCCCAGTACATCTATGTCTGAAGAAGTATTTTGATTCTGTTTGTGGGTTTTACGCTGTATTACACGCAAATCCTGAAAGTACTTGGACAGCTTCAACTGCCCACAGTCTATTGCAACATCTAAGGGCTTAAATCCCTGAAATAATTAAAAATATCAGACTGAGTCCATATTTGAATCCACCCTAATTTTGATTCTTTCATCTTAACTTTAAGACAATGAACTAGCATGGCACATGGTTTGCTGCAAAGCAACAGTCTTTAAATAGCACCAAAGTCAACACAAACTAACAAAGAAACAATCAATTAAATGCAAACAGCATACAAATGAAAAGATCATCACTCAAAGTGTGTAATATTCAATTTGTTCTCCAAACTCATACTTACCTTTTTATTCTCTATATCTGTGCGTGCCCCTGCCTCAATAAGAAGTTTGATTCCATTCATATTTCTATCATGCTGACTTAGGATATGGAGGGGTGTGTCACCCTCAGCATTCTGGCTTGATAACAAACTCTTCAAAAAATCTGGAATAATATGGGAAACATATCACAGGAAACACACGTGTGTGTGTGTTTGGTCATGAGTATGTTTGTGTATGCACGCATATGCATCTTTATATATATATATATATATTCACACACACAAAGTTTGTGGTATGATACTGTGTTGGACTGTGTCATAATTTTTGTGTCTTAGGTATTAATACATTTATGTGTTGTACAACACTTCAGGCCATATGAAATAATTAGCTATACGTAAATCCAATGTTACAAGGTTCCCCAAGTATAGCAACAATCTGTACTGGCAAACCATGCCATTTGTAACAATGTGGCAAAGCCAGTTAACTCCTTCAATCTAAAAGTGTACACAAAGGGTCATTCAGAAAAGATGATCCATACTAACTGACAAGTGCCGTTGCTGCAAGAGCCTAGCAATTAAACCTCAGAGCTGAGATTTAATCCATTTAATGACGCATGTGGAGGTGGGGAAACCATCGGGAATTAGCAGTATCGCATTTGAACAGGGTTCCGTTCAAGTCAGCAGATCAGTTAGCACTTGGATCATCTATTCTGAATGGCCCCTAAGTCTGTGCATGTGGGCCTGTGTGTCTCTGGATGACAGTGACAGTGGGTGGCACTGGGTGCTCATCAGCAAGATAAGAAAAAATGAAGGGAACATTGTATCTGTCCTACCATCCCCCTTTCTCTTTCCATGTCCCACCATGGCTGCCAGACATTCATAATGAAACTCCACTTTAGGCACCTCTTTGTGCAGCAGCTGACAGCAGGTGTGGACAGGGGTGCAACCAGAGAGATTCTTCACCAGTAAAGCACTCTCCATGGGTGGGACCAGTTTCTGAAACTTCTGCAGGGCCTCCTTAGGACACGTCTCCTGCAGGCAGTAGATGGCCCTGTGCAGTCCCGTATCACCTTCAGTGGTTTGCTGTGTTGGCTTGAAATCCTCTTCTATTAACCAAAGAACGGCAAACACCCTTCCTGAAATATGTGCATTGTTTAACAAACTAAGGCCTCATTCACATCGAGTTGAGCCATGGCTCTACAAAGCCACGACCTAAATATGGCGGATGTACATGAAAGGAAAACCGCCTAATCTTTTAATAGTCTCTCCACCTCTCACACGCCTCCCCATGCGTCGTCCCTGCGGGGGTACATTCATTAAATCTCAGCTCCATTGCGACAACACATGGGGAGGAGTGTGAGAGGCGGAGAGACTATTAAAAGTTTAGGCGGTTTTCCTTTCATGTACGTCTGCCAGGTCGTGGCTTTGTAGAACCATGGGTCAACTCGATGTGAATGCGGCCTAATACTCCAACTATAATCATAAGGGGGCATTCAGAACAAGATGATCCGTGGACTAACAGATCTGCAGATCAAACATGGCTGACCCACTTGATACCTTGTAATATAATCCCCTAATGGACACTGACTAGATTACCCACAAGGATTATGCAATAAGCTTTCAAGTGGGTCGGCCATATTTGACACAAGGATCTGTTAGTCTGCGGCTCAACTTTGGTTGTGAACACTGCCTAAGACACATCAAGATGTAAACTTCACAGTACACTCTGAGGGGTCCTGACATGTAGAAATGCTCCAGGACAGGAAGTTTTACTACCTTTCACAATTGCTACACAAGATAACTTCCCGCTCCTTAATGTTAAGTTAATCTAACAGCCATGTCCAGCACAAAGCCTCCTTTTATGTGATAACCAGGTTATAAATTGTCAATTTCTCTAAGTGGATTGGTCTAGTTAATCAACCCCTAAATGTAAAGAGACCTACCTAAGATAACACTGTAATTTTTGTTCTTTCCCAGACAGAGATGAGTTTGAGGGATAAATGAAATGGTTTACATTCAGTGATCATAGATTATCATTATATTTGAAATAAAAAATAAAAATATCCTACCTAATGCACATGCCCAGTGTATCATAGGAAACTGATATGCTTCATTGGGATCAGGGATAACACCTTCTTTCTTCCATTTTCCATCCTAAAATTCAACTTCCTTTTAAAACATCGTAATTTCTAATGACTGAAAATCAGGAAGTTACTATTAGAACATTCAGAAACAAGGCACAACATTTAAATAAAGACTGGTCCAGCCAAGGGACATTTTAATCTAACAACAGAGTTGCCAACTCTACGCATTAACACATATTCTTTCACTTTGTATTATTCATGACATTCATGTTATGTTATTGTTGATAAGAAATAAGGCAACAGATGTACAAATTCTGAGTGCTGACATGTTGGCAACTTTGTAACCAGTCCACATTTACCTTTGTGTAGTCATTGATACAGTCTTGCAAGTCTTGTAACAAGGATTCCATCATTTCCTGGTCTTCCTCTGTGTCTATACAGTTGACAACAGCCAGGAGTAGTGGATGATGTCTCACTGTACAGCTACTCTTACAATATGGAGGACATCTCAACAAACCCGAGGAACCTTAAAATAATAATAATCATAGATGGGACTTGAATGCATTATTTTCTATGTGAAATAAAAAGCTAGTAGTTGCTCAAGATATTTTCTTTCATTCTAAATCATGTAACAGCAACAGGTTACCTGTCATCTTACAAAGCGGAACAAGTTTTAAAATACTAAGGCTTGGGTTCTTTACCAATAAATCACCCTCTTTCTCTTTCAAAATACAATATGATTCATTACCCATTTGCACATGATAAAATAACTGAAAATTAAGGGTAGTTGAGACTACGGTGTAACTGTATTAATGCCACCATCACTTGCACTAGCCCTGATTGATCTTGGCTGAGATTTCATGATTGCAACTGGATGTGACAAACATAGACGGACATTTGGAGAACCACCCAGTGCATTAATATCTATTCTAGGAATACTTGTGATGCTCAGCTAGTTCTATGATTAAGGCAGGTGTACTACTGGATAATGTATGTATCAAAGGATGCATTTTTAGAATAATTACATCCTGTGTACGGTACTCACCGGCCATGCTTGTGCTATATTTGGAAACAAAAAGGGGTCACGTAAAACGGCTGTCGTTATAGAAAAATAGTTTGGTGTGACGATATGTATTGGGGCTACATTACAATATGATTTCAACATAGTCGAAATATATGTTTTATTTTTCTATTTACATGCCTAAATATCTTATGTTTTGACTTGCTGTAAAGTACACCGGCATTATTTGGTGACGACAATAAGAAGCAGTTCGTGGCGCAGAAGGATGGAGGTGAAATATCTTCTGCTGTGCATTTGGGGCTTACAAACGATTTCGACATCGTTGGCGTACATTGAAGGACTGTACTGCGGTTTGGAGAACTGCTATGATGGTAAAACCCCCTGCTCCTCCCCTCTCTCTCTCTTTCTCTCTCTTTCATCACACACACATACTATACATACACACACACACTGTAATTAACAATGGTGTATTCGCTTATACAGGTTCATTAAACTAATTCAAGAATTTTATTTCTTTTCAGTTCTTGATGTTGACAGAGATGCAACGAAAGTAAGTTGTAGTTGTACAGATTATTCTCATAACAACAGGCACATTGTTAAATTGATATTAAATTGGATTTTTAAATATATCAACAGTTGTGGATCATGTTTTCTGCTAAGTTCCAATATTTATGACAGAGGTATTGACTTCTGTTATGTTCTATTTCAGGGTGACATCAGTAAGGCTTACAGGCGCCTGGCCAGGAAGTGGCACCCTGACATGCACAAAAGCAGTGTAAGTTACGTACTGTACCTGGGTTGTCAACTACCATGACTCACTATACCTATGAACACAACAGTATCACTTATCAGTCATTTGGGTAGTCATAGTTACGCAAAATTAATCAGAACCATTGAATATTAACATTTGGACACATCATAAATGAAAAATACGTGAAAAAAAATGTAAGTTGGTTAGAAAATTAACCTATGCTTCTTTCAGAAAAAAAAGAAAGGATGAAAAAAAATTACTAGTATAACACCTAACTAGTGTTATACCAAACAATAATCAACCTGTAGTTATGGATATATCAGAGTGTTTTGTAATCTTGTCATTAGTACTTTTTTTTTCACTACCTTTTTAATTTCATTGCTCTGGTAGTTAAAGGATTTTTTTTCTTTTTGCATTGGTGGAATACATAAATCTCTTTGTAGGGCATAACATGTGATAATATTGTTCAATGGGCTTCATTTCAGAAAGCAAAGGAGAAGGCTACACTGCAATTTCAGAAAATTGCAAATGCTTATGAGGTAAGGTTTTTACAGACTTTTTCAAAGGCTTGGATGTTGAAAATGAAATAGATTTTAATATATACGTTGCACCCTTTTGCAATTGATCAGTTTCTTTTTGCAAGATCCATAATATAACATTAATTTATCTTCACAATGATAAAGGTTTCAAGTTCTGAATGACATCACTGTGGTAATGAAATAGTTCCAGACTAATTGTTAGTCCTAACATCTGGTCCCAATGAGAGCTGATACTTATTCATTTTAGGCATCTTTACTTGTTTATCATATAGTATTTTGTTTATTTTTAACATTAATCAGTTGACCTTGTACATTAATACTTATTTCAGATTTTGACAGATGAAGAGCAAAGGAAGGACTATGATCATATGTTGGATAATCCAGGTACTTAAGGAACATCACTCTCAAAATGTATAAAGATTTTTTTAGGTGTTGCTCTACAGCTTGTATTCACACTCTCTTTAAAGTGTTCAATTTAGTGCACATTTTTTTTTTACTTCATTTATACTTGTTCTAATCAAATCATCTACTCAATATTTTAGATGAGTTCTATTCCGTATATTACCGCTACTATCGCAGACGCTATGCACCAAAAGTGGATGTCAGAATTGTCATAGCTGTTACACTTACTGTCATCTCTGTGGTACAGGTAAGTGTGAGATACCAAGATCATGGTGAATTATTTGGATATTCTGTTTGCTATGTGTTGCCCTTAAAAATTCCAATTTTATGACTGAATGTCTCTGTTGGCATAAATTAAATTTGTGGAGTGCATATTGAGGTTAAATGGAAGGTGATGGAGAATAATTCTATTTTTATCCCTTGATCCATTTTAAAGGTCAAATTGAGAAATAATACTAGCTCTGTAGTGTTTGTAAACTTACTGTTCTACTTTCCTGACAGGACATTTTCATATTTTATTTGTACACATTTGGGGTCTTTATAAGTGTCAAGATTTTAGAGTCAGTTGGTGTGGTTTTTATAGGTGAAACATAATTCATAAATAAGAATCTTTAAAATTGCTGATATCTGTTTGTTCTTCAAAATTCTTCTTATAAAAATAGATCCACAGATAGAGATGAGCAACATACCCAGCTGGTGGTCTGTGGCCTATGCCTCTTTGAACTTGAAGGAAATTTTAAAAGAAAATTTAACAAATGAAAAAAACTTGTCAATGACCAGACAGAAATATTGCATGTTTCAGTACCTTGGCCAGATGAGTAACTACAACGCTGCCATAAGATATCTCATCCAACAGCCAAAATACAGAATGCGAGCTATGGAGATAGCAAAGACTGAAGGACTGTTACAGACAGACAAGAAAAAACAGAGGGGAAAGTCAAAGGTAAAAGCAGTAAAAGCTAAGTGCAGTAAGCCTAAAATGCTGTTGGATTAATTGGTGTGAATTATGTGATTATACTTGTACTTTTTTGATGGAAATCTAAGATTGTAGGTCTAGTAAGTTCTACAGGTGCATAAAACACAAAGCTTTTGAGTGCCTCAAGAAATGAAAATAGTGTCTTTATTATTCTCTACACAAGAACATACCTTAAACCATATTTTACCATTGTAGGAAGAAATCAAAGAAGAAGAGGAAGCAGTTTTGAAAAAGGTTTTAACAGAAAAAATGGATATCAGGTGACCTAATAAAGTTTTAATTTATTTTTAGTCACAGATTGCAGGTTATCAACATATTTCGGCAGATTACATATTCACTCTTTTTGTATGATTCAGACATTGCAAATTGAGATATATATATTAAGATATTAGGATACACCCGACATGAATATCCATTAATGTGAACTAAAATGATGTTATTTCAGGGGCGGTTACAGCAAACCAGACCCTTACAGTGTCCTGTGGGTGCAGCTGATCTTGTCTCCCTACAATATTTTGATGTATATACTCTGGTGGGGGAAGTGGATCTGGAGGTTCACTATAAAAAAGGAAGAATATGGAGAAGAGGAGAAGTTGTATCTCATCAAATCATATTTGAAAAAATACAGTGGGCTTACAAATGTGCAATGGGAGGTTAGTGATGGCAAACAGTAATTACAGGAAAAAAATCAGCAGCTGCAAGCTTAATGTTTAATGTTCACAATGACCACCAGCTCTCTGGTTAAATACTTCTTTCTGTCACACAAATTCATAAGTAATAATTGCTTTGGTATCAGATAAACACACTACCAGAACTTAGTTAAATGAAATGATAGTGCAAACTTTTATCCCCTCCCTTCCTTTTTTTTCTTCTGGAATTGTGTTTTTGTTAATATTTTTTAATAAAATATTGTTTCTTTTAGGAAGAGGTCCACATAAAGATCTGTCAGTATTTATGCTTTATGATTTTAAGACCTGTACATAATATTTTGGTCAGATGGCTGGAAGTGAAAGTATGTCTAACACTCAAGTTTTTGGTCATCACCTTTAACCATGTTGACTCTTTCAATGACCCAGTCTCTTGTAATATATGATTTATGTAAATAGCACATTCTCTTCAATCCAGGTAGCCTGTTCATGTGTTGGTATGAAGATTTATATAACATTGTAATTTGGTTTTTCAGTCTCTTGAAGACCATCAGAGAGAAGACTTCTTGAACAGAGAGCTGTGGATTTTAGAGAAATTTCAAGTAAGGCACATAAAGATGTAATAATTTTAAGTGCACAAAATTGTCTTGTGAATAATGGAAATATTTCTATTATAGCTTTGCTCTGGTATGTGTTAAAGTGATTATAATTTTGATATATTCATTTTATCCATAGCAATCTTTAACTGGTATAAAGGGTTCAATGATTCAATGAATTGATATTCCATTGGGACAAATACATAAAGAAGGAAACTGTTCAACAAATTATAATGTCATTGTTTTATCAAGAGCAGCACTGGAAGTTGCATAGTATAACATTTTGTTTAGGAGTGGAAAAAAATCCAGGATGAAGAAGCCAAGGCCAAACTGGCAGAGAGTGCCAGGTACAAAAGCTACAGAAGATTCATGAAGAACCATGGTGTGGGACAAATGACATTTGGACCAGAATGACCCAGCTGTGTTCAGCCGGACCTCCTTTGTATGCAGAATTTTACTGATAGGCTGAAATATGCCACGGTCTTACAGCCTTTTCATCTAGCTTATCAGGTGCTATGCATTCCTCATACCCACTTACCCAGAATTTTTCTGGAATCTCAGAGACCTCCTAGAGGTATTTGGTTAGCTAAGGTGAAGGTTGCTTTTATCTCATTAAATGGTCCACATTTGTGCACTGTGGATTTAACCTAAGCTGAAGTGCCATGGAGTCCCTGTACTTAGTTTTAGATATGCCATGCATTCCATATGCCAGTGCTGATGTGGCATGATTGGTAATGTTCTGAATGTTCTACACATTAGGTATACCAGCTATAGTCACCACTGTGGTAGAACTTGGGCGACGGGATAATAATATTTTGGTTCTAGGGTTAAGTTTTAACCGAAAAGAAAAACAAGAAAAAATTAGACACTTTTTAGATTCATTATGAAAGATTAAAGGCTTAGTTGGTTTTGATAAGAATTTTTTGTTAACAGCCCTCGAAGATACTCCAACTGTTATTGTAATTAAGCTCAGATACTTGGTCTTTAATGGACTCGAATTTTTATTGTGAGCTATTTGGACTAAGGATTCTTGCAGGGTGGTTCTCATGTCCATTAATTTATGGTAGTTAAGAGTACAAGTCACCCTTGTTAGAAAAACAATAGGCATTGATGTCTGAATTAAGTGGAAATTGAAGAAAAAAAGAATTATATGTTATACTGTATTACATCATTCTTACATGTTCTTGTTGACACCAAAGATGTTTCCATGTCTGTGAAAGGATAATGTAATTTTTAAGCATTGAACATTTTGTTTAGAAAGAGTATTAACAATGAAAGTTACAAATAAAGTTCCTTTTAGACTTTTAGGTTTGACATTTTTTTGTTCAAGATTCCAAGTCAATATTTCACTTCAGAGAATTTTAATCTTGTGCTGAATACAACATGTAATGCAAATATTTTGAATACCCTTGGGTAAATATAAATGATTTCAGTGGATTCTGCATATCATTTTTTCTTTGATAAATTAAAAAAAAAATGGAATTGCCCTTTTTCCTCATAACCAGCATCTTCTTTACACATACCTTTTGTGTTTTTTTTTATCCATTTTAAAGAATTTGTCAATAAATATTACCAACTAATACATTTGAATGCATTAAACAGATGTGCTTATCATAGCACCTGCAAAAAATTCTGCCCAAAAAAGGATGCCAATTTTTAAAAAAGCTGTCCTTTCTTTGCTTACAAACTGTCCAAAATGGCCAGCATTCCACACATAAACCCACACTAGCTTTAATGTCATAACACTGCCTCCATGTCCACATTGTTACAGTTACAATATGCAGTAGTAGTTGTATGCTATGTTATTTGTGCACCATTTAGTGTCTTATTTACTTCATTCTTTGCACAACTACAGCATTTAGTAACTTGGCATCTGCTAAAGTTTGAGTTTCATCAGTCAGTTCTCTGTTTGGAAATGTTGTCATGAGAACAAACTGTGTTCCCTCCATCTGTGGACGTGCTCTGGGACAAATGTTAAGGAAAGCGAAATGGACTTTAACATAAAAAATATAAAAAATTGTGGGGAGTATTTGAATTACTAAACCCAGACAGCATTTTTGTAACAGTGTATTGAGTGGAAAGAAGAATATGTTTAACACCACAACTTGGCTAAAACTATAAATCTGCTAGCCAAATATGCCAGACGAGTAGTAGTACACATAAAAATACAAACTAAAAATGGTGTGTTAATATAACTTGAATCTCTACTGTTGGCTTCAACTTGTGATAAATAAGTGTAGAACTTGTTTTAATGAAAGGATACTTTAAAATATAGTTCCGTACATCACTGATCTTGTTGGTATGATTAAATTTTGCTAGTAGTCTGAAATGATAAACAGAAGCATTTATTGATGGTTCACAAAAAACACAATACATAATTACCACATACAAACTTTAAAATTGAATACTATTTATTATTATTTATTTCATTTGAAACATTAACATCTAAACCTATAAAAAATATGTGATAAAGCACTGCTTCAAATCATGACTATTTTAACTCTGTATTGCCCCCGTTTCCATCACCTTCCTCCATCTGCCAGCCTGATCTGTATGCCTGTGGTGGGCAGACTGCTGTCTACCTCCACTGAGTTCACTGCTGCTGCCTCATTCTGCTGGTTGACATCTGGAGAACTCTGTGTGACTACAGTTGGAGCAGCACTGTAAATATATTATATGTTATGTTACAGTTATCACATGAGGCCATGCTGGGGCAAAATTTTTAATGAAATATTGACGTAGCGCTAGCAATTTTTTTTCGTTTAGCTAAATTACCACTTTTCTGTCAATCTGTTATCTAGATGGTTGTAATTGGACTAAAAGATTCAGATAAAAATGATGAAATATGTGGGGGCCTTTATACTGTAAGTTCTGCTATTCACTGATTGTGATTTATCCTTACCTTCCCAATCGCTGGCCTTCTCCAGAAAATGCTTTCAGTTTCACTTTTGGTGCTACAAATTCTTCTTCTCTGTGGTCCTCCATTTGCAGATCTACTTCTCCTCCTTTAGCCAGCTTTATCAGCTCAAGTGGCACTTGACTTAAATAACGCAAAGATTTCCTTTCACGTAAAATTCACAAAGAAAACAAACATGACTCTTTCCTGCCTGAGTGGAAACTACTGATCATTTGTCTGTAAGCCACAGTTAAGATTCGCCTCAATATGTCACAAAAAAATTATAAAGCTTTAGCAAGTATAACATCATAATCTTAGTTTCCTTATACAAAAGTAATGAAAGAAACAATATACTTGTTAACATTTACTAGACTGTTTTTGGCAGGAAAATATTTGTCACTATTATATACAGCAAAATATTGTGTAGAAAATTCAACTCACCCTCTGTGAATAGAATTTAAAAACTCTTTGTTTTGAGGATCCCCATAATCTCTGAGAGGGCCATCTCCTACACTGAAACCATTCTTCCAAAGTTTCAATACAACCTGAATCTGAAATGACAAGTCTTCTTATTATATGCAACATTTCAAAGCATCCACGTGTTACACCCAGTGTAATCTACATTCTGCTAAAAACATGAAAATAAACACTTTTTTCTCAGATAAAGGTGTCAGCCATACATTCAACAGGTTTAAAATATTAATAACAAACAGCCCCCAATGAGTCCCCCTTTACCTCCTGTGGTTCCTCTTGCAGTGCTTCTCCCACAACATTTGTTGGTTCATTCTCCATCTCTCCTAACTTGTACCCTCTCCCTCTAAAAGCTGCTGTCTTTCCTGCTGGTGCAGCAGCAGCAGATCCTGCTGCCATTTCTTCTGCACCATGCCTACAAAAAATACATATTTCATGTAGGACATTAACTTCAAATTTAACTAAGGATTACTATTTACAACCAAGTTCTGATTCCTGAACTTAGGGAAATTAACCTGTATTAAATATGACTGTTTTTTGTCATATCCACTGATACCTTAGAAATCATAAGACAGCCTGTTTCAGGTCAGTATCTTTGATGATAAGAAAAAACTTTAAAATAAATTTAAACAATTAAAAGGAAACTCTTTTTTTCATATATTACAACATATGTATACATAATTAACATTGGATGTGTATACTTATACTCCAGGATCTACTTACTCTTTAGCAGATTTGAACAAGTCCTCCACAATTTCAGAAGATTTCTTTTTGGGAGGTCCAAGAATTTGTTGTCCACTAACATTGAAAAGGAATAAATTACAATGGAAAGTAAATTTGAAGAAAAAATACTACTCAAAATCAGAAAAAAATTCCACAGCAAGCTTTTAATCATCCATGAGCTTCAGCATAGTATGACAATTTAGTTACAGTAATCACCAAATCTCAACAACCAGTTCCCTTACCTGCCTCCTTCATCTGCCCCACCAGCATAAAAGGCCTGACCCTCATTATCTGCTGGGTTTAAACCTTTGTTTATATCTGACAATGTAGCAAACTGACTGCCACTATAAATGTAAAGAATAATAACAATGTGAGTAATACATGTATCAAGCAGAAACTGGTTTTGTGTCTGTCATAAATATATAAACATATGTAATTGTGACATCTATTTTTTTGGTGAAATTTCACTGGGTGGTGCCAATAATTGTGTGGAGTGACATCTTACAAAAATTGATATAATCACAATATCTATATTTTAAATGTGGTTTATCAGTAATTTCAATTATAGGGCAGGCGCAATGTATTGGAAAAGATTTCTACAATGTAGATATGATATGTTGTAACATATTATACCTTCCAGAGGCATACTGTTTACTTGGTGCTGAAGGAGCTCCCACTTCTGCTGTTGCTCCTGCATCATCACTATCATCACCCCCATCATCATGACTCTCAAAGAAACTTGACATGGCAAGCTGTAATAGCAAAATACTGTACTGATAATCACTGATCTATCGGAAATTAGATGTTAATTTTTTTTAAATAAGACACTGATCTGCTTCCAATAACAAAAACATGAAGATTAGATTTTAAAAGTCACTTATGGTGCATGCCATAGCTTACTGAAAAACTTTAATTACAACTTCACAAGGCTTAAAATGTATAGATATGTTAATTTAACAAAAAACATGTTAAAATTGTCAGTATAATATATTATTTTCGATTGTATTTTTAAATATCTCTGTATATTTCTTTTAGGATTTTGTTTTATACTATTTTATTAGTTTGGAAGTCAAAATAAACTTTGAACCAGCCACCTGAGTTGAGTAACTCATTCCCGGTAACATATGTCCACATGTTCTACTCTTTCTGCTAATCCTTTTGTTATATAAATTTTTCGTCGACTGATTTCTATTTTCTAAACCTTCCACAAATGATGCCATTTTCTTTTCATTTGTTAATACACCAAAAGCTCTAAAAATGACTGTGGCATTAATGTGATACCTGCAAATCCCATCCTGCAGCCTCTAAGTAAAATTGAGCTCTCTCAGCATCTGCTCCTGTGATTGCCGAAAATTCACTGACAAGAGAATCGTGATCAGCCATTTCATCTATTGAACACAGCATCAAATGGCATCCGTCTACACACGTCAAGACAGGCTTGCTTTATCTTTCATTTCTTGAGTAAAAAAGTGGCATTACGCTTTCTCAAATATTGGAAGGCAAATAAGAATATATACTTGGAATTTTTAATTGATAATGACACTAACCTCAAGTTGTATGGTATGCGTGATTTTATTTCTTGAGGCCTTCCTTGCACTCGAAGCATGATGGGAAGATTCAGGTGACAGTGAACAACAACAAGCAGTCTCGTCGCGTAGACAAGCTTTGTTATTGGAGCATGTTTCATTGTGGTTTTGGCCAGCGGTGCATTCATGTCGAAGAGTAAGGGAAACAGTTACCAGTGTTTAGAACCCCCTCATGCTGTATCATTAGCTGTTCTGAGGTTTGAAATCGCCAATCATGCACCATATCTGAAAGACATTTGCTACACAGGTTTGTGTTATAAGAAGAACAACAACAGTGCCCTTAAGTTACAGAGAGCATTTAATGATACCCCAACACGTATTTCAAACTGATTGTTTCTGTAGTATGACCGATGATTTATTGAAGAGAAAAAGTATTGTAATTGTAGCACGTTGTATTGTCAGACTGTCTATAAATATTTATTCCTTTAAACCCCTCTTTTTAGCACCATATTTCAAGGATCAACATGAAATTGAGGACAATAAAACATATGCCCAGGCTGTGAGTTCCCCAAAACTTAAAATCACACCAGAAATTATTGCCCAGTTCAGAGGGAGAAGAGAGTTTATAGAAATAATTGTAGAAACAATATATTTTGATGGTGAGTAACATTTATAGTTATCGTTTTGTTTTAGTATCTTTTAATTAACTTTGAATAATTAATAGCTCCAGATTTTAGGTTTTATATAGTCTTATAATCCCTATGATGGATATTCAAAATCCATCAATGAAGGACTTTTTGGTTTTATTTATTAATTTTTCTAGTTTGTGTTATTTTTTTTAATGAATGAATGGACCGAATGACATGAAAATTAAGTATTTGTAAATGTGAACATACCTCTATTTTAATGGACTATTTTGCACTAATAGATTACTGCCTGCACACCAGTTTTGACTGTAGTGCTACAACATTTTTATGTATGTTTCATACTTCTTTATTTATATGTTACTTTTTAGAAAAGATGACAGAGCAGGAAGCAAAAGTTTCAAAGGAAGTGACTTCTTTAAATTCAGACAAACAACAAGATGATGGATCTGACAGAGAACAAGTCTTCCAGCCTATACATGACATGGAGGAGGCTGAAGCACCTGGAGGCAGTGACAAAGGAGGGTCTAGCTCCAGGACATCCACTCCCTTGGGTGACGGTAACTCAAAGCACTCAAAGAATGCTCCACCAGCTTGTGACACAGCAGGAGAGGAAGCAACCGTGAGGTCTAAAAGAGAACGTGTCTTTTCCGCAGGGAGTTATTCTAAAGACAATCCTAGTAGGTACTCCCCATTAGACACCAGGTGCTCTCCTTTAAGTTCTGACAGTGGATCCACTAATTCTAGACCAAGCAGCAGTAAGTCACGTCCTATCAGTCACAGTCCTAATAACCCAGACTCCATGTGGTTTATGTGTGGAAACCAGAGGACTGAAATGACAGAAGGAATGATGCATTTTTATAAAGACAGGTATAGGAATGTAATATATTAAAATGTCTTTATAGTTTGATTAGTTATTAGGGCTGGTATATAAGATTTAGACTATTGTTTACTTGGGAGGCTTAAATATTATCTGCAATGAAATCGTACACCCATCTTTTCACCTTAATTTTATGGGATGTTCTTGTAGTATAACTATGTATATTTCCAGTCACTTAACACCATTCATTAAGATTTAATGTATTATATCTAGTACAGTGACCCCCCCCCCTCCTTGATTAAAAGATTTAAGATGTATTTCCGGTGCCCCCTAAATGAATATATGTATATATTTCTAGTGCCATGACCCCCCCTGAATAAATATACATATATATTTCTAGTGCCATGACCCCCCTGAATGAAGATGTCCCCAGAAGTGAGATCATCTGTATGCTGGCAGTACCTGCTGCTCTAACAACCCATGACTTGATGAATTTTGTAGCTCCTGTATAGTAAGTAATGCATGAGTTGAAACCAAACAAAGAAATCCTTACTACACAAAAAAGTAAAAAGAAATGATTCAGCATTTAAAATAATATGTTTTAGGAGCAAATTAGTTGAAAATTTTTCCATTTTCAGCCCCAGTATTGAACACATGAGGATCATCAGAGACAACACACCTAACCAGTACATGGTGCTGATCAAGTTTAGAGGACAGGTAATGCTCATTACTGATAATAATTATATTGATAATAATAACAATAACATATTAGCACATCCTATATAAATTGAAGTGTTCCCTTCAGGCTAAATGCTAAAATTAGGTAGGCAGTAGTGATCAAAAAGCACTCATCAAAGGTACCAAACATTTATGATTAAAGGAAAATTGTCATAAAATTTTTGCTGTACTAATTTCTATTGTTTATTATGAAAGTGATATGATTTTTTTCATCTTACAGAAATATGCTGATGAATTCTATAAGGCATTTAACAATGTTCGCTTCAATTCCATTGAGTCAGACATATGTGTTTTGGTGTATGTGGCCAAAGTGGAAATGTTAAAAGAATCTGAGGTTAGTTATTTTCAAGGTATAAAAAAGTCTTTGTATTTGTAGCATAAATTTCTATCTGTTGTAATAATTGTTGTTGTGATCTGGTTTTGGTACAGTTTCCCACAGTATCGTTGCTCTCTTGTCAGTGTCTTTAATTGATGTGATTTATTGAAAATTGTGTACATTATATTCATCTTCGTCTTCAGGGGGCATTTCTTCCTGTGTCTGGACTGGTCGAGCTCCCTAAGTGTCCTGTGTGTTTAGAAAGAATGGTAAGATTTTTGTTGTAACTTTCATAATTGGATCTTATATTAATTTAAATTCATTTTGAATTTTGGTAAGAAACAGACCAAAGAATTTCCTTTAATTTTGTCGAAATGGCTACTTGTGCTACTTCCAGGATGACTCAGTGGATGGCATCCTAACCATATTGTGCAATCACTCTTTCCATGCCTTCTGCTTGGCAAAATGGGGGGATACAAGGTAAGGGTATTCTCATTACGTTTATCTAACAGTTCATTTTGGTCTGTGCATGTCAATAGCCAGGCATATGAGTACATAAAATTATGTAGTATGATTAATTGACGAGATTATTTACTGTAGTTAAATGAATGTTGTATGTCCAGGATAGCGTACTAAGTTTAGACTTCTCATTTTATAACTTAGTCGCTCTCAGACGCATTTGACGTAAGTGTAGCGTGTCACGCTTTTTGTATCATGTATGTTGTTTGCCATTTTCAAAATGCATTTTTGAATCAAGGCTTCAAACCCCTAAGCTGTATGACATAAATAAGTTGAATATGAACCACATAATTTGTGATGTAGTGATGATTACAGATATGGTCTTATGATATTTAACAAACACACTAAAACTTCCTGCATTTGATGTTATAAACAATTTTGTCCCCCCCCCCCCTCTAAAAAAACAATAGGGGACTTATCTGTTTTCATATTAAATCATTTGTAAAACTTGTGTATATTCATGAATGTTTTTGTGTTTGTTCAAACAAGATTTGTTACATCCTGCTTTTCTAGTATATTTACCCTGTTTTCTTAATATTTTTCACATTTATTTTGCTCTATTGTAAAATTATTCCTTTCAAACCAGGCTAACTAAATAATACCACAGATGTTATAACCTTGCATTCATGTTCATCTAGGTTTGATGTGTGACATGTGCGAGCTTTTTGGAGTGAATTCTGTGTCCAGCAACGTTTCCTCCTGATTTATTTTAGTTCATGAGTCCATAGGAATGCACTTGGTTGTTTTTTATGTCAGTAATGACTTAATTCTTAGCAAAAGTGTTTAAATGAAAACTTGTGTCACTTGCCAGGTGCCCTGTGTGTAGGTATGTACAGACACCAGAGCAGGCAGATGCAGACCAGAAATGTTTACAGTGTGGCTCAAGTGAGGTGAGCATTTTACAGAGATATATATGGTTACAATGATTATCTAAGTCTGATTGTTTTGATTTGTTAGTTTAGCTTTTTGTTTAAATACAGAAGTCAGTTAATTGTTTAGTATTCTGAATAACTATGTTGCTTTTCTAGATCCCTTTTTCTTCGACATAAAAGGAAGAAACATCTATAGTATACTCTGTTACAAAATGTATTTCCAAGGTATATTATCATTTCAGAGTTTGTGGATATGCTTGATATGTGGCTATGTAGGCTGTGGAAGATATGTTGGAGAGCATGCTTATCAGTAAGTAAATAAAGAATACAAATTTCAAGCTAATGAAAAAATAATGCCTTTGATATAGCAAACTGTATATTTACATATTCAGCTAGGACAAATCATTGTGTTTTACTCAGTCTACCACATCTAATTTTCTTGTTACAGGCATTTTCAGCAAACGCAGCATACATATTCTATGCATCTAGGTAACAACAGGGTGTGGGATTATGTAGGGGATGGTTATGTACACAGACTGGTACAGAATAAAACTGATGGAAAACTAGTGGAGGTAGACGAGGGAGGAAACCCAGTCACCGATGAGAAAGTGGATTCGTTAGCATTAGAAGTAAATTAATATTTTCTTTTAATTTACTAAAAAGTAAATTTTAAAAATATTTTTTGAAAAGTAAATAGAGGATATTCTTAAAATTTAACTGGAAACATATTGTTAATAATGCTGTGGAAACACTGAACAAGTTGCCTAGTGCCCATATTTGTCAGGGCATTGTGTTTAACGTATATTTTGAAAGACTGTCATCAAAATGTTAACTCGAGTCATACTGGTCACTTTTCATATTTTTCAGTACACATACTTTTTCACTCAGCAGTTGGATACACAGCGGAGATATTTTGAGGAAAAAATAGCAGCTATTGAGAAGAACAATGAAGAACAGGTAAATGAAAACAGTCTTTCACGATTGTAACCCCAGTTGGTTACATAGGCCCCATTCAGAGTAGAGGACTAACTAGTTCGAGGGTCAGATATGGCAACCTACTACAAAGCTTGCTGTTAAAATCCACTAATAGACACTGAATAGATATCCCATGGAGAAGTATTTAAGTGGGTCGGCCATATTTGACCCTCGGACTAGTAAGTCCCCTATTCTGCATGGGGCCATAGTTTCAAGCAACATCTGAGCAACCAGGTCATTTTGTGAATTCCTTACCAAGTGAGTACCACTCACTGGTCGACCAACACTCAACGACTTTTGGGCATTCATCCTGATGATCCTCTTATGACAGGAGCAAAATTAGAGCTTTAAGCATTACTCAATAGAATTCCTTGGAACCATAAATAATTAAATAGATGAGCTTTTTTTTTTGGCAGCTTGCATATATTAGCAAAATATTAACTTTTTTTGCATTTTTTATTAACAAGAGGCTGGAATTTGAAAACAGGGCCAAGAAAACATTAGAGGAGTGTCAAAAACTTGAAACAGAATTGTCAAATGCAGCCAAGGAAAAACAAACAGCAGAAAAAAAGTGTTCTCAGGTAAGAAAAATAATATTTGTAATGTTAAATTTAAATCTTGATTGAACTTTTCATCATCGTTAAATTGAGGAGCCATTTTAATTTTCTATACCACCTACAGTACATACAATTCAACGAAAGCATTTTAATGACACACTTAAATTAATAAATCTTCAATTTTAAGGAACATTCTCAATTTTTTTTCAGCTAAGCTCCAGAGTGTGTAAACTTTCAACTGAACTACAGGAAGAAAAGGAAATGAACAAATGTTTAAGAGAAAATCAGCAGACTTGGCAAGAGAAATTTAAGAAACTGCAAGTCAATGTAGACAAAGAAGCTGAAAAGAAAAATATGGTATGTGTGGCTGGATTATGATCAGTCATCACAGTAATAGTATTTTTTATTGGGGGGGGGGGGGGTGATGACTGCTATTTCGTATCATAGTTAGCTAACTATACTGGTGTATTGGTCTGAGGAAAGAATTGCAAGCTGATCACTACTTGCTATTACAGAACAGTTGACCAGTGCTCTTTGCAATCAATATCAGTAACTAAAAGAAATATTGTTCACAAGGACTATTGAATAATTCTCTCTAAGAGAATCTACAGTATTGACGTTGATTGTGATTGGTTTCTTTTATTGCCTTTGTAATTTTGCTGCCATTATGCAACTTCCTACCTAAGAAGCCTCACCCTCCTAGAGGGTACCAAAAATTGCACCAACTCGGTCCCGAAGGATATAAGCGGTGCGTTAGGTGTTTAACACATAGGGTGTCAGCAGACCTATTCTCACTATACGATCCTTGAATAGGTGCGCAGCCCCAGATAAAGACGGTTAGACCTGTTTGGAGAATCTCTGACCTTTATATATATAGTCAGCTTTCTACGCAAATGGTGTCAAACCCCGTCAAAAAAGGAAATGATGCCTTTCAGAATTAATATGTACTTCAAATCTGTCAATTACAATATCACAATTATACCACACCCGGGGAAGTCGTAAAAATATCTGAGAAAAAGTAAATGATATTTCCTGGGAATTATGGTGCCTTCTCAATCAATGCAAATTATGCGCCAAGTGTAGTCACGTGACGATACATTGCTCCAAAGATCTTGAAAAACGTGCAGATAAACTATTTTTATTCTGTTTATCAGCTATATTAATAAATCTGTTTTCAGGTAAATAAGTTTTTGTTATTATTTTTAGGAAATAGCAGATCTGAAAGAACAACTACGTGACGTAATGTTTTATTTAGAGGCTCAACAAAAACTCTCCAGCCCCGGCCTAGCAGTAACGCAAGAAGAGCTTCAAGGGGGGCAGGTCATCGTCGGGGAATCTAGTCCGGGAACAAGTGCACATGGTTCCAGAAGAAGTAGAAAGAAAGGAAAATGATCCAAAAATAAAACATTTTTTAAAATAACGAATATTATGTAGTAATTGCTAGTTAAAGAATATCTGGATGTTTTATGAACTTTGTAAAAATATTTTCGTTTTCATGTTATTTATGTATACTTGTGGAGGAATTGAGGAAGATCATTTTCACGGACATTATTCCATTGATAAGTTATTTAAACGTTGACTTTCAACTATAAAGATTGCAGCGGATCACAGGATTTATGAACAAGAAATTATGAACCAAAATTCAAAGTTGATTTTGAGCTAAATGCTGTGACGTCAATAAATTCCAATGACGTAATGTGAGCTTGCTCCAGAAGAATTTTAATAAAACCTCTTTACATTCCGTCTTTGTTCTTTTGTTCACTGTAATGTGTTATGTTTAATAACGAGGAGTGAGTTAATTGATATAGCTTAATTACCAGCTATAGTTTAAACCATTTCGTTAAGGACAAAAAGGTTTGTTCATTCTCTATACAGCTGTGTACGTTCGACTACGGTGGTCGGTGAAAGCGTAACCTATGACGTACACGTGAAGATTTTTCATTGTAGTAGTGACTTTCAGCTGTTAAAATCAATTTGACAGACCTGCAGATTTCTTTGTGATCTCAGAGGTTTTTGAAAACAGTAAAAAAATGTCTTCTGACCCTATCCCTGTAAATTTTCTTATTTTAAACCCGAAAGCCCATGCTTTGACGGCAAACCCGCTGATACTAGTCTGTATGGACTGTGTACTTCACGAAATGACAAGCACAATAGCAGATATGCCGTCTTTTGTCTGCAGGCATGTTTTCTGTTACACAAATAATTATTGTGATGAAAAACTTTATGAGCAGTATTTTTTAAATATTTGGATAGTTCGTTGACATGAATTTGGGGTTGGCCGCAAAGATCCAATCGTTAAAGACTTGCCTATTTAAAGCCACGAAATATTTCAAGTTATCAGTCCAAGAGAATTTTGTGAGTTCCTGGTTTGATAACTAAGTGTTGTTGATAGATAAGTTGGATCTTTCAAATGCAGACTCGGAGAAATATCGCCATTTCTAAAATATTTCACCAAGCGCTGTGTTAATAGTTCATGTTGTTACCTGAAGTTTGTTTTAACGTACGTGCTTATACTGTATGACTACATGTCTACATTCGACTATTTTTAAAATTTTAGATGATATTAAAACATCATCCAAGTCATGTGTGTTGTGATAAGTTAATGGATGTTACTACGTTATAGTTTGTAGCTGTGTTATCGGTGTTATTTCACGGGGGCGTAACCAGACCATTTAAAATTGTACGCACAGATTTTGAAAATTCCCAGGTACGATTATATTCCGTGAAAAATACACTGAATTTATGGAGAATAATATCATGGTTGGCTAAAAAATTGTACGCACAGTGCATCCGTGCGTATGCCTGGTTACGCCCCTGATTATTAATTCAGAATATGTCTTATCACTTAAAATAGTCCATGCACTTTCATTTTCGAAATTGGCTTGTCTTGGATTGGTGCACCACATGATTAAATTGCACATGACGTCAGTCTGTTGACGTTCTCTCCGCCATTTTGATTTGTATACAGCTTGTTTTGGAAAGTCAAAAAGGGGATTTTGCGCGTTTATTCCAGTGGAACTACCCACTCGTTGGGTAGTTAGCAATCGGGCATCATCCCTTTGAACTGAGTTCTTGCTCTGAATCTGTGAAGCACATAAGTAGAGGTCTGTATGAGTTTATGTCTAAAATTCGAATATTTATCTTGGGTAGTATTGGATTGTCACGGTCGATTTTGCATTATTTAAAGTCGTCCTGATGCACACTGTGAATGCGAAAGAAAATGTTGCTTCTCATTAATATTAAGCATCAAATTAGATACTACTTTCTGTCCGATACCACTTGCTGCAGTGGTGGTATGAAACAAAACTAAAAGCCGGGGGTGTGTCGCAATGTAGATCTAGGTCAATTTTGTTTGTAAACAATACCTGCAGGTGTGATCTGGGAGCTGGAACACTTTTACATGACATTATATCTCATTTGTACAAATCATTTTATTTACAGTTTAAAAAACACAGTATGAAATTCGTTAGCATATTATACGTCTCCTAAAAACTTTCATGAATACAAAGCTCTCATGCATATATAATAATCTTTATTCACATTTTATTCATATATTACTGAAATAATGTCTATAAATCATCTTAAAATTACAATTATCCCTAGATGATTGACTGCTAATTTTTGTTTGGTTTCCCTTTTCAGTTCACGTAGGATTTAAAAGGTGTAGTTCCACAGCTGATGGTACCATGGTAAGTGATGTTTTCAAGTAATGTGAACATGCTCTATGTCATGTCTTCAAGCTAGAGTTGTGATCAACATCAGGTGACCATCATAATAGTTTTTCTAACAAGATTTTATCTATTTCATTGATAAACTTTAGGCTTAAAAGGCATATGAAATGTAACTATCAATTTATATCTGCTGATCTTATCAGGGGTGTGATTGTTAAATATTATAAAAAAACATTGAACTATGATATTTCAAGTTAATAGTTAAACCAGGAAATTAGTTCAGGAAGTGTTATGTCAAAAATTTTGATCTCAAGGGGAATTTTTATGGTATTCTGTATCAAAAAAAATTTAAAGTTATCATGCTATAGATCTTTGAAAAATCACAGCGATTTCTTAAATTATACTTTTAGAGGAATTTATACAGCATACTTTTAACACTATTATAGAATTTTAATATATAGCAGGGTGAAAAAATTAACAATATTGATTGTTAAATATTGAAAAAAAAAACATTGAACTCTGATATAAAGATATATCTACATATTGACTGTGATCATAATTCTGAAGGTTAAGTTGTTATATTATGTTTGAAAATGTTGGGGAATGCATTAAGTGCTATCGAAATGATTTTCATTCAGTTCTGATTTTTAAAAAATGTGCTGTATTATAGTATGTAGACAAGTTCAACTAGATGGTGACTACAGCTGATCATAATCAAAGATACTTAAATTAGCAACATATAGTGAATGAGCAATATGTTTTAGACACCAGAAAGCTATGTAACTTCGCGAACAAATTTAAGTATAAGATTTAAGTTTTTATAAGTGATATATAATAAATAACTGATTAGAATAACTCTGATGGCATACTAGTTTATTTGGGTTCAAGGATGCATTTTCAGTCATATCAGTGCAGGCCAGATAAGATTGGTAATCAATGCAGCCACTCAGGGTTTGTGTGGTAACATGTTAGATCACATATAAGTAATGGGAGGACCATTGTGCTGTGTACAGCTTTACCTCATACTGTCACAAATAGGCAGCTACAATGACTGATATTTTGAGAACGGTGTTAGGGATAAGGATGGATGAAGAAGAAGATGATGATGATGATGTAAGTTTCGAGTATATGCCTATTGGGTTGAACTCCTGGGGTTTTTTTTTAACCTTTTTTAATTTTCATTAATCGAAACTCAGTTTCCTAATAGTACAGGTGAATTCATTTTCCTGCAAAGCAAAAATAAATGCAATAATGTGTTTAAGTGAATTGTGTGCACTTTCAAACAATTGCTGTTGTAACCTTATATCTTTCTGAAGTCTGGTGAGTGAGTGTGCTGAACAAGCAGTTTACTATTACCCATGTGCAATTGTCGTTAGATGAACCAAATCTCTTCTTAATGTGTACTTTGCATGTTAGATGGTATTTGCAGCTGTCTTCTTTAGCATTTTTTTATGGACCCATGGAGTGGGTTGTACAATACATGTAATTATATCACATGTGAAATATTTCAAAAGTTATATATTTGTAAGCTTTTTACATTTTTTTTTCTATCTTAGTTATATAAATAAGACTTGAATTTTGATATGGTATGTGATTCCTTGTTGTGATTTCTATAGAGCTAAGTTTATGGACTGGGGATAAGAATAAGAATTTAGTGGATGTCATTTTTCAAAATATTTTTGGAACTTCAATCTATTTTTGTGTGGAGTTCAAAGACATTATTAATCTTGATAACTTAGTACATTTATTTATTTATTTATTTTATAGTATGCCCTCCTTTGAAGAATCAAGGGTATATTGCTTAGCACGTTGTTCTGTCCATCAGTTGGTCAGTTTGTACCTTGCCCTACCAAAAATAAGGAAATGAATAGGTCTATGATCCTCATATTTTACAGGAAGATTCTTCATCATGTGTAGCATACCCCTGATAGCATATTAAATAATAGAAGTCACCAATCAACACAGTTCTCATTTACTAAGTGCACTTCTTGAACTTTACTGGACCTGGCTGTCAGTAATCAATACTTCTTTAACCAGTCTAGACATATCCATCACTCACTAGGAAAAGCTAGTATTATGATATATGACTGTTCATAAGATATGTGAGGAATTTGGAAGTCATGACCGAAATTTATCAGATGTTTTGTCAAATTCCATCGGAAATATCATTCACTAGTTCACGGCTCGTTTAACATTGTTGCTGTTCAGCATTTTACTGGCTTAATATATATATAGATGGAATATATGTACCATAGTCAGAGGTATGAGATATATATAATGAGGGTCAAGAGAGCATGAAGGAAAAGAGCTGTTGGTAAAGCAAGTATCTTAGACACTAGACCTTATGTGCACCTGGTGTTATATGCTGTAAATGTTACACTGATAATTGGATGTTAATTTGTATAGTTCATATTATTGCTATTTTTGGTATATCAGGACTGTAGTCAAGGGGCTCAGGGGTTAGAAAGAACGGCAATTTTCTGGCTAGGAAATGGTTCTGGGTAAAAGTTTATATAAGTGCATGAAGGTTTCATAGTAAAAGGTCCATTTATCAAAAAAAGAACACTTGGCCCCTTTTTGAAATTGCTGGCTGTGGACCTGTATCTTATTATTACCCAGCTTATTTTAATTTTATTATTTTCCCCCTAGGCTTCCCTGGAGCCAGGCCCAGCCAGCTTAGAGTGTATTCATCGCAGTGAGGCGTTTCCTAAGCGCCCCATGCAGAAGGATGAAGACGACGTGGATGTCCCATTCCCAGTGCTCAGTGGGGAGAGTGTGGAGTATCTGGGCAAGACAGCAGACGGAACCATTGCATTGTCCAACTTCCGCCTCTTTATCCGCTTCAAGGATTCTTTTGTGAATGTGCCATTGGGACTGATTGAGTCTGTGGAATGCCTGGCCATCTTTTACATGCAAATATGCTGTAAGGACTCAAAGGCGTTCAGGTATGTGCATTATGAATTCAGATCTTTCCTTCTGAAATGACTTGGAAGGCACTGGAAATAAATGACCCTATTGTCTGGAATATACACCCCCATCACCAACACTAATTGTCTTTCCATGGTAACATTTACTTCATTCTATGTGGCTATATAGCATATTAGTTTGATCAATTGGTAATGGATGCCACACAGGTAGCTTTTAGAAGTACAAAAAGAGTATGGCAATTTTTGTTGCAAAAATGAATGGAAGAAGTGAACGATTGCTTGATTACAGAACATTAGTTTACCACTCAATGATCTATCTCTTTGATAAAGGAAATAATGTACTTTGTAGCTCTTTATATTTGAGTAGATATTGTGAATAACAGGCATCATCTGATAATATATCACCAGTGAGGATAGAAAGGCTCCATGCTTTTGGCCTGAGTCCATCATATGAGTATGATGATAGGCTTCAGTCATATCTCTAACAGATATTGATGTATCTAAGCCCAGAGGTTTTCAAAAACATGTTCCCATTTCAACTAGATCATGTTACTGTTTATTTTTAGATATATTGTTAGGGTTGTGTAGATATTTAAATTATCAATGTACTGTAAAAAATCCTAAATTGGAATAACTTGTTTATCAATTTATCAGTTAATTTATTAAATGATTAATCTATGTTTTAATGTACTGTAGATATATATGTATAGATGTTTTATTTTAACAGTGCATGTGTGTTTGAGTCATAATAGTTTTCTATGACTATACTAGACTATAATAGCTTGGAACATAGTAAAAGAAATATGTTTATTGAAAGAGGATATTCCGCAGCTTGTTTGTTTGTTAGACTCACAAGAGGTCACCTTGTAAAGTAACAGTTTGTGTTCATGGCCAAATTCCTCATGTAAAATATATGCATAATTTTGTCATGGAGATTAGTAACCAACAGGTCAGAAACAGGTCATGACACTTGAACAACAAGTGGCCTTAGCAGCATTGTTCAGTTAAATTCAAAGTGGTTTGTGTGTGTGTGTGCGTGCATGTGTGTGTGTGAATAATATTATACATTGATGGAGTGTTTCAACCAGTTCAAATCAGTGAAGTTATAACATACAGGTTATCCTCAGATAGGGATGGTGGAGGTTAGATAACCCAGGTGTCTAGACTGATATATGATATTTAATTAAAACAGGAGGCTCCAGTCTCAGTGACCCTTTTCATTTTATGGTTACATCCCTTAGGTAATACTATCAGGATGTCACATTAGTGTTAACTAGGCAGTGGTTCCAGAAGAACAAGCATCAATTTTTTCAGTCACTTGATCACAATGTGGTTATGTAGGTTGTACCTTGTTTTCTTTTGAAATGTCATAGGTATGTGGTTGTTGTTGTTTATTTACAGGTGTGCATTTGCTACCAATGAGACCTGTCTAGAATGGTATCGTAGAATTAGCCTGGCTATCTCCCTCCCTGAGAAACTGGATGATTTCTTTGCATTTGCTTTCCATGCTTGGTGTGTAGATCCCAGTCACCAGGATGATCAACAGCCATCTCTCAATGGAGGTAAGTACTCTGATGCTGTAGTAGGGTCACAGAGAATTGGCTTTTATGATACAGAAGAAATTAAGATATTTTAAGGATAAGGATTCCCCATTTATTTCCTTGACTAGCTTTTTGAGACATATGCAATGTCCCTGACAGCAGGATATAGTAAACATCTCTGACAGCAGGATATGGTAAACATGTTTTTTGTTCACTTATCAGGAGACGAGTCTTTGTATAGCTCTGGTAAGGAAGTGGAGAGGATGGGGTTTGACTTGAAGAAAGTCTGGAGGATATGTCAGCTCAATGAAGATTACAAGTAAGTAGTTTTGACAGAACACTCTCATTTTTAAAAGGTATTAGGCAGAACTAAAAATTCCCATCAGCACTATTCCCAAGTGATGAAGTGACATGTGTATAGCTTTGAATACATGTATAATCATGTTTATTATTTTGCATGTCCCAAACACCTGAGTATGTCTGTGGTGCTGCACTAAAGGGCAAGCTCCTCCTGTTATAGTAATTGTTTTTGCTTAAAGTTGTATGCCTCTTCTTTCATATGAAGCAATGAAAAATGGAAATAGAAATTTTTACATCATATGGGTTTTGTTATGTTTAAGAAACAACAATAATAATGCTCAAATGCAGTTAAGTGTTAATGCTGTTGAGTAGTCTCTGTAATGAGCTCATTTAGTCATTTGCAAAATATTATATTATTGAAACTACATCAAGTTACCAATTGGTCCCTAGAAGGAATTAGCAAGTTTTAGTTTCATTGGAGTATATTTGAGTGGCAATAATACTGGAGAGTACAATACATTTTGTTTTTGTGCAGGGTTTCTCCGAGCTATCCGAAGTACCATATTGTGCCTATCTCTGTGTCAGACAAGGATGTAGAAAGTGTGGCAGCTTTTAGATCTTCACGAAGATTTCCATCAGTTGTATGGAGGTAAACATCGCATTGTCAATGCATCTGTGTGCATTTTATGGCATTTACGGTCAATAATTGCATTGTTTGACAAAAATAGTTTTATAAGGGTGCAGTTGTGATTGCATTTTTGTGATGTTTTTTCCACTGATGAGACTTTTCCAACTTTTGTCAGAATTCCAACTTTTTCAGGCTCGTTTGGGTCATTCTAGTGAATCGTGTAAATCTGGTAAATCATGTAAATCCTACTTTTTCAGTGAGGACTGGTCTCATGCCTGTTTTCTTTATTTTCAAAAGGAGCCGTCAAAATGGAGCTGTGATAGCTCGCTGTAGTCAGCCAGAAGTTGGTTGGCTTGGATGGAGAAACTCTCAAGATGAACAGTTACTGTTAGCCATAGCAAAAGCATGTGTTGTGGACAGTGAGAAGAAGAAGGGGGGTGAGAGTGTATTGGATGAAGCAGAAACCCTGAATGGTAACAAATGTTTTTTTGTTTTTTTTTAAGTGGACATTTAGAATATTTTATTTGGGTGGTTTTGTAAATGAAATTCTTATGGAAGTTAGATTTAAACGAATAACATGGAGGGTGCTGGTTGATAGGAATTTGCGTATATCTTATCATAAAATTAACTTAAAATCTACAGTACATATTCCAAAACCAAGTGTTATTTTTCCTACATTTTACTTATGTAGAGTATATTTAGTATATTTTATCCCTCTCTCCCCCTTCCAAATCACTATCTGTCATTGTGTCCAGGTTCAACCTCCCCCAGTGATGGCAGTGATCAGTGTGAAGCCAGGAAACTGCTGATAGTGGATGCCAGATCTTATGGTGCTGCCTTTGCCAACAGAGCCAAAGGAGGGGGCTGTGAATGCATTGGTATGGGGAATTTACTTTTATTTATTTATTTATTTATTTATTTATTTATTTATTTATTTAATAATTTTTATAGATTCATGCTAGTGGGCCATTATGATTTAGAGACATTTTCTAATATCAAAGTCATTGTGCTAAGAAGTAATCTTAACCCTTTTCTGTATAAGAATATTATCATAGCCATTGGATATTTGTCTGTTACAAATGTGATCATATCTATAAGATATTTGCTATCTTCCTCTATTACAGAATATTACCCCAACTGTGAGATTCAGTTTATGAACCTGGCTAATATCCATGCCATAAGGAAGAGCTATCTAGCTGTGCGAGCCTTGTGTGCTGCAGGACCAGAACAACCCAAGTAAGGGCAATTATTTAATGAGAAAATATTAAACAAAGTGAAGATGTTCTATAGACTTTGAACATAAAGCTATGCATAGGCAAATGTATGACAAAATCCAATGGTAATTGTACCACCAGCGTTAGCGCTGGCGGTACACATGGTTTCGGTCCCGTCCGGATCGTTCCGCCGGCTCCGCTGGACGGCTACCGTTACCGCTTCTCCTCCTAGACCGTAAGGGCCCCCGTACCCATCTCTTGGATTTAGGTCACCTNCAATCTAAATGTGACCTTGAAATTGACCTTTGACCTACTTTTCACCATGAACTGAACTTTGCAAATTTTGCTTCCCTTTTATCTCCAAAACTGGCAGAGATAGGTCCAAAGTTACTTTTGAAGTTGAATAGGAAGTCATATACTGGCAATCTTACTGTGAAATTGACCTTTCACCTACCTTTTTATGAACTTTTGATATATTTTTTTGCATATTTTGAAAATTCTTGTTGATTGCATTTTTACAGCTTGTCAAGCACAAAACTGGTGGCTGTGTCCCTTATTTTGTGTATGTGGGAGTCTATACGAATGCGCTTGCTCCAGCTGGTGGTACAATATTCGGAGGCGGTATCGCCTTTCTGATCCTCTAGTTTATCATTTTATTCACACCTTTGATAATAACTGAATGGTAAATAAGCATTGTGTTAATGGCACAAGCAACAGTGATTCTAGGCACGTTGATCGGCCACATAGGACAAGTGGAAGTTATTTTTTGTGTCATTTCCTAAGCAAACAAAAATGATCTGGAGAAGTAAGCAGTGGGTTTGATTATGTGAAAGACTTATAGCGAGAAATTCAACATGTGAAAGATTTCCAAGGCCTCTCACTTGTATAGTAACCATTTTATGGGTGGCTACAGACCCTTCAATCAGTAGATACACCTGTATACCATACCTAATAATATGATGAACATAGATGACACCTTATTATGGCAAAGCATACAAAGGAACTGAAAAAGTATTTGGTGAAAGCGTTCGAAAAAAGAAATTCAATGAAGTACTGTTAATTGACAGTTGATCCATCATTGCTTTTATCATTGTTATTTTAATTCATTATTTATTGTTGTCAAGCGAAAAGGTTCATTAGTAGTTGGATATCATGATAGCAAGGTTATTAAGCATAAGCTAGAAATTTTCTCACCACTAGCTTTAGGCAAATCTGTTGGAGGTCATCAGACTTATCAGACAGTAGATGCTGTCACTCACTGATCATAAGGTGGAATTAATTGTTCTCCTTGAGAAATGTAATGCCCTATTCTTGTTAGTTGTCAGTAACAAGCATATCTCTTTGTCCAATATTGCCGTTATTAAGGCTTGTTTGACCTTGGCATTTTTGAAAGGATGGGCTTGGTTGCTTAGCAGTAGTCACTTGCACTTGCGCTCTTCTCGCCTTCTTATGATCATAGTAACATTCAAGGTCACAAGAGAGTAGGCAAAGGTCAAAGTCAAGGTCACAGAAGGTCACGGAATTGACTTCAGAAATGTACGACATAGATATTCTCATGATGTGATAAATATAATATCGATAATGGGGTGGCCGGGAATTGGCATTCAGCTAAGGTTTGCAGTCAACAGTGCATAACCATCCAATAAGCCTGTCAAAAGATGTTAGCTGTTTCTTGGACACTTAGGCAGTTTGGTCGGCATAAATACTTCCGGCATATTTTTGGAAACTTGCTTGGGTTGGACTTCCTGTAAATCATGATGAGAAGAAAGTTGCTGCTTTTCTTGATGTTCCACGTGTGGATCATATTCACTTGTTCTCTCATTGTAACCTGTGCCTGACGCTTCTCATATGTGATCTTCTTCATCATCAGCCTGATGAACCCAATTCACTCTCATTTGTTGAAGTATTCCACTCTAAGATATGTTGGTTCTTTCCCTTTCATATGTATTTCATTACCATGTATTTGTTTATCATATTTAATCCCCGTTATACATAATTTTAGTGGAATGTACAGAATGAATGAGACATCTTACTTTAAGACTGAACACTATTAACTAGTGTCTCAGTAATAATGCTGTCCCATGTGTGACAACTGGTGCCCCCCCCTTCCCCCCTCCCGTCTCTGTCCAGGCTTGGGTTGTGGGCACGGATGTTTAACCCCCCCCCCCCTTCATGCCATGATGGGTCCTTGTCCAGTCTTAACTGCCTCCCATGGTGCCCAGCTTATCTGAGAGAGAATGTGCTTAGACACCTGTTATAGACATTTTTGAGATTTACCCTACCCTAGTTCATTGTTTTGCATTTTACTATACTTATAAAATTATTTCAGCTGCATGTTTTTTTCCTCAATCTAGCATAAACTACAGTGGGAACTACGTCAGAGAGAAGAAGAAATAGCAGAGTTACAGAAGGCATTGAGTGACATGCAAGTTTATCTGTTTCAAGAGAGGGAACATGTACTGAGATTGTATGCAGAGAATGACAGACTGAAGGTACAGAGAGGATTAACTTGTAATAGAATTCAGTGACAGCAGAAAGTAAAATCCACAGGTTTTGTTTAATAAGGTTTATACAGTGCTTGTGTTGTACAATTTATTGTTTCAGTTTTTAAATTACAAAATATTTGTTATCGTGCTAAAAGTATTGTACATATAGTCGTGTNAGTTCACTTGTGGATTTATATTCTATGATACTAAATAACGTGAAGACAATGTCTATTTTGTGCCTCAGTGTGCTTCTGTGATATATGGTAATAGTCTAATCTTCATGTCAATATTATAGTAAACAGTAGGATTTTCAACCATAGACATTTAGTTTAAAATGTATGTGATAATTTCTATGTCCCTTTCAGTTGGTACTCTGGGCTGGAGACCACCAAGTGGCTGCAGCACATAGCTAACCTGATGCGTGCTGCTGTCATAGTGGTGAATGCTATTGACAAGGAGCAGCGTCCAGTGCTTGTCCACTGCTCAGACGGCTGGGACAGGACACCGCAGATAGTGGCGCTGGCAGAGCTCCAACTAGATGCATATTACAGGACCATACAGGTATGTGTTGGTTATTTTAGTGGACAAAAATTAAGTTTTCATTATCAAGGCAAGGAAGCCTAGTATTGTATTTTATATGTCTAACATCTTGTAAAACCATTGCCTTGTATTTTAGATATGTTTACTACTTTCTACAGGGATTTCAAGCTCTTGTTGAAAGAGAATGGCTGGACTTTGGGCACAAGTTTGGAGACCGTTGTGGTAACGGTGTCAACTGCGATGATGTCAATGAACGCTGCCCTGCATTCCTCCAATGGCTTGATTGTATTCATCAGCTGCAGAGACAGTTTCCCTGTGCTTTTGAATTTAATGAGACTTTCCTGGTAAGCGGTCACTTTTTTCCTGTATATGTTATTGGCAAATAAGTATTACTATTAAGATATCTTTATCAAGTGGCACAACTCTTTTTCTTTGTTTTACAATAAAGTAAGTGTGATCCTGATCCTTAGCTTTTTAAAATGTTTAAGTAATTTCATTTCATTAGGTCTTTGTCTGTAAATGTCAACATAAGAGCATGTGCAGTTTATGTCAGTGCTATTCACTGTTATTCTTTCCTATCAAGGTCAAACTTGCACAGCATGTGTACTCTCGCTTGTTTGGAACATTCCTGTGTAACTCAGCTCAGGAACGAGAGAGGGGGAAGGTCCGAGAGAGGGCCTTTTCTGTGTGGACACTGCTCAGACCAGACAATAAGAAGTTCAAAAACTTTTTATACTCTTCACTTAATGACCAGGTAAGATAGAGTGAATTTTTCAAGTAAAAATGCATTTGTAAACTAACATGGAATTTGTATGTACTTTTATTATTGTATTTTTGACAAAGGCATATACTGTCAGAGGTAAAATAGAAGCAATGAGTAACGTGCAGATGAAAAAATATTTATTATACGTGAACTGAAGTGTGGAATATTTGTTTTCTTCAGGTACTCCGACCATCTTGCAATGTGAGTGACATGGAGCTGTGGTCCTCCATCTATCTCTCCAGCACTTCCTCCATGCCTGTGTCGAAGGAGGTAGCACACGAGGACGAGGAGTATGCATTGGAAGCAGCAGAGTTTGACAAACCGTTGCATAAAACTAAGTCTTGTGATGATATCATAGCAGCGTTGGAGAATACCTCCAATCTTACCAGGCGACTAAGTGATCCTAACATTGTGCACTCCGGGGACGCTCCTGTGCCACACAGCGACCCTCTCTTCCCATCTAGTCAACCGAAAATAAATGGAGCAGAAAGTAACGCATCCTCGGATATTTCATCATCAGATGAACCTAAGGGAGAATTGGCTTCAGAAACACAGGCTGAGGAGGAAGGCCAAGACTTGAATGGTCTTCAAGGATATGATAGTGATGCCAAGAAAGGCAGCTCACTTGGAGAGGAAAGTACAGCAGGACAATCTAGTGAGGAGACTGACCCCAGTGTCACTCTAGTCAATGGACAGGACTGTGATCACTTGCCCAATGGTCATAGTATTAATGATACTGAAGGAGGGGAGTCTTCAAGTGAACAGGAGAAAAGTGAATTTAGGAGTGTTTCTGTAGCCAGCTCAACGGACACTCTCATAGGTGCTGACTGCACCCTGCCACAGCAAGACAGGAGTGGGAAAGAACTTACCAATGGACACTCAGATACTTGTCTGTATCAGAATGGAGGCTCTGGGGTGGAGGCACAGCCCAGTAAGAGTCAATCTTTTCAAAATTATTCAACTATCAGTACGAGCACCACTGATATCAGTGACTCCCAAGTGAAGCAGCGTAACCCGCTGAGCCTGCACTTGAAATGTTATACTACCAGTTGTAAGCCAAGCTGTGCTCAAGCGGCCAATTCTAATGGCAAGGCTTCATCATCTAGCATGGAATCTGATCGTTCCACTCCTTATTATTCCCGCACCCCCAGCTCAACCTGTCCCCCAACCCCTGGCACAGATAAACAGGTGAGTGGAGAATTTCTTGAAGAGATTCATACCTGTCATACGTATGTTTTCAATCAGTCTTTTGCAATTCCTGATACATAGAATTTGCCATTGACAATCTTATGCGTAGATCCACTCTCTTTCTTTCCATTAATGTGAAGTAAATGCTTCTAACAATTGAGACAATGTGCCCTTCTTTATAACAGTTGATAAAATTCCTTTATTTTTTTGGGCAATTTCTGTGCGGTCATAATTCGTGTCAACTTTTCTATTGAGCTGTTTTTAAAGACTTCCCTCATGGTACACAGGCAATACTGTTATTGAAAAAATTCATACCTATCATATATAGTGTTTTCAACCAGTCTATTGGTCAGCATATAAGAAGTCACAAATATAAAATTGATATTTATACATGGATTGGTAATTCTTTTTCCCTACAGTAAATCCTACTCCCTCTAAAAGTGTTTCCATGTCTCCTTACAGAATGGTTCCTCTGTGCATCGTAGTATTAGCATGGTAGCGCGGCACCTGGACTGTGATGGACTAACCACATTTGAGGACGAGATTCACCAGAGACTACAGCAAAAAGAGGAGGAGTACCAGAACAGGATAGCTTTCTTAATGAATCAGCTGCGGCTGGCGCGGCGCTGGATCCCAGGGGTCAATGGCCTGGGCAGGTCTGGGGACAAAGATGATGTGGTAGGTGGCTTGAATATTGGGAAATACTTTGTCAACTTAATGTGACATATCATAGGCTGAAGATTCTTGGGTTATGTATATGATATATGATAAAGATGACGTGGTAGGTGGCTTGAATATTGGGACAGCTTTGTCAGCTTATATGGCATATCATAGGTGGAATAATCATGGCTATATATATAGGACAAAGTGGTTGGTGGCTTGACCAGGGACCACAGTCAGCTCATATGGTATATCTACAGGTTAAAGAATCATGGCAACTGTGTGTGTGTGTGGGTGGGTGTGTGTGACTGTTTTAGCTTCCTCTGGCATTTCATTTCTCTGTCCCCAGATGTCACTCCCGGAGTCTACAGAGGGTGATGAGCACATGTCCCTGAACAGTAATGCTGCCTCAGATGCCAGCTGGGAGCCTCTGGAGGAGCAGGACGCCAGGGTGACACTGTGGGTGCCGGACCATGTGGTCACGCACTGTGCTGGCTGTGACGGAGAGTTCTACTTTGCCAGGAGGAGACACCACTGCAGGTACACAAACCACTGACTCCACTCATGATGATATAGCGATACTGCTGTCAAGGACGTATCAATGATATTTATTTGTTAATCAATGTCCTATTTAAGGTACAAAATACTACTTTTTAATAGAGCCCAGTTGATTTTACTTAACCTCGTCATTACACATGGGTATGGTGTTTTTAATCCCATTTCTAACCTGTTTCTCTATCTCCAGAAACTGTGGGCAGGTATTTTGTGGATCATGTACCAACAACTTCATCCCGGTGCCCCAGCAACAGCTGTTTGAGCCAAGCCGAGTGTGCAAAGGCTGCTACATCAACCTGAAGATGTCTGCGTCTGGCTACGGCGCCGAGGAGGTCAGAGGACAGAGGAACCCTGTGAGGAGTGGGAGTTCTTCGGCGTGAGGGTACGGATCACTCCTTAGTCCACTACTGACACCAGCGGACAAACAGGGTGGAAGACCATCAGTGCTTGCTTTTCTAACACTGGCAGTTTCTTTTGAAAAGACTGTTGAAAACAGGAAATTCATCTTCTCAGTAAAGTCACTGTCAGCAGTGCTTGTCTTGATAACCCAGTCCATGCCTGAGAGAGCATCTTTTACCATTTAGACATTACAGATGAACTGTTGTAAAATTGGATATCTTAAACAATTTCCTTATTATGATTATTTTATTTTTATTTTTTATAAGGCAGCAGCAATATAATCTTGCAATCAAACATGGAGTAAAAAATGTATGGTGCACAAAACGATGAGTAAACGCAAAGACTGAGGATATAAAGCTGCCGAGGGGGTATGTGCTATTTGGGTTGCTGGTGGGCGCAAATGTGAGCCTGCTATATGCTTGCCACTCAGAATCTGAATGAAGAAATCCTGTGTTTAAGTTTTTTTTTTTTTTTTTTTTTTTTTTTGACATAGGTATCCAATATATTGGAGGATTCACCCATGATATAGCAGTGATTATTGATGTGCAATTTTGATGGTGGTGGGTACACCCCCCCAGAGTAACTAATGCATTTAATCTGTACACTTACAAGGTACATGAGGGTACCTTTGTGTCAAAATATCAAAAATGATGAAAAGCTCATTTTTGAAAATTTATTATGATATAGAAATATCTGGGTTAAAGTGATGGCTTGGATTTGAGAATATTATGTTGACATGATGAAGCTGTTAGCTAAATCGACTGTGATATATGTTAAAGTATATTATAGGCTTTGACTCTGTGGATTCAAGAGGGATGTAAAGTCTTATTAGTTTAGTAATACAGCTTTCACTTTGCCAGGTTCTGTTCATGTTCCAACAGCAGTTTTAACCTGTACCAATCATTTCATTCATGTTATTACTTAAGTTTTTTGTAGTCAGTTTGAAGTATGCTTTTGGATGCAAACCCAAGTGGTGAAAATAAACCTATGGGCGATGACCTATACTTTGATAATTACATGGTTAGGAAAAACTTGGCACAGTCAAAGTCTGCACACAGCCATATGTTGGGTACACTTTGGTTTATGCTGTAATGCCTTTGGCATTCATTGACTAGGTTATATCAGATACTTGGTTGTGGGAATTCTAATTCCAGAGAGAGCACAGCCTTCTACCAAACTTGTCAGTATTGCAGCAATATATCGTATTGTTTAGATCAGAATTAACTCCAGATAGTCAAGTGTTAAGGCCTAATATGAGACTTAGACGATTTAGACGGATCTTAATTATATCATAGTTGGTAGACATGTCCATAATATGTACATGGACCTACACATTAATATCAATATCTAGTTAGAATACAACAGATGCACGCTTTTAGCATCAAGCAATGGGTGATTCTTGTGAAAGATGAATTATACCTGCTAAATAGGCTTTGGTATTATGTGTTAAGAACTGGTGCCTTTTCTTTGAATGAAAACAGATCTTAGATAACTAAAGCTGCTGCTGAACATAACTTTTACTGACACTTCTGCTATTTGATGGAGGGATACTTCTAATGAACATGCAGAGATGAAGAATATGACAGCAAAAAAGTGTAGAAAAATCAGTCACGTTCATTTGCTGCTGGTCATTATTTTGGCGGTTATAACATCTCATCTTTCTTGTTCACAACATTGTGCTACCAAAGATAATAAAATTATGAAAAAAGTGACTTGTCTGTTTGTTAGCGCCATTGTCTATTTGATGGTGGCAGTTATGACATTGTATCATTTCGTCTGTTTGATGGTGCCAGTTATGACATTGTATCATTTCGTCTGTTTGATGGTGCCATGGATGACATTGTGTCATTTTGTCTGTTTCATGGTGCAAGTCGGTGACACTGTGTATTTTGATGGTGCCAGTCAGTGACATTGTATTTGATGGTGCCAGTCATAACATTGTGTCAATTTGTCTATATAATGGTGCGAGTTAGTGAATTGTCTGCTTGATGGTGCCAGTCAAGCATTGTGTCACTCTATTCGATGGTGCCATTCATGACATTGTGCCACTCTGTGCGATGGTGCCAGTCATGACACTTCTCTTTGATGGTGCCAGTCGTGACATTGTGTCACTTTCTCATTTTATGGTGCCAGTTCAGTTTGTTTCCCGATTTACTTAAAAGACCCGAGCAGGAGAAAGATGACTACATCAGCCCAAGCATGTTAAACATCTTTTTATGTACAGACACAGATGTGTCTGTACATATAGCCATCATCTGCGTCTGTCGTCGCCGTCGTCGCCGTCGCTGTCGCCGTCGCCGTCGCCGTGCACTTTTACCGATAACACGATAAGTGGAAAACCATTTTGCCTTTTGATTTGAAACTTGCAGAACTGATGAATATTCATTATACGCAGGTCAAGTTCGAAAATCAGCATGATCGGGTCACTCTTAGGGAATTTATGCTGTTTTTTCACTTTTTTCAACATATATGCAGCACCGATAACACGATAAGTGGAAAACCATTGTACCTTTTGGCTTGAGACTTACAGTACTGATGAATATACATAATACGCAGGTCAAGTTCGAAAATCAGCGTGATTGGGTCACTTATAGGGAATTTATGCTGTTTTTTCACTTTTTTCAGCATATATNTAAAATATTCGTGTTTGCCAGTTATGTAAATATGTCAATTTGATGACACTTTTTGCCATTTATCATGCCCTAGATTTCAGTTTGTAATATGCAAGTATTAGATAAAACCCATAGGAAGTGGGACTGTCTATCAAGGTGAATGAGGCTTACGCAAGTACCTAACGCGATGGATGGGCTTACAGCGCAATAAAAAAAATATAAGTGATGATAATTATCACGTCCATCTAATTTTATTAAAATGTAAGATTGGTATTTAAAAACTTTCGAGAGATGGAATAATTTACACAACAGCTTCATTTATATTTTTCATCTACCTTTAATTTACCGTGAAATGCAGTTTGGTGTTATCTTATATTTCAAAATGCTCACCATCATACAAAATAAAACGGGATTTTGACACGTTTTTTTTTTCTAAATTAATTTTTGCCTTCATTTATTCCTAGAACAAATTATGATGTATTTTTCCGATGTCCGCCCAAATGGCGACAGTTGTGTCTGACTTGTACCAGCTTAAAACAGCTCTATTTATTCAACATTTATAATATTCACACCAAAAGAATATATCGAAAATCTTGGATTTTTTATTTGTAATTGCCATTTCTATGGTCAACCTTTAATTTTACATTAATAAACTTTTTAAAAATTTTATATGTAGTAGAGTCTACTGATCATTTATGGATTCTAGACTAAATAAATATACAAATAGGTTGGGAAACGAAATTGGCTTTCAATAATTGAAAAAAACTTAGCTCATATGGTTATTTTATAATCAATCAAAATAACGACGTTTCCGAACGTTTTTGGCCAAGATTATTTTCACCACGGTGGTTGTCGAAAACAAATGACCCAGTTTTTCGTATTAAAATATGTCGAGTTTGTTGGAGAGATGCACCATGTCTGGTAGTTTGGAGCAGCAGAATGCTCCTCAGTTGACTGCGGTCTCAAATATACGCCATATCACTGTTGCCAGGAAACCATGCCATACCAACCACTTCACGGAATTAGAGAGAGAGGACGCACGGGGTCTCTACTTACCTTCGATTACAATTTGACCTTTGACCATATAGTTATCTCAAGGATTAATTTCCGCGTATTTTGTTCTTATCTTCAATAAAGAGGCGTATTGTTCTCGGTGCTGACAAAGGCTTTCGTTGACACCTAATCACCAATAAGTTTCTATTCTTTACTATCTATTTCAACAACAGGAAAGGCCACGCGTGTAATGTGTGAGCAGCCATTAGTAATGGCCAGTTTCCTGGACTTATACCCGAATGACTCTGGAAGAATAAGATAACGAGAAGCGTTTGTGTGACTATTATATGAAATCCTATGTGAACAGAAGCCTTTCAAATGCGTCTAATTGAATTCAAGAAAACTGATACCCACCGAAGCTCGAATGACATTCCTTCACAATGAATAGACAGCACATGCTATTAAACAGTAAACAATGAATGGAAATTAGAAGACGTTAGACTTGCATAAAGAACGTATCATTTTTGCGTGCGCAAGTATTGAATATTTGCGGAATCCAGATTCTTGTTATTGAATGACCATCAGGCAATGCATGGGGGTGGGTGAAAACGTGATAATCAACGCCTACATGTCTCCTCAACTGTAAAAGTGGTGGCAGGACACTTCCTGAAGAATCGTAAATACCGGGAGTAAAAACCGTGTTATTTGTGACTCACTGTGCCACTGGATCAAGATCAATTAGTGGCTTACAGATAGCACATCTTTCTTTGGTTAGACATATGGTTGGTTTTCTGTTCATATTTGCAAATGAAAAAAGTATTTGAAAACGTTCACATCTATTTCATGGAAAGCAAGGGAATATTCCCATGGCATTACATGTGGATTTGACATTCCTTACGCCTCCTTGTTTTACGTGCTTTAGAATAAGGCATTCTGGATTTTAAAACTCTTTATATTGGCATATTCAGAGGAATTCTTTGCAAGCTATTGAACAAGACAACCAAACATGTTACTTTTCAACTGTATCCAAGAATTATAGATATAATAAATAAGGTGTTTTCAAGTCATTCCTATGATCTTGTTATATTAATATCAATATCAATCAGGAACAAGAAAGCAGGTTTACGTTTTTAAAAGAAATACCACCTACCAGGACATGAAATATGAAAAACTTATGAAGACGGATGGACTCCCTGGAAATTCCCATCTGGGTTAATCAACCAAACTACAACGTGAGGATATGATGATAAATATGACAATTTGTCGTAGAGGAAATAATGAAATAAAAATATGGCTCTCTTTGAGGCGATTTGCTAAATGATACCATTTTATAATGAAATTGTCAGTCGTCATTACGTATCCAATCTATTTCCTTTTGTTATTTACTCTGCTCTACTCCATTTTCACGCTTGCATATTATATAAGAAAAGTTTCTCTTTCCACTTTACAGTGGAATAAGTTCAATGCCCAAAGTCTTGACCTAGAATATTGAACACACTTTGTATCTTGTTGAGCTGTATGTATGCAAGATAGAGATATTAAAGCGATGAGTGGTCCGCGCCAGTGCTTTTAAAACTACCCTCCAATATGGGTAAATTTGATTACGACACAAACAAATCTGCATGATTTTCCTTAATTTTATTGACCCATGTGCCACGCTATAGAGACATGTTGGCGAAAAGGAACCGGCGGCATCTAGCAAGCTGAACATAGTGTGAGAAAACAGTGGGGAGCTCGATAATATGTCGGAAAAATGAAGGTTATTTTCGATCGATGCGAGTGGAAATACATCTTTGATTAAATAAACAAGTTTATTTTCAACTAACAATACATCAAAAAAAGGTTCAACTCAACTAATCCCAAGTAATAAGATATCCCAAATATGGACAAAGAGATGTATACATTGCGCTGACCAGATTTAGTTTTCTCTGACGCAATCGTACCGCAATCCGTGCACGCCAGCAAAACAGCAGATAGATGAAAACAAAAAAACAATCGCTGATGTTAGTGGTTGTCGGTCTCGGGCTTTTGACTTCAGCACAGATAATCGATGGTGAACCAACCAAGTGACAAAGCCAGCCAAGCCCTCGTGTAAGTACTTACAGCATCAAGCCAGGATCCCCATATATTTCAACAGACCGTGAAGACTCAGTGCAGCAAGCGGGGCTCTGTTGGATTGCAGAGGATTAACATGCTCACGGAAGAAAAGGCAAGGCGTCTCTGGTCGTGCGTATTAACAGTATCAATAAGAAGTCCGCTTAAGTGTGGTCGTGCTCAGCGCAATGTGGGCAATGGAAGAGTAGTATTAGTTTGAACTAGAAATCGTTTATATTTTTGGTATAGTGAATCTCTTTTTGACATCACAGTATTCCAGTAATTTCCATACGTAGACCAATACCCATATGATTTTAATGTACAATATTATTAGTTGTTGTGGCAAGAGAAGAAAATATTGAAAATACATATTACTAGAATGTAAGTAATAAAATGCCGTTTTGGTCTAAACAGCAGATAGCCAAAGAGAACTTTACCCATTTCTGCAAATTAAGGTATATGAAAAAAACGGGTACTTTGTACAACCTACTCGTAGGTCATTAATAATTGTGTTCTCTCCTCAAAGTTTTTTGTATAATCTATACACCGAACAAGCATTTACCCGCTTATCCCAATATGTTGAAATATAGGCCATATTGTATAATATTAATGCTTATTATTTTTGATGCTTGAAATTCCCAATATGCTGGCGGTCCTGTTTGCACAATCACAAATATGATATACAGTGTATCTAATAAGCTTTAGGCACGAAACTGCATTCTATATTATCATGTGAGGTCGCCCCTTTGGTGTAGATAATATACCTATTTCCAAATGATATCTGCGTCTATTAGAATCGATGATCATGTATTATAGCGTTCTGCTCTCACCAGTTCTGGAAGGGGAGAAGGAACGGCGCCGTGCCTAATCGTTAACGTGCCATTTAAGCTGTATGCGCATTTCGCGGGGATAGTAGAAATTAGGCAGTTTCCTATTCAAAATGTTTTAAAATCAGGCATGAAGTGAGGTAAAATAAGATAAATTTATCGACATGATGGTGGGAACCAAGGCTGTTTGTGCACTCACTCTTTCCGCACTTGTAAACCGCAACCAACAATCCCAGGATTAATATTAAGCATACCGCTAATCAACCTTGTTGCCTCCAAGGAATGGGTATCTCGATTTGAGATAAGACAGAAAATATTGAAATTCAGTTATCACTCTGAGTTGATCTTCTAATTAATATCTGGGTCTACTGGTCGGGGACTGGAAACTACGTTATAAAAGAAACGACCTTAGAGAGTAAATGTCAGGTAGACTACATTATAGATTCACTGATGTCATTTCATTCAACATTCCCTACTGTTTAAATAACATTAGATCCGAATCTTTCAGTCTTTCAGGATTACGAACATAACACGTAACTGGATTATGGTAACAGACGAATTAAGTTAAGAAACACATTTTTCACAATTTTACAGTAATTTGACAGAGAATCGGGACAAGGTACGGATGCAATAAAGACTTGACCAAAGACGTGCCAGACCAGTTAATTAACAGTACATCTCACTAATCCTATTGCTTCTTAGACGCAAGGAATATTTTGTAGCGAGGTGAAAATGACATTGATAAACACGAAACTTTTCACTTTGTTCAAGCCAAGTGAAGGCAAAACGATCTCAAAAGCATGACTTCACGGTAGATTTGTCGTTTGGCGGTCGATAACGTGGTGCCCAGGTCATATATACTATTATTTTCAAGCACGAAATGAAATTTCGTTATATCCCTTTTTCCTGTAGATTTCTTCGAACGTGGTACGGTAGCTAAAGCATTGCTGCAGAAGCAATGAACACGCCATTAACACCTGTAACGCCGCCTTGATGGCGTGGCATCAGGGGTAAAGCATAGGGCAAAGGTTGCCTCCAGGTAAATACTTTATCATCAACTGACATATGTGTAGCTCTCTGGCAGGCAGCACTTATCTGATTAGTTGGATTACAACTGGTGGTTTTTTCCACAAGCAAAAAATCGGTCCCCCGCGGTTGAAATAACAGATTCAAAACGTCTGCCTGGCGGGAGTAGGACGGATCTATGAATTGCCGTCGATCAGATGTCATGTATACAGAAGTTCTATGCTCACTTCCAGGCAAATAAATGAGCGATATATATATATGTTACCCAATAATTTGGCTGTTGAAAAAAATCATGGACAGATTTAGAACTATACATTTACCTGTGTGCTCGTCCTTGCATAACTTATGCGGGATTCAAACATATTTAGTATCTGTCACTTATTACTTAACACAACTACATATTATAGATGTATATTTTATAACCACCTGCCAGCGTTTTCCTTTGCGCAAATTGAGAATTAAATATCCAAGCGTTTGATTACATATCGCTATTGATTTACCTGCGACTTCATTCCTCAAGCAGTAATCGAACATCAGCTCGAAAGATTATTAAATATTCGTGTGAATAGGAAAAGAACGATATGCCGAAAACAAACTACGTATAGAACAATCCATTTACTTCCTTCTTCAAAACAAAGAAAAGATTTCTCTCAGGATATAATGTTTGCTTTTGGCAAAAGCCACTTTTGGTTTCCTTGGAAATGACGTAGACTGAATAGAAACGACAAAGCCGTATCGCATGTAATATTGCAGATACTCAGCGATATTACATGTAGGTTTGTTCAAAATATTCAATTTGACGCAGAAAGAGGAGTTTAAACTTACAGTAAACAACGTTTCTTAAACAACTTTGCGGTAGGTTATTCTGTTTTTCTCTTTCATCTTTATAGATTTTATGTGCCATTCAATAATTAAAATGTCTTCTTCTCATTTTCCTAACTTACCTAAGTCCACTTTGTTTGAATGAAATAAAAACGTGCACTTGCAAAATAAAATGTGTAGGATTTATTCTATGAATTTTAATAATCATTATTACTTTTGCATTGTACACCTTTTTCTTTCATCTTTCTCTTTGTCTATTAAACTGAATTACATTATTCGAAATTCAAAGTCAAACAGGCACTCAAAATAACTGAATTATGGAGAAAACCCAATTTTACTTCACCATGGTTTATACTACTTCTTGGTACAAACCAAAGATGGTTTAATTATCTTCAACAGTTTCCTAGAAATATAAGATCAAAGCGCCCTTCAGGATTATTGATGAAAATTTACTTTCAACACGCCGCTCCATATTCTTTAGATAACGGAATTCCTTTATTGGAATGCTTTACCTGACGGCCATGATTAATCTTTTCAGATGTGCGGGTGGTGTTCGGACAAATGCTGTGGTTTAAGCAGAATCTGTTTAAGCTGAGGCTGTTTAAGCTGAAACTAAAGGAAATTCTACGTGGAATGATTGAATTCAGTTGAAGTTTGTTTTACAAGCTACTCAACGTTCTTCTTCCTCCATCTTCATGCATGCACCAGCCATCAATCAGCGACATTTTCTTGTGATAGTAATTAGCTACTGCTCTAACGAAGAAACGAGACTCCAGTCGTGGATTTCTCCATCAAACTGGCTCATTTAAGCCATTATCATTGAATCAAAACTTTTTGCCACCTGAAGTGATTACGAAGGCGATGGCGTGCCCTCTGCCATGGAGCTGTCATCCAAGAAGATGTATTTTTACATCATGACAGGCTTGTTATGCCTTGTAGTCGACGCAGCCAGAGAGAGCCTGTTGATTGGCAGAATTTGAATCAGGTGTCGATGACAGCTATGTGCTCGAGCGATATGTTCTATAAGCCTATATGCAATTTAGCGCGAAAGATCGACTGTACGTAGTTAGATGTGGTCTTTCGTTTCGAACGATTAAGAATCCAGGAAGGTCTTCATTGTATTGACCGCCTTCGCATTCAACACTCTGACCTCAAAAGATGCTTTTAAAGAAGCCTAGGGAGATTTATTGGAAAACCTTGAACAATGCAGAATTTTGCAGATAGTTTCTATAGAACAGTAAGGTCTTTTTGCTGCTTACTTCAGTTGATCGCGGCAAATCGCTCAAGAAACTTGCTATGACATGTCACTGGCTGAATCTGAGAACGTGGAAGTTGAAGGCAATCCTTCGCGCACCTTGCAGGTTTAGAATTTAAGACCTTCCGCTGCTCAACACGGAAGGAACGAAACCAAGAACTATTTACTGAATGCTTCTTTGTGCATATTTCTCTGACCTTTAGATATGGTATACCATCGTAATTAGAGTCTCGAAAGCGAGCTCGTAACCATATCAATATTCAATTGGAGATTCACTTTCTGCAGGAATTTTATCCTCCGGGAAGCACACAGCGCAAGAATACTTCCTGCTTCTTTGGCTTCTTTATTTCTTTAATTTGCCTAAGTGGGCTGCAGGTCGCAATGTTTATAATTCGCGACGGTTTGGTGGACAGGCATGCCAGACAATTGAGCACCGAAAACAACACCAACAATGGCAACAGTGCTCAACGTAAAAAGAAGGTCCCGTGTAAGGCATGCTGTAATTTGGGATGTTGCCTTTGTTTGGCCATGACAAACCTGATTGCTGGTACTGTTATACTTGCCATTGGCCTGACTGCCTCCAATGGTGCCGACTGGATTCCAGATAAAGCGTGAGTACTCGATCGTTCTTCCATTATCTATTAACATTTCATTGCATACTTATTCTTCCTGCTTGATTAATTGGGTTTGTGTATGTATTCATTATGTACCTGTTTATTGTATAAATCATGCCTAAGTGTATATGTGCGTTCACACACGTATACTCCGTAATTTCATTTTATAATGAAAAATAATTAAAAGGTACGAGATCGGGTTCAATCGTTTCCGTATTTCGTGAAATCAAGAGACGCACGCGGGTAAGGAAAACGGCATGTGAACTTTAAAGGGCAGCAATTGAGATACAGAAGATGCTGAACATAAAGTACCTTTTGCAGACTCAGAGGCGGCGGTTGTTATCTTTGTTGTAATGGAGTAAAGATATCCCCTCCGTGTACAGGTGAATATCCGCATTCAGGTTGTGGTTGGCGATTTTAAACGGTTTTATAGCTGCATGCATCAGGGATTTCACTTTATTTGTCTTTTCGTTATACAGACACGGTAATTTCTTAGCGTCATACCATTTAACCAGAAATTGTCCATTTAATCATTGCAAAAAAAAGTTTTTCAAAATTCCACCAGAGTGCAATGTGTGACAAGCAACAAACAGCACAGATCGTGGCTATTGTCGTATAATGCGATTTTTTACACCATTAACCGGCCATCTAACGATTTTTACATTGTATGTATATTCTTGGAAAAGGTCACTGGTGGAAACTGAGACCAATATGTTCACATATCCTTTTTGTATGTTGGTCATATTTGAAATGCTGCTCTGCATACTGCAATTACAATGAATATCTAAGCAACGAATGGACTTCTTTTCAAAGTATTAGAATAATTATGTGCAAAATGTTCAGGATACAGTCTCAAGCCATATGGCAAGCTTATGTGAGTTTTGAATAATGTTATGACTGGGGCTTTGATTGCATCTTAACAGAAACGCTTCAGAGCGTGTAAAACGTTTGTGTATCGACCTGTCGTCTTGTATTCAGTTTTCTATTCCCATGTTAAAGATGACCATCAGTTGTATTTCTCGTGCTCTGAAACCCAGAGTGAAAAGAAGCCGTCAATTTTCGTCCAAAAGATCTCATTTCTGGACTTCATCCAATGCGCTTTTTCTCCCATCCGTTCTCCGTTACTGCACTCTTGATCTTGGAACTGGCATCGCTGCTGAACGCCTGAAAGTTAATTTGTATTTTTTTTCAAGATGGGTGATGTTATAGAACTTGGCATGCTTCGGCGGGACACACTTGAGATTAGAAAAAAAAAAAACGTTAAGTTTGCTCAGCTTGCCTCGAGTGTGGTGGCCTCGTCTATAGAGCAAAGGTACCATCTGGTACAGACAGGGACACTGAAGTCTAAACCTAATTCTATCTACACATAACCATTGATTGAAAACCACATGCTAAAAAACAATTCCAATATCATGTAAACGTAGATCCACGTAAAAATAGCATCAAAAGTCATATTTTGCATGAAAGCTGACTTGTTTATCTCAATGAAGTAACATTACTAATGTTGTCTACTGATTCTGAGCCTACTAAGTACCAAGGAGTCAATGAAAACATGCCGTCTCCAAGGAAACTGGCAATAATGTGTTTTACATTGCTAGCATTAAAATGTCAAATGGGGGTATCATATATAAAGTGTATCTATCGAGATCCATTAAGAACTTTTCGAAATGTCTGAAAGTAAGCATATATAAAGAGATGTGCACACGCTTTTTATACGAAAAATCCTTCTTGGGGATCATTGTATGACTGGCGCTCATTGACTTCCTGCATATAACCCACATATGTTATTACAATTAGCACCTTGCAAACTCTTGCTTTCGCGTAGGCGTCGTGATTATGTTGATTTCTTTCTGTTGGAAATATGAGTTGACGTTGTCATTTCAGCAAATTCACCATTCATATGTATGATAGAATGAAAAGCACACTGTTCATGGCGCTCCACAGAGAAGGAAACAATTTAACAAAGAGAGAGAGAGACAACTGTGAGAGTATTTCTCTAGTCTTATGCTTCTTCATAAATAAGTCAATTCCAGGCTATTTCTTCTTTTTCATGACATCTATTTTAAGCTATAAACACCACTATACATTAATGAGACCGTTAACATTTCATGATAGCTTTCAACTAACTCATACTAATTAATCATTGACTCTGTAACAACAGGCCTTTGAAAATATGACTATTGTGTCGGTTCAGTATTTACCCACTGGTATTGTAGAAGAACCAATGCTGCCGCGAATTCTGTTATATTGTAGTGCTACATGTACTGTTATTTCCAGTTTACGTAGATAACGGCATGCAAAATCCTTGCCAGCGTGCGAGAACGTACAAAACGCCACCAAGAAAAATAAGAATCACTTTATATTAGAGAAGCAAACAGCCTCCATTTATAATGTTAACACACGCTGTGTATAAATATTATTTACATTGCGTGCCCATGCAGCTAATTAATGAATGAAATATTTACCACAACGTCACACAATTTAAAGGCAAAGAAAGCAAGGTTTTTTTTATTTTTTTACTTAAATTTGTCCATGAATTTGATCATGCCTTCACTATGTTCTTTTATTTAACAGAGCCAACATCACATACTCTCCTGATGCAAAGTCTGAGGTATGCAAATCATGCATTCTCCGTGGGCTGCCCTGGGGTAATAATCCCCCTTTTTCTGGAGGGTAGTGGTGCAGGCCGATTTGTTTTGTAATGGATGGGGGTCGAAGCGTCCGTGTGGACAGTATCAAAGATTGAACTGCACTATCATCTTATGACTTGAGCGCTTTTATAGTTACCTAATATTTGCAAGATCGCGATGCAGTCTATTCAGACCCTGTTATCAAATAATTCAATTTGAACGCATAAAGAAAACACAACGGAAAAGTAGAAAGTTACTGTGGCACAATGAATCCCATATTTGTTTTCTTTATTACGCTCCTGGAAAACTAATTTAGCCAACAAATTGATATCTCTTCTGAAGGTTATTTACCCAAGATTTAGTTGTAGGTTTATTTCCTTTGGAATTGAATCATACTGCCCTGGAGAGTCAAGTAGGTTTATCGCTTTTTGAGATCTACCTTGACCTTTTCCCTTATAAATCAAGCTATGTCGAAATATTCATTCGATTTATTATCAAGAACCTGAAACCAGTAGGCGTATGAAATATGGCCACTTTGCAATTTATACGGAATGAACGGAATCATTACAGTCACGCCAACAATTAATTCGTTTAGTGAATAATGAACCATAAGATTTCTACACAACTGGTTTCAAACATTTTGTGCCTTTCAATAAGTCTTGTGTTTTGTATTTTTCACAAAGCTGTGTGGACAATTCTGAATTTAACTGCGCCATTAAAAGTACAAGGATGATATTGTTGCGTCTGAACAGCGTCTGAGCATCAGAGTTTCACATCGGAATAAACCAACATCGTGTGACAGTTAAAATACGACTTAACCATAGTGACAACTTGGAAATCTCCCTAGTTTGAGCAGACGTTTAATCAGAGCAGCCTTCAGAACGTGCTTATTCCTAAGCCATACCTTATTAAACGTCAGCACGTCTTAATGCTCTAGTCATAGGTGACTGAATAAAAGTCTGTCGATATGTTGAATAACAATTTCTGACAGATAACCAGGGTATATGAATTATCAGAAAGATTTGCAGCCGTTCTCCAATATCCTGATGGCTTGGTAACGTGACGGGTGGACCACATGCAGCAAGGCAATAGCGGAAATTAATGCTGAGGTTTCCTGTTTTCCCAAATCTCTACAAACCATTATGGAAATTGCTAGACTTACATCATAAACACTACAGACTGGCGTTTATATGAAAGAATGATTAATTTGCCGTAGACCATTATTAGTTGAGGCAATTAACAATACCAAGTAACGTGATTATTAAGCAAATCTCGATTTTCTGCAAGTCTTAAGACCCTTGAGGGAACTGCATTGTATTTCAAGCCTTGGAGACTCCAAACTCGCAACCTTGGAATAATTTACAATGCAAAGACTTATTTCTCGATGGACGTTCCCCGCCGTTGAGATATAACCAACAGATTAGGTTACTAGTACTTCAACAGAAGATTTATCGCAGGGATTTCTCTGTTATACCCTGCCACTTTGGGCGCTGAAAGGTTGGCGCGGCAATTCAGCGACAGTGACCGGAGTTCTTATGAAATATACCAATTAAAATATGATCTAATTCTTACCGTTAAAACCTGAAAAAATTGCTACATGTCAAAATTGTCTAACAGAAAACCACTGGTAGTTCCCTCAACAATTGTTTAGTCTAAAGCAATCACGCAATCATTTCTTTATATGCACGGTATTTCTCTATGTGCAAAATTGGGAACTGAAGTTGGTAGCAGTCTTTAACTTATTGGATGATCTGAATTTGATTCGGAAATTAAGAGGATAATAATTGTGTTAGCAGTGCGTCCATTATAACAGAGATCCATATTATTATTATTTGACCCGAGGTCCTTTGGCTTAGCACCATTGTAAAGAGCCGGGTGAATACTTCAAACATAACTTTACATGGATTACGCGTTTTCACAGGTTAGTTTGTTATCGTTCATTTACTTAATAATACAAAAATGTAGTAAGAAAAGTAAGATAATTATTGTGTTACTTCGTTAAGACTGCTGGGGGTGGGATCATTGTATTCACAAAGAAATTACCTTGGTATGTTTTGATAACGCTTGCTCGGAAATGCCGGAGATGAATCAATACAGGAGAGTAGACGCTGTGCAAGAACTTGCATATAGGCTTAATTTGTCTTTATAAGGGACTTAAAAATAATGTGAAGCAACCTTTCTGTCTTGGTAAGAATCAACCGCAATTGTTACTTGAAATTGTACTGTGGTTTCAATGAAAATAATTTGCGGATATGTACTTTGTTCCTGCAAATAGTAAAATAGACAATTAGAACCAAAAGCTTCCATAAGATAACGGCTGGGGTAAAGTTGGGTGTTTTACGCTAAAGGAAATTGGATTTACTTAGG